GCTAGGTTTACAAACTACCATTACTCGAAATTCTTGATTTGAGTCGAAATAAAATCAAAGAGTTACCAAATGAGATCAGCAAATTGAAGTCATTGCGAGTTCTCTCGGTGATGCAAAATCGCCTCATCGACCTCCCAGCTGGCCTCTCCGAGATGCATAAGCTTCAAATTTTCAAATGTGTCGGGAATCCTCTGCGAAAGCCACTGCGTGAAATACTAGAGGAAACTGAGAACGACGCGACACCATCTGGGATGACCGACAACGAAAAAGAAGTCGCGGCCACGACCAAACTCAAGAGATTTCTTATGAAAACACGACAACAGACAAGTACACCCGAGCCAGAAATCGTTGCTTATACAAGGTTTGTTCATATCATGTCTTTGGATGGATACAAGCTAACTCGGTGTCAACGCAGTGATGGTTCTTTTGATATTAAACCGGTACCAGCACCGATACCCTCAAAGCGGAATTTAAGTGGCCGATTTCCAGTAATTCCTAGCACTGGTGATAGCTCAACAACCTCATCTCGGTCTCCATCGATATCACGGGCACCGCCAATTCCATTAAAATCACACTATCGGATGGCCTCTGGGCAGCAAGGCGCTACTTACCACCTGCCTGGTCTCCAAAGACCTGGTGTAGCTCCTCACTCTGTCAACGAGCGCAATCGAAGCAATAGTGAGGGGATAATCCAAGGATCATCGGTTGCTCGTAGCAAAAGAATGGGAGTGATCACTCGGAAGAATACAGATCTGGGTACATTGGATGAAACGCTCCCATATCGAAACAGCCATCTACGGGGTCTCAGTCATGGATCTGTTCTTCGACCGCGCCAGGGTGCGCCGCCAATAGCCTCAAATGACAGTACTCCCCCAAGCCCCACCAGCCCGAGAGAGCGTCGGCGTCCGCGAGATGGCTGGGTTAATCGGATGTCTAGTCTGCCTGAGCACAAGGGTGAGCGTGGATCCGACGAACCGATAATCAAGAGTGCAAAAGGTATTCTTTTTGCTCTCGCGCAAGTTCACTCTCATATCGATACATTGATCAACGTGATCAAGCATGATGACACCAGACGCCACAGTCTCGAGCTTGTCTTTTATAATGCTTCCTCGCATGTTGACCAACTCAACGATGCCCTCGAGAAAGCATCAAATACTTTGTGCAATGACCCAGAGTCAATCACATCAGTCACAGAAACGGTCAAACGTGAATGTGAGACGTGCATCTCCGCCTACATTCACGTCGGCACGCAGCTACGCAACAATGTTGCCAAGATCGTTTCGAACGGCGATCCGCGCTATGTACGATCGCTGATGCTGACGATGTTCGGCAGCCTAGTGGAGCTACGGAATGCTTGTGCTATTCTAAATGCTCCACTCCAGACCATCAACAAACGTGGCTCTGCTACTAAACGCTTGGTTGGGCCAAGTAACCCACTCCCCTCGGTCCCAGACCGATCTCAACTCTCCCTGGTCACTCCAACAAGAGATCCCGCCCCACCCACACGACGATTGCGAAGCGACACGACAATTCGACACCCTCAGTACCCTATGACTATGATTTCCAATCAGGCTAGCATTAGCTCTCCTGGTTTCTCTGCGCCGTACGCACGCAGTCGCTCGAGCAGCAGATCGAACATGATCAACGCATCTATGCCACACTCGTTGGCAACCCCTCGCTCAGGCGAAACTTTCCCTCCTATGCCAGTTCCCGGGGCTCCCCGGGTCAACACACTGACTGGACTGGACGAGAACGAGGAGGAGCGAATATTCGAAAAGATCTTCCATCAGCTGACCGCTACGTACCATGCCGCATACGGGGCACTTCCACTGGCCTGTCGGCAATTTTCAAGGTGTCTCGAAGCTGCTCAACAATCACGCGACTCAGAGGGAATCCAAATCCTCTGGAACAACCTCACCCGTCGATGTCAGTTTTGCCTGGAAGTTTCCGATGCCCTAGGACAGCGTCTCTCGACCATGAAGATCAAAGAACCAGGCGGCGGACTTCGCAACCAACGCGAATTCTGGCAGCTATGCAAATCATTCATGCAATCGTTCGTCGACCTAGTGAACGAGATGCGCGAGTTGAGAAGTATGCAGCTTCTACCTGCCGACGTCATCATCCTCCTACGCCCAGTCCAAAAAGCAAGCCGGGAAGCAGGCCGCTTGATTGAGGTATCCCCATGGGCCTACCTTGCAGACCCGGACCGCCATCCCCCTCCTAGTGCCTTGTACGGCCCTCCGCTACAGACCCCACACCTGCAACACCATCAAACATCCGTCTCAACATCCGCCCTGGTCAACAATCCCTCTTTCCAATTCAATATGATGTCGTCGCCGCCGCAATCAGTCACTGTTCCTGCCACTCCGCTGAGTGCGGCACTTGGCCCCGCTGCGCAGGCCACTGTTCCATCCACGCCGGCCAGCGCCTACAGTGACAAATTCTTCGAGGGGGATGTCTTCCAGCGTGCTGACTCGCTTCTCTCGTCAAACCAAGCACCATTTTTCCGTCGCTAAGCGACTATGAAACCTTTTTACGCTCTCATCTCAGAGAAATTTGTTTTCTCTATGCGTCATGATTACCGCCCCATGTTCATTTTATCTGCATCTTATGATTATGACTATGAGCAAGCTATCGTGCATGCCAGCATCGTTACTTTAGTGGTTCCTTGTCACGCCATCTGTGTCCTGGCATTCCGATCCTCGGTCTGTATTTTGTTTATCCATGATTTAGCGGGCTGATCTCTGTTGGAAGAACTGAGCTACAAGCAATCTATCGTGCATGTCATTGACTCTTTCTTGATCATCGACAACACATGCATTTCATTGGTGCTCTTTTTGGTCCTCTGTTTCTATGCATTAGCGGGTTAATATCCTGGGGGTGAACTGGTTCTTTGTTACAATAGGTTCAAATGAAATGACATTAATTCACCGTAAACTTCCACTGCATACATGTATACTCGAGCCTTCGACTTGCGTAAACTATTTATACATCTACTGCATGTGGCCGAGATGAATGATTGAAAATATGTAAGAAATATTATACTAATATGAAATATGGTGTCTAGCACAGCATAGCTAGATCACGCTTTATATGTAAATCGCCCTTCACACAGCGTTTTCCGGGTTCACCAAGAAGGTTGAAGATTAAAGGCTCCTCTAGAGAGCCTTGAACTTCCCCAAGACTAAAAAATAAAATAAAAAATGTCAGTTCCGAATACCATCATACTAGCCATGAGGTCACATGGTACACGGGGCCAGAGTATACATACCCGCAGCATGAGCAAGATCCGCCTGGGAATGTGCCAGGACATGAAGACTGATATCCTGAAGCTCGTAGAAGAGATGATCTTTGTTCGATGTGTAGTAAGATTTGTCATGAATGCCTGCAGCCTCTGGCACCCTACACACAGTCCCAACGGTCAGCACCATGTATATTTCCATGACTGTGAGATCACCTTCTCTCCCCAAGGCGAGGGTGATCCAATGCGTCCCTACGTCTCTACATACCATGTGATAAAGACTAGCTTGCTTCGCTGGCCATCGCCGGCAGGAGAGTCGTAGGTGAAGTCAACAACCGCGTACCGGGGAGTATCATCCTTGAAGTGAGAGAGGAACTCGGTGTAGTCTTTGTATTTGCCTGACTCGGCGACGGTGATCTTCTTGTCGTGTGCGGAGGCTTCGTAGATGACGTAATTGAGGTTGTCGGTGCCTTTGACCTCGTCGAATACTTCCTCGCATTCGGGAGTGATGGTTGCGAATCCTTTTGTCATGGTGGATGAAGTGAGATGTGTGATGTGTGATGTGAGATGTGAGAAGTGAGATGTAAAGAGGAAGAAGAGGAAGAAGAGGGAAAAGAGGGAAAAGAGGGAAAAGTAGGGAAAGAAAAGGCGAGTCAGGGATGGGCTGATAGTTTTGTAGTCAGACAATGGAAGAGATCACCTGGTTTACCCCATACTCTGCGGGGAAGTAGATCATGACGTAGGAAAACATTTTATATTTATATTTATGTATATTTATGTATATATATATATATATATATATATATATATCTTAGGAAGTTTAAGGAGTATAAAATCTATGATTTTAAATGAATTGTGTTCTGTCATGCTACATTGTCACTTCATTAGGGCAAAGATACTTCACGCATCAACCCGCTATGGGGGAGGTAGTCGAGAATCCGATGCGCGAGTGGGAGGAACTTCAAAGCCATTATATAATAATAGCGGGTTTTCGCAGACATATATGTACATATGTAGTCAATGCTGGGAAGCTGATTGATGTGCAACTCGCCCTCATCGTGATACATCATGACTCATGCGAGCTCATGCTAGCTCAAGATGACCCCCATCGACACCTATTGACCAAGCCCAGATAATCTTGACTCAATGTTGCTCTTAATACATTCAAGTTTTATCATACGATTATCATTCATGTGCTTGTTGCACTATAGTGGAGATCTAGTAACATTGTGGCCTTAGTGGGCGGGACACGGCGTACTATGAGGATAGCTCGATTTAGATATTGAAAAATGATATTACAGCTGTCTTTTCGAATTTAGTATAAAGCAGATGAAGATACTTTGTGTAGGTGTGAATCAAATCAAAGACTTTTCCCCGAAATAGCTGGTATAATGAGCCGAAATGGTGGGATATATATCGTACAAGACAAGGATTATTACAGTAAGTGATCGGTTTGAACCTTTTGATATTATGCGATAAACACGGCAAATGACGAAAACAATCTTATTTGAACCCCGAGATCACATCGCTTTTGGTGATTTCTTATATGATGCAACACTTTTGTCGACATCGTCCGAAAGCCTTCCATTACTGACTGTTACTGTTACAATTCCTACATGACCCTTTGAATCAAATACTAATTTGAACCTGAATTTTGAAAACAGAAAAAAGAATTCTAAAAAAGATTACATGCTCTAAGTACCAATTTCGATAACCAAAACCGCAATATACGCCGGTTACAACCCTGAGGTCGGCATACTTAACCAGCTCTCCGAGCAACAACTACATCCTTCACAAAGGAAAACATCTCGCGTGGCTTATTCACAAACACACTATGACCAGCCCCACGGAAGAAATGATATGATACACCACGCTCCATAGCCCACGTACCCGCAGCAGTAGCAGTGGGAGTGGCAGTCGTAAGTGTGGTAGCCACAGGCGTATGCTCAAACAGAAGCTGCTTGGTCGCCGACGGCGCAGCATTATCAGCAAAGAACGGCTTGTTCGGTTTCTGTGCGAAGCCCTGCGCACCGCGCCACGTCATATTCTGCAGCGACAGCTCCGCGCCAAGGTGGTTGATCAACATATCCCACTCGCCCGAGTAAACATGGAGCGAGATGTTGTGGTTGGTAACCAGAGACGGGAGGATGAAGTACTCCGGAGGCACGGGTGAGGGCGCGGAAAGGAGCGTTCCTAGGATTGTGGAGTTGCACGCGCTGTACAGTCCACTGTTATCGACGTGGAGGGCAGTTTGAACATCTGCGCGCCCGAAGTACTCTGCCATCAGTGGGAGCTCTGAAACGGCACTGCAGTCGTGGGAGATGTCGTAGACATCGAAACAGCCGCGGGTTGTGCTTTTCGTGGAGATGGCCATTAGGTAGTCACTTGCTGTGGAGAAGGCGGCACAGGGGCCGTAGCAGGTTGAGTTGAAGAGTGAGCTGCGGACTTCTTCGGCAGTTGTGGGTGCGATGTCGCATGCGGCATTGGCGGCATTTGTCAGGTCTCGACGTCGGATGTTGAAGTACTCTGGGTTTCCGGGGATATGGATTTTAGCCTGGGGAGGGTATATGGCGGACTTTTCTAACACGCCGTTGAAGCCGCAGGTTTCGTCTGCCTCGTCGAAGACTGATAGGACGTCTTCGGGGATTTGGAGGAGGCCAAGCTGTGATCTGAGATATTTACCCATTGCAACGGACGCCATGGCTGCTCCATTTCCCCAAGATCCATCACCGAGAGACATTGAACGAATATTGAGGGGTGGAGAATCTTTGCCGTCGAGAAGCTCCGATGCAAAGTACGGTATGTAGATGCCTGCATATGACTCTCCCATCAGATGGATCTGCTTTGACTGCATGTGCGGGAAGTATTCGAAGAAGCCACGCAGCCATTGTGTAAAGTCCGTCGTTACCCGGCCATTATCCTTCACAGGGTAGGGGAAGCTAGCTGTGGAGTAGCCAGTGCCGACGGGTTGATCAACGTAAAGCACATTACCCAACTTTGTCCATGAGTGTGGGTTGCGAATAAATTGAGTTGAATTGCCATCGAAAGAAATGGGTCCATTACCGGTCGTCAGACCTATCAAGGATGAGCAGCCAGGGCCGCCATTGAACCAAACTATACAATCTTGTTAGCAACCGCCTTTGAATGTTCTTTCCTATTCAGACTTACTGATCAAATTGTCATCGTATGCTGGCTGCTCTGACTGGAATAGCCAGAAAAAGATCTCATTTCCATCCTCAGTCCCCGGAACCGGAAGACGGCCAGCCCAACTGGGTGGTAGATCCGAAACGCCGGGCAAGGTATGTACTTCAAATCGTTCAGTATTGTATGAACCCATTCCTCGCGAAAAAACAAAACCAGGAGTCGCCCATAGGACATGAAAGAAGTATAGCAATGCAGAGATATTCATGATTGGAAATCTCTGTGCTTTGCACTATGATAATGCTTTCTTTCTAGCAAATAATCGAGATGATACTGCGTAGTAAAGATTTAGGATGCTCATACAGATAAAATTCCACGTGGAAATCATGTTTCCTTTTTATCATTTTCCTTTCAAAGATGGTGGTGGTCATTGATCTATTGAACAGAGGCGGTTGTTGAGCCAGATTTGGGTGTCAATAAGACCAGCGGGGTTATTGGGGCCAAAGACATGGCCAGTGAATTTGGGAGCTCAGGCGGAGCTCATATCCGTCTATAAGCAGTGGCTGTCTCCTGAATCATAGTAATTTTATTCATGTCTGAGCTGACCAGCAGAACAGGAATATATCAATTTGGGGGGATTAAGTTGAAGTAGATGAAGTAGGTGAAGTATAGAGTTGTCAAGGGATGTGGGACCATGAACCATGATTATCAGGCACCAAGGCATCAAGGCACCAAGGCATGCTGATCCAAAAACATTCCGATCTCGACGAGAGCTGCCCTGCTTCATCTCTCCTCGATAATCTCTGAACACTCTGCCAAACTGGAGAGTACAATCAACGGTACTATGTACCTGGTAATGCACAACTCGACTGCATCCAGTGGTTCCCCGAGAAAAGGAGACTCCCACTCACGTGGCCAGTGCTGATTTCAAAGTTCAAAGTGAGGCGAAGAGTCTCTCCCCCTACCCTTTTTTTTTTCACTAGAACTTCAAATGCAGATGCAAGTTCAAATCGGAAATGGAAAAGATGTTACAATGTTGAGATATCAAGTAGTCGAGGGGAGTCTGCTCACGGGTAGCAGCATAGGAATGTGCTGGTTGCGTCCACCCGAATCCGGTGTAGATCTGGGATACACTCACCTATATCAGTTCATCCCGGTCGCTTTGCCAACTCCTTTTCTTTCTTTTCTTTTTTTTACTTCTTTGATTTGTCCATTTATCCTGCATCTTTGTGCACTCTCGAACAATTTGGACTTGTTTGCTCTTGAGAGTATACTGGAAATTCCCCCCCCACCCCCAACAGGTTTTGCTACTTTGGGAGATTTCATACTCTACAACTCTTTGTTTAAAAAGATTTTATTCTCTTTTATTTGGATTCATATACACTTTTTTGGTTTTAAATATTCTAATTTCCACCCCCCTTTTACCTTCCTCCCTATATTGCACCCCTGATCGGAACCACGAGGCGATCGACGCAGATCCAAGCAATCCTCGGCTCCACAGGAATTGACAGCTCACTTGCATCACTTTTCGGTGACTGCGGATTGGCTGCCTGCCTGAGGCAAACAGGGGGTTATTAAATTTGTAAGTTGTGGGAGTTGCATAGGGGCGTATTCGCCTTGTTCTATGCTTAGGTGCATGGCGTGGTCTCGCCATTGCCACCCCCAAAATCTTCCTTTTATCTGACCGTTTGAGTAGGGGAGGTTCAGATATACCGTGCTTAACGATGGATCTACAAGGCACAAAAGAAGCCCGAACGCAGGAGGAGGGCGCCGAAGGCCCTTTGGAGGCCTATGGTGCTGGAAGTGGTCGTTCTAAAGAGTATCACAAGAACGAGGGGCGAGATTCTCACAATCATGATGACCGAACTTCCATTCATCCTCTCCGTCGTCATCGGCAACCCTTCGCCTACCCTCATGGAGCTCGACAGGCTGCATCACCGGTACCAGCCGTTATCTCTCGGCCTCGAGAGCCCTCCCCATCACCAGAGGCTATCAGTATACCCCAAGCTTTGGGTCTAGATTCCCGCGATCAGCGCTTATTGCGTAAGGCTCGGAGATCTCCACCGGTTACCAAAAAAACGCTCAGTGAGCTTGATCTGCCCTGTATCATGAGCAACATCAACCTCCGCATGGACGCCAACTTTGACCGCGACCTGCACTTCAAGCCTGACCTAGATGGGGAGAAGGGCCAACGCAAGCGGAAAGAAGCCGCGGATTATTGGGATTCACTGGCCACGGAGATTACTGTTTACTCTTACCATGCGGCGACTGCCGATGCCACCGAGGAAGTCGAGTCGAGTGATGATACTCGACGCACCTTCGATCCTCGTTTGCCCGCCCTGTTTGAGACATTGCAAGACGTCATCAAGACCCTTGTTCCGGAACGGGATCACCCTACCATCATGCAGAACCTGGAAGTTCCATTGCTGATGCAGCAAATACGCAAAGGCGTTCTCGACATGCTTACGCTGGCAAAATGGCTGGCCAAACTCCTAAAAACACATTGTGCTCCGATGCGAGACGAGTGGGCAGATTCTATGGTGGAGCAAATTGAAAAAGGTTCACAGTCTCAGGATCCCCGCGAGATTGTTAATGGTCTACGAACATTGTTCTCTATTCTTGAGGCGATGAAGTTGGTATGTTATATTTAACCCCCATTTCTATCTTGCAATTTCAAACTAATTCGTGAAATGATAGGACGTCGCCAACCATCAAATCCGAGCATTCCGCGTTCTCCTCATCGAAGACACAGTCCCCTTCCTCCAAGAATACTTCCAAGGCAAAATGAACCGCGGCGGCTTCCAAGTCGAACCCGCCCGGCATTGGTACCTATCCGTGCGCGATCAAGCCCGCCAAGACGACGCAAATGCCGAAGCCCAAAAAACAACCCCAACCCCAGAAACAGAAGAGACTCTCAAACCCCTCGAAGCCCTATTCCGCGGGATCTCCGCCCAACTACTCCAATTCGCCCCGCCCACCGACTTCCCCGAAACCTTCCTCTTCGACTCCGAGCGTCTCTGGCAGCTCCGCTCAACAGTCCAAAACCTAATCAACCTCGACATCGCTTGGTATATCTTCGAGTCCTATGTCAACAAGCACAAGCGGTATCTCTCAACCCCAGAAGAAACCTACTCCACCTTCCGATTACGCATCTGGTCCCTAATGGAAGACGGTATGGACCTGGAGAACCGTATCGCAGGGAACCCAGACAACAACGACGACGATCCAGATCACCGCGGCGGAAAGCGCTGGACGCAAAATATGCGCTGTATCGCGCTGGAGATTGCCCGTTTTGCTTGTGCCGCGCTGCAGCTTGACCCTGTCGTCGCAGGCGAGGTTATTGTGCCCATTGAGGAAGCCCTCGAGTGGCATCTCTCCAATGAGTCCGAGCTCTTCATTTTCTTCCAAAATAGCATGCGCAGCAGAATCCTTGCTACCACCCTGGCCGCGGCTCGTAGATACTTGCCGCTGTCCCCGTTGGCCATCTGCGAGTCGCAAAGGGCTCCATTGTCTGTGGCTTTGGGTCCTGCTGTGCCGCAGACTGGGGCTGCCGGTGCATCTGGGTCAGTGAATACTTCGTCGCTTCCCTTGACACCACAGCAGTCGGATATCGAGCGTATTGGCATGCGTCTTGCTCATATGGGTGTGTTGCATTGGCGTGTGTGGGCTCCGTTGTTGTATCTCCGAGATGAGATTGCATCGGCGGAGGTTGAGCAGCCAGCATTGGTATAATTTTGTTCTTGTTCTTGTTCTGGTTCTAGTTTTGGCTTTTACTTTTGCTCCTTGGATTTTCGGTGTTGGATTATTGTTTGCTGCTTTGCTGTCTTCTAATTGTTTTGTTTGACTTGCTTTTCAGCGCCTTGCATTTACTACTTACTTGGGGGGAGTTTTATTGTTCAGACCGGTATTTTACTGACACAAGGGGGGTCTCGGTGTTATATTGTGGGAAATAGAAGGCGCATATAATATCTATTTTGTCATATCAGAGATACTATACTCATACTCAGACTCTTATGTTGTATATTGTACAATATAGTTATGTAGACGATCCATGGAAACAAACAAAAGTAACAAACTCAATCCGACCCAGTGCCACGGTAGCCGCGAACGTCAGCGGTCCGTGCACCGGGCAATGAAGAATCCCCCATCCCCTTCCAAGAATGCTCATGCATCCAGCCTAAAATTGCCATTACAGGTCTTCCGCAGATCCAGACACGGAAATCCGAGATTTATCAATATCTGTGCTTATGCTTGTACATGCTTTGTACTGGAAAGCTCAAACCCCCACCAAATGCCACCCTTGTCAAACGAGCACAAACAAACCCCCCAATGCGTCTCTCTGCAGCTCTGTACTCCCCAACACACCCTTGGCTCGCATGCTTGAAATCAGCACAATTGCAGCGCATCGCGCGCGCAACGGGTATCCAATCGTCCGGTACGAAGGGTGTTCTTATTGAGCGCATTGCAGCGGAGTTGACGTTGCATTCACAGTCACAGTCACAGTCACAGTCACAGTTGCAGTTACAGTTGCAGTTACAGTTGTCGGCTGCTGCAGATAGTGATAATGTTGCAGAGGGTGTCATCACTAGTAGTCCCAACCCCAGTACCACTACCAATGCTAGCGATAGTGCCAACACAAGCATAAGCCAAGATCGACCTGTCGATCGGCGGGTGTCAAACAAAACACGCTCAAAGACAAAGAACAAGTCAGCAGATTTGACAAAACAAACCCCCCGCACAACCATGGAGCATCCTCAGTATTGATATGGGTGTTCAGAACCTCGCATTCGCACATCTGCGAGTGCCCCGATCTCGATCTGGGATCCAGGGTATCGGGATAGACACAGCAAACCCCAGACCGCCAGAGTTAACAGCCTGGCGCAAACTTGCTATTTCTGAGATATCAAGTTTGAACTTGATCCCCGGGGATAATACCAGTATAATCAAACCCGAAGCTGCTGAAACAATACCAGGATCTGGTGACTCCACCGAATCATCACAGGCCGTCCTCCCATTAGGAACGGGAAAAGACCTGCCTGTCAAGGTTAAGATTGCCAAACCTACAAAAGATCAAGATTCCTTCTCCCCAGACCTCTATGCTGCAAATGCATACACCCTAATCTCATCACTCATAGCCGCATACCGCCCCACGCACGTGCTCATAGAGCGCCAGCGCTTCCGCTCAGGCGGTGGGAGTGCCGTTCTTGAATGGACGCTGCGTGTTGGCCTCTTGGAGGGGATGCTGTATGCGGTTCTGCATACGCTACGACAGGAGAGGGGCGGGGAGGTTGCGGATTTGGTTGTTCGAGGTGTTGAGCCGAGACGAGTAGTCCGGTATTGGCTTGAGGGTGGTTCTGGGCCATCGATTCCAGGGAAAGGAGACGTGAGTGAGAAACCCGAAGTCGGGGAAAAGGTCAAGGAGAAAAGGCCCAATGCGCGAGAAGTGAAGAAGGCCAAGATCGATCTTGTTGGACGGTGGCTTTCTGCTGCGATGCAGAAGCAGAATAGCAATTCTTGTCCGGAGATGGACAATGACACTAAGAAGCTGGAGCTGGGTATTGCTGCCGACGATAAGATCGTGCTGGCAGATAAAGCCGAGTGTCCTACTCTGCATGGTGTTGTGGGTGCGTATATGCGGAAATGGCAGGGTCAGACGCAGACTTTGAAGAAGGGGAAAGGGAAGGGGTCTCGTACTTTGAAAAGTGGATCTCTTTCTCCATTGCCTGTATCCCCACAATCTGAGATGGGGGATGAGGTGGCTGCTATTGATCCGGGGAAACTCGATGATCTGGCGGATTGTTTGTTGCAGGGTGTGACGTGGGTTGAATGGCAGATTATGAGGGAGAGGATTGCGAGTGAAGGGGTTACAGCGTTGGATCCAATGCCATAGTACATATAAATATTCATTCTGAGCAGAGCCAGGCTTGATGGTGATCGGAGGATGAATGCCGTGGGCTCTTCTAAGGATGAACTTAGGTGTTCGAATTTTGTATATTATCTATCCTACAATAACTTGATGTATATTAATGGTCTGGCTGGACAAATGAAACGAGACATGAGACATCAGCTCAAAGCTTCACTAGACTATATCTACACATCCATCTATGTGTTATTCTTGACCCAAAAGGATCGACACCGATCGACAAGTCCGTCATAGGCAAAGCCATACTAGAACGCTTACAGGATGGGCAGCCTTATGCACTCTATTTCTACTCATCTTACGAAGGAGGATCTTTTTGTAAACAGGCAAAAGCCTCAAGTCAATTCAAGTTCATTCCCAAGGATACCGATATTGCTCACCCTCATCGGCCTTCCAGATGAAAAGAAAACATGAAGACGAAAAAACAACGCAAAGTGAGATCATTCGCAAAATGAAGATCTGTAAAGATTAACGAAGATGAATTTTTCAATAGAAAAGGGGCAAGATCCAGTCCTCAAAGCAGACGCGTCACCACCCGTCAAACGATACGTGAGAAAATATTCCGAGTCCAATGGAAACCGGTCGTATGAATGGGTCAATTTCACATTGGTCAGTAAAAAAATGTAATGCAAGGAAATGTCACGCCAGAGAAGCTTTGGGGATTGGGCACCACAGTTAAGAATTGGAGTTCACGGCCTGCAAAAACGTAGCAAGCAGGGAGGGAAAGCTTGGGGCACAAAGCGTAATCCAGTATGACAAGACAATTGCAAGAATAGAAGTCGAAAAGAAGAAACATGGCAAAAAATGGAGCGTAAATAAGAAGTGAAATCGAAACCGTTTGTACCGAAACTTGGCAAAAATAGGTACAGTACCAGCACGCCTCTGCGCGAGTAGAAGGGAATCGGAACTTTCTCTCAGATCATCAACGGGCTCGCAACTCGCTGCTATGTAGAGGTGGATGCTCCCCTTGCATTAGCAGTGTGTTGTTTAGATGAAGTGGCGGCGCCAGTTGGCCAAGAAAGCCTTGCCAGCGGGGGTGCCGGTAGGCGTGGGCTGGGCGCTGGAGGCGGGGGTAGGGGTAACGCTGGCGCTGGCGGAAGGAGTCCGGGTAGCGAAACCGCTGGAAGAAGGAGTAGGCGTGCGGGTGATGGGAACACGGGTGGTGCCGGTGGCAGGGCGGGTCTCGGTGGGAGCAGCAGCAGTCTCGGTGGAAGACGCAGCAGTCTCAGTGGAGGTGCTCTGTGCGCCCTCACCGTTGCCAGGAGTCTGGGTCTCAGCAGCGCCCTAGAGAAATAATGTTAATTTTTGATATGTGAGTTAGGGGAAATGAGCAGCACATACAGCAGTCACGGTCTCGGTGACAGTAGCAGTAACAGTCACTGCGGAGCAAGCACCGGACTCATTGCCAGCACCACCACCGGACTCATTGCCGGCACCACCGGAGGGAGTGGGAGCCTCAACGAGAGTGACGGTCTCGGTCTTGGTGCCGTTGATGGTGGAGGTGCGAGTGTGGGTAGTGTCCTCAGCAGGCTTAGTGGCCGAGGCATCAGAGCCAGACTCAGTCTATATCAAAGTTAGTTCACGAGTACAAAGCACAAGATATCAGATAGAACACATACAGCAGTGACGGTGTGCTCCTTAGTAGCGGTCTTGGAGATGGTGGTAGTGATGACACTAGTGGAAGTTCCCGAGGTCACGGTGTAAGTGACAGTCACGGGTTCATCGCCAGGGATGTCAGTGCCAGCAGGGGCAGAAACAGTGCTGGACAGAACACCGGAAGAGGACTTGGTGGGACTACCAGTAGGGCGAGAGCTGATGGGAGTGCGGGTGACCACGGGCTTGCTGGAAGAAGCAATAGGCGAAATAGTGCCAGCGGGCACGGAGGAGCTCACATCAGGGATGGAAACGACCGAGGAGGAGGCAACGCTGGGAACGACAGACGAAGCAACGGAAGGAATGGCGCTGGTAGCCACCGAGGTAGCAGAAGAGGACTGCACAGTGGAGGATTCCTCAGCAGGAGCAGACACGACAGAAGAAGAAGCCGTGGGAGCTGGCTCGGCAGCAGTGGGAACCACGAGGACGGTCGAGGTAGAAGGCTCAGCAGCACCGGGGGTGGAGCGAGCCAGGATACGACGAGCGTGGAGACCATCGTGAGTGGCCTGACCCACAGCAGCCATAGCAGCCACGAGGGCAACGGAGAACTTGTTCAAGACAACCATGATGAAGTTATTGGTAACGACGGTGGATATCGAGATGAAAAAAAGTGAAGGTGGGATGAGAGAGATGTCAAGAGCAAGAATGCCGAAGCAGATTGAGCGAGTAGTTAAGTGAGTGTGAGTGTGGTGGGGGAGGAAAGAGCGACAGAGCAAGGTGCGAAATCAATTCGCAGGGAAGGAACGTATGGCTTCTCACAGAGAAGGAAAGAAGAAGAAGAAGTAGGCAAGAGACAAGATTGAAGAAGGAAAGAAGAAGGGAAGAAATGGAGACCTAAGGTAATTAACTCATTTACTCATTTCCTTAATTTCTTAATTTCTTCATTTCTTTAAATTAAATTATACATATCAATTTTAATTTTAATATTATATCTTCTCTTAGTACTTCCCACTTATGAAGGAAGTACTTTCTAATCAAATTCGTGTTGTCGGTAATACCGGTGGATCGACGGTATATGAGTATCCACTGTCTCAGGCACGGAGGTTTCATTGGTCCAAGTCCATTTATCCAGATCCCGTGGGCACTTGGGCTGTGACCTTTAATCTCACGTAAAAAACTATATGGATATTAGCGAAACCTATATTGTATGAATCTCTTATGTTGTACTGACTTCCCTCTATGGATGTGATGTGTCAGTGGCGTCAACTGACATCCGGTCTATTCGATGGAGTGCTTAATAGGGGTTATTGGGTCATTCCAAGGTTGAACGTACATATGTTGTGTACCTTTTGTACCCCATAGGGCATGTCGGCAAACGGGTTTTTAGGGCACGGACGTACTTGAACGTGCCACCAAAAACAAGTCTGACAATACCCAGTTAAAATCCATGGATGTATCTACATTCTATGGGGAAACACAGCCCGAGAATCTACGACGATCATTAAAGAGAAAAATACGGCCAGATCCCCGGGACTTCCGGGAACGTTTGAAAGTTGGAGGTTTGATCTCGGCTGTAATAGTACGGCATACGCAATACCCCCGAAAGGTTTCACATAAATCAGGTCTCCCGTGTCCCAGGGTTCCCCCCGCTTCCATATTTCTCGGGATATAAATTGCTTTTTGGGAAACATGACATTCAAGACTCCACGGGTATATCTAGACACATTATTTCCCATACATTTAAAAATGAAGATTGACACAATTCACTCTAAATGCCGTCTGTATCGATGGTCCACGTGGGGCATATTTACCAAATCTACCGTCTACTCCGTACGGGTATAGATAGGCATTGGGTGAATTGATAAGGTCTAGGCTTCCAACATTAAAAGGCACGGCCCCTGGACTTGGAGTCTATCGATTGTTCATTTCATTTCCCAGAGTACTACTCCGTCCTAAAGCGAATGGTTTATAAAGCTCTGTTTGTAAAGGACCGTCAAGTCTCGCACAAAACCGACTTATGTTGTATAGTGCTCCCCTGGAGTTTCTCCTATTTAGGAGGCAAAGTCCTAAAACATAAGACGACACGGAGAAGCTTTCCAAGATGAAACATCCGGCTGGAAATTTCAATGACACCGTCCTTACCCCTCCCTAACTCTCCCAGATTGTTAGGAATTTGCTCAAAAATGGCAGGAGATCACAATTCTGAGAACCATGGTGAAATGCTGGATCTAAAAAATGTGTCATCCATGGAAATATCCATGGAGCGAAGGCGGTGACGATAGGGCACCTTATCGCTGTGATAACACCTGCATGCATGCCGCATGCATTCCTCGTAGATCATCGCATTTAAGCAATTAGTATTGAGAAGCATGTCCTCGTTCCAAGCCCTCAAAACCCAGTATGGGTTATTACTGAAACAATTTCTGAACTCGAACAAAGACTTCGAGGTTCTAACAACCATCCCACCCGACCACTCCGCAGAATCAGAGACACTCTATGTCTTGGACTCATCCTTCAATCCCCCCACCCGCGCCCACCTCCGCATTGTGAGCACGGCACTTATAGAAAATCCCCGGCCCCGCCCTCGCGTCCTCCTCCTTCTCGCTACTCAGAATGCAGACAAACCATCCAAGCCGGCCTCCTTCGAGGATCGACTCGTGATGATGGAGCTATTCGCTCGGGATCTCCGCGCCCACCTCGCATCAGCACCGGCCTTCGCCGCTTCAGGCGTCATAAATGCTGTGGAGACTCTCCCGTTGATCGACATCGGCGTCACTAAAATGCCGTATTTCGTCGACAAGGCAACTGCCATCGAGGCATCGGATTCTTACCCAGTGCCGCTGGAGCAGGTCCATCTTACGGGTTACGACACTTTGATCCGGATATTCGATTCCAAGTATTATGCGCCCGAACATACCTTGAAACCCCTGGAACCTTTTCTGTCAAAGCACCGCCTGCGCGTGACTATGAGGCCAAGTGATGAGTGGGGTGGAATAGAGGAGCAGTTGGAATATGTCGCGGCTCTTGCTAGAGGTGACCGAGATGGCGAGGGCGCGCGTAGGGAATGGGCCGAGCGGATTCAACTTGTCGAGAGTCGTCTCCCTACCGACCGGCCCGTGAGTTCAACCAGAGCCCGCGAGGCATTGCAATCGGCTCCTCAGGACCTGAACTGGCTGGTCCCTGAACAGGTGCGGCAGTTCGTGCTGTCTGAGCGCCCGTATTCTGGAAACTCTAGAATGTAGATATTTAAACGGGGTAGCCACTGGGGAGACGTTTCCAGTCTATCTCCAACTTGTACAATGATAATGCATGAATGATTTCATAAATAAAGCCATGTACCGACACCGAGACCTGAGGTCACCCACGTTCCAAACGCACAACTAAACCATTTTTAATACACATATTGTACATGACAGAGCGCGAGACCAATGCGGCACCGCGATCTTCGTATCGTTATGAGTTGTCACCTCGATCATGACGCATCCTCTTCCTCCTCCCTCTTACCTAGGGTGTACGCCAACCCACCACCGACCATGTTGACCAAGGCCAAACCCATAGTCGCACCGCGCACGACGCCCCGAACACCCAGCTTCTTCATGAATGGCTGTCGACGGCGGGCTGCGAGAAGAAGATACAGCCCCGAGAAGGCCGCGCTAATGCCGGCAGTGTCCGTCTTGAAGCCCTGCAAGTTGGCATAGCTGGAGAAGATCAGCACAGGCGGAAATAGCATCGGGAAGAACTGGAACGGGCGCATGTGCTGAGCTGCGATCATGGAGGCGAGCAACGTGGGTGGGAATGAGTTTTCTAGGTTGAGAAACGTCATTAGCGAATGGTCACTTGCGACATTGCTTCAGGACAGCTGGCCGATAAAGCTACGCTATTGACAGGACACTTACCACCCCAGGCACGGAAGCGCTGGATTACCGTCTGCTTGGTCTCTTCGACAGTTGAATCGTCCGCCATGATGAGGTATTGAGCTTCGGAGCTGGACTTATGAGTTTTGACAGCCAAGGATTGTGTTTTCTGCGGGTATTATCAATAAGACGGACGTGCTTTGATTGAACTTAGTGGACCTCAAGACAACTTACAATTGAATATCACGGACTTGAAGACGTTGGCAGGTTTATCAGTTCGGCAAGTGATGTTATCGCAAGTGTAATTGACGTTCCGGCGCTTGGCAAAGACACCTAAGACCACGCTTTTTCCCCAATTTATGCCCGCCGAATCAGCCACAACTGTCACTCTGATTTCGGTGCATCTTCATCAGGCCGATATTTTACTCCGGCCATCTCATCGCATGTTAGATTAATTTGCCAGCCCAATCATATCTACGGGATTGCTTCTCCTATCCGCAGTCTCACGCCACCCTACGCCCTCCGGATTCTCTCGACCCCCTCTTCCCTCGAATACAAGCAAACAAGTGCTGTCAATAATCTGTCAGATTTTCCTCATAAACTACGGTCGCTATGCCCTCGGCTTCGGCATCTGGCTCTGACGCCAAAAGCGGAGGTGCGACGTCGCGCGACCATAAGCAAGGCAACCAGGACCGCAAGTACACGGATGAGCAGAAAGCTGCTGTGCTTCGGATTCGAAAATGCCAGCCTACAGCGTTTTACGAAATCCTGCTAGTCGAGCGCTCATCAACGGACAATGAGATTAAGAAGGCGTACCGCAAACAGAGTTTGTTGACGCATCCCGATAAGAACGGTTATGAAGGCGCGGATGAGGCATTCAAGAGTGAGCAATGAACAACCCTGGTCCGTCCCTTGACATATTGATTCTTACGCGCGGTGGCAGTGGTCTCGCGTGCTTTCCAGATCCTCTCTGATGAGGAAAAGAAGTCCAAGTACGACAAATTTGGCGGCGACCCTGATAGCAGGTTCCAGCCCGGGCCGAGCGCCTCGAGCGGCGCATCCCCCTTCAGTGGGTTCGGCGGTGGTGGATTCCCTCGCGGTGGTCAAAGATTCGATGAGGAGGTCTCAGCCGAGGAGATGTTCAACCGGTTCTTCAACGGTGGATTTGGCGGAATGGGTGGTGGTGGATTCGGTACGACTACGCGTTCCTCTGATATCCGTTTAACTTGAACTAACAGTGTGCTACTATAGGTGGTCCGCAATTTGTTTTCAACATGGGAGGCGGCCCAGGATTCCGGGTGCATCAATTTGGAGGCCAGGCACCCCGCCGCCGGCCTCGCGCAGCAGCTACCGAGCAGGAAGCTCAGCTTGATGGCCGCAATTTCCTTCGTCAGATATTGCCGCTTATCATTCTATTCATCTTGCCACTCCTATCCTCTCTCTTCTCTGGCTCCTCAACCCCATCCGGACCCTCCTATCGATTTGATACCCCCGTTTCCCCGCATACCCTCGGCCGCTCGACCCCTAAGCTCAATCTTAATTACTTTGTGAATCCACTCGATGTGGATAACTTTAGTGCCCGAAACTTCCGAGAGCTAGACTCGCGTGTGGAGGTGGAATATGTTAGGACACTGCGGAATGAATGTGATGCCGAAGCCCATGAGCGGGAAAGGAGGTTGCAAGATGCGCAGGGGTGGCTGTTCCCTGATGTTGAGAAGATGAAGAAGGCTCGTGCGATGGAGATGCCGGCCTGTCGGCGCCTGGACCAACTGAAGACGAAGGGGAGAAATTAAATGCACTGCGGACTTTGGAGTCTTTCGCCGCACCTTCTTATGGCATCTTGTTTCTTTTGGGGGCGCTTTTCTGCGGAAGAACGAGCTCTAATATCATTATTAGCCCGTCCACGGAGATGGCATGGGCATCTATGGGAGTTTCAGTTCATTAGCTGTACATTTTATTTTTCCTAGAGTTTTGAATGCATCTAAGATCTTGCTAAATTTGTTCTCTTGGTTTTCCCAGGGCTCAATCATGAGCTTTGGTTCTTATTTCTGAACACAGTATGAATACAGATGATATATCACATCGCACTAGTTTTACATATGTATTGATGTTGTAACCATAAATTCGAAGTATACATATGTATAAATAAGGCCCATGGTTATGGTTTGGCTTTAGTATTTGCACATATAAACGTGTATCTACGGACCAGACCTTGGGATGGATCTATATTTTATATTCTGAATTGCTTAGCGTTTGAACGAACATATTAAAAAGTGACTTTATAAGTACATTATTTTACGCGCGTAAGTCGCGCATAGTCACAAGTACCTTTTCTGTATCTCAACCGCAACCATGGACCATGAGATTCGCTTAGTCAAATTCGATCACAGCGCTGAATCTCGAATCAGAACAAAAGCGAATCTCGGAGATCATCACAGAATCACAAACATCTTTGTTCATCTTCTACGGATTCTAGACTCCATTGCCCCCACTTCGAGGCTTTGAAGCAGCCTTATTCCGCTTTAACGCCTCCTTATGATTCCCACACGATCAGGACAATATTGACGTTCTGCCGACCCGGTCCACCAGATTAGCGGTTTTGCCAACCTTCTCAAATCGGCTTGTTGTCTGACCTTCAGCTAATATGTCGGACACTATTTCTGACGCCGACAAGGTCAGTTGCTTGTTGTGTTCAAATTCTGAAGCTTGTGCCATCCCCGCAGTGACTAGAGAACTGACATCTATTCTTGATAAAAACAGATTCGCAACAAGCGACTTGCAAAACTCTCAAACCCAGCCCAGTCCCCAGTGGATGGTACCTCCGACTCGGCACAGAGCTCAGCTAACACATCCCCATCACATTCACCGCTGTCCGCTCAGCCACCGAGCCGCCTTTTCAACGCGCCACCAACCCCGCAACAGTCAGAAGGGAAGCGGATCAAGATCACACAGGCCACGGCTACACCAGAGCGACCACGATCCGCCGCTCCCTCAGCCCCGAGCACCCCTCCGCCACAGAAAATTGAAAGCATTGAGGCCTTCGAAGACAGGACACTAAGTGCCGTGTTCAGAGTGACCCTCAAGGAAGAAGGGCAACGCGACATTCATGGTAACCGCACATACCTGCCTGGACTTCGGAGTGAACTGCAGGGTGAGGGCCAGGATCTGCGCATTCAGGTCGCAGTTCTGGACCAAGCCCTCCTAGAGGCGGCGTCAAAGGATGAGAGGCAACGTCCCCTTGATTATCTGCTCCCATGCTGGAAGCGCATCACAAAGCTGTACAAAGGACTGAGGCGGACAGGAGATAATGACCCAAAGTATCAAGTTCTGTGTGAGGCGCGGCGCCTGTGCATGAGTTACTGTATCTTTGCGATTACAATGCCAGAGATGTTTGGGTTCGTTTTTCTGGAATTTCACTGCACTGGCACTCGACACTGACTGTTTGGACTATAGGAGCGAATGGTCCCTGCAATCATCGTTGGCCGCATACCTTCTTATCGACCCTGAGGACGACAAAGGAATCGATTTCGAGTTTATCAATGAGGCTGTCAGAAGATTCGACGAAGATGACTCCGTTAAGCCTGCCTTCATATCTGCCGTCGAGCAGTTGAGCGCACAGCTTTCTTCCATGGACGTTAACGATGACTACAAGCCATACGCCATTGTAAGTCAAGCGTCAGCATTTCCCTGGACCACGTCTGACCAGTTTGTTCAGGCTCTTCGAAATCTTGTTCGCCACGGATCCATTGCGGCTGCAATCACAGAATCCTCCATTTTTAACAATACCAAGGATCCTGCTCTATTCGAGAAAGCCACTCTTCTGGGTCCATGGTTCCGCCTCTCCCCTCTTCAAGCTAATGTCACCCTGTCCTATTTCTCTAGCCCCAAGACCCGGGATCAGGCGTACATTTCCAACGCCCAGCGATCGCTTCGAATGACACAGCAGATGCTTAGCTCCGATCTTCTTGATGTTGTTAACCATCTGATCCGGGCCTCAAAAGAGGCTCGGGATCGTGTTTTGGATTGGTTCGCTACTGCTATGAACATCAATCACAAACGGCGGGCGATCCAGGTCGACCCTACACAAGTATCGTCTGATGGCTTCATGTTCAATATCACAACTTGCCTGGACCAGCTCTGTGAGCCGTTCATGGATGCAGCATTCACCAAAATAGACAGAGTCGATGCGGATTATCTCCACCGCGATTCTCGCGTTGACATGCGGGATGAGACCAAAATCAATGCCGACCAGCATGCTTCTGACGCTTTCTATTCCAAGAGGGTCGAAGGAATCTCAAACTTTATCACTGAAATATTTTTCCTGACTGTCGCCGCTCATCACTACGGCAGTGAATCATTGACGTCTAAGATGGAGCAACTCGAAAAAGATGTGCGACAGATGGAGAGCACCATCACTAAATTCGAACTTGAGCGGGTTCGCTGGCTCAACAACCCACAGCAACTGCGCACCTTCGATGCGGCCCTGAAGAAGTATAAAGACAAGCTCGACTTGGGAATTGCTCTCAAGTACAGTCTGCAGGGTGTATTGTTTGACGAGCAGTGGCAGGCTCGTTCTATGCTATTCATGCGATATGTCACCGTGTGGCTTCTGAGACTCGTCTCCGGAAAGAACTTTCCCAAGGAGCAGGTTACCCTTCCTCTTCCAGAGCAGCAACCCGAAGTCTTCAAATGTCTACCAGAGTACTTCTTGGAGGACGTTGTCAGCAACTTCAAGTTTATCATGTGGTGCATGCCACAGATCATTACCGCCACCCAGGGAGATGAGTTGGTAATGCTGTGCATCACATTCCTGGAGAGCTCCGCCTACATTAAGAATCCCTACCTGAAAGCTGGACTTATCTCTATTCTGTTCCGAGGCACCTGGAAACGCCCTGGTGGCGCCAGTGGTGTTTTAGTCGACCTGCTCCACTCGATGCCATTTGCCAACGAGCATCTCCTCCATGCGGTCATGAAATTCTACATCGAGGCAGAGTTCACGGGAACACATTCGCAATTCTACGACAAGTTCAACATCCGTTACGAGATCTTCCAGATTATCAAATGCATCTGGCCCAACACTCTGTATCGGGAGAAGTTGTCCCTTCAAGCCAATCAGAACCTGGATTTCTTCGTCCAATTTGTCAACCTCCTACTGAACGACGTGACTTACGTACTCGACGAATCCTTCGGTGCTTTCAAAACTATCCACAACACACAGACCGAGTTGAATACCCAGGGTCACACAATGGATACCGCAACCCGCCAGCAGCGGGAAGAGCATCTGTCATCGGCGCAGCGCACCGCCAAGAGCTACATGCAACTGACTAACCAAACCGTGGCAATGCTCAAGCTATTCACTGATGCACTTGCTGACTCGTTCACAATGCCTGAAATCGTGCAGCGTCTGGCAGACATGCTGGACTACAACCTCGACGCAATGGTCGGACCCAAGAGCTCCAACCTCCGGGTGGATAACCTGCAGGAATATGGCTTCAACCCCCGTGCTCTTCTAAGTGAGATTGTCGACGTCTATCTTAACCTGATCAACAAGGAAAACTTCATCCTGGCTGTTGCCCGTGATGGCCGATCCTACAAGCCGGCCAATTTCGAGAAGGCAGCCGAAATCATCCGAAAGTGGTCGCTGAAATCCCCCGAGCAGCTCCGTTACTGGAGTCAGCTGCAGAAGAAGGTCCAGGCTGTCAAGGAGGCCGATGATCAAGCGGAGGAAGACATGGGCGAGATTCCCGAAGAGTTCCTCGGTATGTCCCCCTTATCTGAATACTGTTTTTCGACAGCTGCTAATCTTCTAGATCCTCTTATGTATTCACTTATGGACGACCCAGTCATCCTTCCCGGCTCGCGGATATCCATTGACCGCGCCACAATTCGCTCGCATCTCCTCAGTGACCCCCACGATCCATTCAACCGTGTCCCATTGAAGATGGAAGATGTAGTGGCTGGTAAGCAATTTTCCTTTCCTGGGTGTTGATCCACTACTAACCCACCTTTCCTAGACACCGATCTCAAAGCCAAGATCGAGGCGTTCAAAACAGAGAAATTAGCTGGCAAACGGAAGGAAATGGTACATGATCGGATGGATACATCGAATTAAGAAGCGGGAGCTTTTATGATTTAATTCACAAGCTTGCTTGTTTAGGGGCATTTCCATTAGCGTTCACGGGACAGAGACAGATACTACACCTCGTTTATGTGGAATATGCCCTGGGTTATTTATGTGCGTGGCTTTTTGTCGAATGGATAATCAAACGAATCCAGTCCTATCGTCAATTTGCTCAATCTGTGTAATTTGTCCCTGTGCTACCTTTTGTAGCAAGCAGTATGAGGAAGTTCGTTTGCATGACCTATTCGAAGTAGTACAGAGTGTATTTCTTGTATTTGACAACCACGCACCATCTTGCCAGAAATTGTCCCCTTGATCAGTACGGCTGACACTGTTTGTCCTTTTAAAAGATATAGAAAGCAAAAGAAAAAGTAATAGAAGAGAAAGAGGAAGAGGAAGAGGAAGACGTTCCAACTCCCTATCCGGGACCCACCGCCTTCCACATCAGCTTTTAAGCTTCTTGTTTATCCTCCGTGATCTTCAATCTTCTTCTCTTCAACTTTCAATTGCCTTTCAATTGTTCAATATGGGTGCGACGATTTCCACTTGTTGGGAAGCTTTACCCTCTACTGGGGAGCTCCTCCCTCCAACTCCGGCTGTCTATACATCAATTATATGCTGCTTCCAATACTTCCCCCTGGTCAGGACCCTGAAGCCATATATGATATCACAAGGCTAACTCGGTGTATTTAGATCACGGTGGTTCAATGGATTCTATCCTGGCATCCAGCAGGGAAAACCTCCTCGCAGTCCATCTTCAACATTCCAGGACGTATCGCCTGGTCTGCCATGGAAATTGTCGGCCCTATCAACTTGATATATTGCATGGTCACCCCATCACCATATGCACCCTCATTCACTGATCTCCCTATGTCAAATATCCTCATTGTAACTCTGTACTGCACCCACTATCTCAACCGTGCTATCATCTCCCCTTTCTTCTCCGCCCCCAGCATGTCCCCAATCCACGTTGCCATCATGTCCTCCGCCATGCTCTTCAATTGGTTCAACTCGGCCTGTCTGGCCGGCTGGCTGCGTGGATATACAGTGCCAACTATCCCAAGCTTCCACGCAGCTAGCAGTGGAAGTCCGACTCGCTCTGCGGTGATAGATTTCCTCCCCACCGTGGGCGTGATCTTATTTGCCATCGGAATGGCCGGCAACATCTACTCGGAGACAGCGCTATTCCGACTCAGACGTGAAGAAGCCGAAAAGCGCACTGCCAAGAAGACAGACGACGAAACTCCAGCGGCACAAGGCAGCGGAAACAAGTACCACAAAGTCTACGTCATCCCACCTTCCCGTGGTGTCTTCCGATACATCTTATATCCGCATTACGTCTTTGAATGGCTTGAGTGGATTGGTTTTGCTCTGGCTGGTACGGCAGTTGCCCCGTCCTCCGCCCTACCTATCTCCGTTTCGGCATCTTCTGTGGGGATCGCTCCACCGCTGCGTCTTGCGCCTTGGTTGGTGCCTGCGGCGTGGGCGGTTGGCAAGCTCGCTGTGCCGCTGCCTTTGCCCGCTGTGATCTTTGTTGTCAATGCGGTTACGAATATGTTGCCCCATGCGCGCTGGGGACGGAAGTGGTATGTTGAGAAGTTTGGGGAGAAGGCTGTTGCTGGAAGGGGCGCTGTTGTCCCTGGTTGTGCGTGGATGTGAATCTACCGAGCTCCTCTAAGTGGCCTTTTTATTTTTTATTTTTTATTTTTATTTTCGTGACTGGCTTCCCAGCCTTGATATTCAAATACAAAACATTCTTTCTGCGTGTCTGAAGTTGAATTACCCAGTACATCATTTCTGGATAGCTATCATAATTGGTGATTCCATATCATAAATCTCGTCGCGCATATCGATCCTTTCGGGAGTCTGTCGGAACTGTCAATCTGGGATGACAGCCTTCACCATCCTCCTGGCCTTGGGGTCCACATGGGGGGATGTAGTGTAACACCAAGGTGCGATGTCGTAGACCTACATTCTTTGTCGGTGGATAAGTTGGATGATGAGTTAACCCACCCCTTCACATATGCTCACTTACCTTTTGGATATCAAAATACATAAAATCATCACCTGGATATAAGTCTTAATGATAACAAAGTCAAACTTTATCCTCCGCATGCAAGATGACAAGAATAGACGGAGTGGGAAAAGTCATATCAGGATGTACAGAAAAATAAAGTCGTATATATCCATGATATAGAATACAGACCTCGAGAAGTGACTATGAAAATGTTCGGAAAGGCAAGAAACATACATCTCCATCCTCCTGCAGGGTATTATCATGAAGAAGGTCTCTTTAAAAAGAATATACCTCTATTGGATCTATTCAAAATGCCTTCTTATGCCCTCCAGCGCGAGAGCATCATGATCGGAACCCACAACCAGGACAAAGAAAGAAAAGAGCCCTGCGTATAGGAATCAGGCTTTCCAGCACCATTAGTAACAGCAAGGTAAGGATCCTGGCCGTAAGTTGTGTTTAACGTGACACGAGCCTGGGCCGACCCATCTTCCAATCGAATCCAAGTCTCAGTGTCATCTGCGAGATTTCCCTCGTGGAGTAAGATCTGCCGTCCACCGCGGAGCAGATCACCGTAGCCACCATACCCCGTATGTCGACCGTAGCACATATTTATACCATTCCCGGTTAGATTGTGGTCAACGAGAGATCCATCCCATTTAAAGCACCTGCGATATTTGATTAGCGTTTCAGTCATGCAAGTGGACGATTATTGTCTGCTAGCGACGCATACCAGTCATTCTGGTGATCGTGGCCGCTAAATCCCGCAATTAAGCCCTCGGTGTGTAGGAGCGCGTCCATGAATTTGACGTCCTGGCCATCATAGCGCCACGCACTGGTTCCTTGCGGGTTAACGCGTTCGGCATTCACGCCGGGCGTTAGGCGCGGATTTACGCCTCTTGTTTGTTGGTGTTCGAGCATTGCGTGGGCGGGGATGTGGTAGAATGCTAGCGAAGGGATGACCTTTCCATACTGCTTTTTCAGTTTGGAATCGGTTTTGGTGAACCAGTCAACGACCTTGAATACACCCAGTTAGTTGGTGTTTCTTCTTCTTCAAAAAAAAGATTGTTCTACCGATTCATCAATCCAACTAGGTCTCTTAACAGCAGACCCGCCCTCTCCTTGCTTTTTATAATAATGTCCGCCCTTCGAATCGAAGAACCACAGTATCAGCGCCGGCGTGCTGGTATTTGCCTGTCCATGTGAAAACACAGGCAAGTAATAATTCGTTATCCCGGCCTTGTCGCCAGAGATCCTACTCTGCGTCAAGCTATTGGGGTACTTTTGCTCGGCCTTGAACATGTCATCTTTCGGATTGAGATTAACCTCGCTGTCGTGGTTGCCGTATGTCGATGCCCAGCTATACCCCTCATTGACGAGAGGGGAAACGACCGAGTCGATATATTTTTTTGAATCGGCTTTTCGGGTTCTTTCGCCGGATACTAGGTCGCCGTTTATGACGATGAAGTCGATGTCCTCCTCTGAGAGGATGTTTGACATCACTCTTTTAGACTTCTTGTCTTTTTCTTCGTCTATAACGGATTAGCAAGAGTCTCTTCCTTGTATGTTACTACGGCATACCCTCGGCGAAATGCAAATCCTCAAAGACCCCAATGTGAAATGTCCCATCCTCTCTGAATCGCAGGGTTCGATCCATAGGTGGTTTGAGTACGACTTGATCTAATGCTCTGAGGTCCGGTCGAGGTACCATATTGGAGAAATGTTGAATCCAGACTCCAGAGTGTTATTCTCGTTGGAAGTGCGGGAAGATAGGCTTTTATAAGCTTTGGGGGGAAATTTCACGTGCGAAAGTGTCTCACTAAGTCGATCACGTCAGGGAGATTCGTGCCAAGACATTTCTATATTAAGTCGGCCTTCTACAATTGACAGGCCTTGGGAGTTTACCGTGGTTATTATGCTTGTGCTATTTCTATCTATAATCTATATTCCCTGATTATACATATAGAAAGTCATCTCTGTAACACATGAATTCAGCTTGAACTAAAGTTTCCTCCATTATGTAGTCCAGGGCTGAGCTTAAAGTACAAAATAGTATAACTATATATATATATATATATATATATATATAATAAGGAAACCATGGCCCTAAAATTTATAATAAAGCTAAAATGCAATTTGGTATGCCTGCAAATAATCCAACGCCTTCACTAGCCGAACAAGAAGAAAGAAAAAAGAACAATAAATACCGACCTAGAATGTATCCCCTGTCGGCGAGCTGAGATACCATTCTGCAAGGTCCTTAAACCCGATAGAGGTATCCTCGGGGAAATTGTAGAGTTTGGTAGTACGTAGGACGAGGGATTGGCCGTTGTAATAGGACTCAAAAGCGCGGGCTCGTTTACCCATAAATGAGACCACAAAGACCTGTAGAGTACTCGGTAAGTGACTGTAGAAAATGGAAACGAAAGATAGAAAATTACCGGTGCTTTCCTATGCTGGAGGAGGCGTATCTTCCTTAGTTGGCCTAGCATCAGGCGGAGGATAGTCAGGAGCTCCCCACGAAGAATCATCCCATCTGTCGCCTCCATGCCATTGTATATAACTGCTTTGGTGTGTGGGAAAGCCTTTCCACGAACATCCGTCATCCCAAAAGCCCCAAATTCAGGTTTATCATACTCATACAAATCCTTGTAAGGTCTGTAATCACCAACGCTATCCCACACTATTAGCCGTCATAACCCTTAGAGAGAGAATGTCCAGGATAGTGTTAATCTCACTCTTTCCTGGTCCATGGGGGAAACACCCCGTAGGGAGCATAAGACGACCAGGGGCCTGCAACCTGGCGGGCCCGGTCGACGGGGCGCGTAAAACAGAAATCCTCGAATTCCAAAACCGAGCGGACTTTATCAACGACGCTGTCACTGGACTCCGGGATGCTGGGATATGGCTCGAAGAAGGAAGGTTTGCTGGCTGAATCTTCTCTATCAAGGGTCATGCGATGGTGAACAATACCAAATCCCCCGAGTTCTGTCACATCAATTTTGTGCTTTTCGTTTTCGGAGAGCTCATCAATAACAAGCTCTAGGTCTAATAAGACTATGCGGTCCTTGTAATGTTCGGGTGATTCGGGTGATTCAGCAGACATGTTGTGTATTTGATGTTTTTGGAAATGGACAAGGCGGGGGGTGGTATTGATAGTGTGGATGGAGGGAGTTGGAAAGGTTTAAATGCAGCCCGTGAGTGTCTTTTATGTCACTAGTTAGCTGTGTTTGCATCATACAAGGATTGACAGACACGTAGTGAGCTTATGTGTGATGGGATGGGAGGCGGTTGCCTTAGCGACGCGCCAAGAGTATTCCTACTTCTCCGGACAACCCACGTAAAATCCACGACATATTGGATATCAAAAGCTCAATGGACCGTGCCATGGGGTTGCTTCATCGTTGCCAATCATGGTCTACGTATTGTGATAGCTTTGGGACCAAATCGAATATTCCTGAAGGAACGTTCGCAATTGCTCGTCACTATCAACTTGAAGTTGACAAAACTCAAAGTAAAGCGAACCCTCTTGCATTCTACACTCCTGTCGCGAAGCGTACTCGAAACCAGGAAGCGCGGGGGGTCAAGAAGGATCTTTACTTGGAGACTCCTACCAAGATAAAAGGAGGTTTATCTAGTTTTTCGATTAAACGAAAAAGGACCGAGGCTACTCTTGATTCAGAGGATTCGGGGGACGATGAAGATGACATCCGAACACCATTCAAACCAACTACTCCAGTGCCACAGGACTTGGCAGCCATTCTGTATCCTCCAACAAAAGATGAACAGATTGTGAATACAGCGCTGGTGGTATTCCTTAATGCCCTCACTATCCACTTCGCTCTCTCTTTGGATTGGACCTTGCACCGAAAATCATTTAATGCAGTTTTCGAAAATGCTGTGTTTCAAGCAAGAACGGACGGATATCTAGGTGATTCGTATGGAACGCCTAGCATTCTTATTGAGGTCAAACCCATTGGGAGATCCGCCAAACTGGAGCTCATTCAAATGCAAGAGAGTGCCCAAATGGTCGCCTGGATCAAAAGCGATGACGAAAAATCCCAGAAACGTCATAAGACGTAAGTCTATTTCCTCTGCTTTTGCCATAGATAGAGCTGACATAACCACAGACGTCTTCATGTATCTCAAGACCGACATGAGGTGTTCGTCACAGTCGCTAAATATGACGAGGGGTATCTTAATTATCTCAACAACACGCACTCTCCAAGTGATGACGATGATGGGTCCTTTTTAACAATGCACCAATTTGGTCCGTGGGATACACTGGATGAATCACACATCCGTGAGCTGGGGCCGATTCTTCTGGCAATCAGCTTGCAAGCTGATGCTAATAGCAACGCCCACTTGATTTACTGAGATTACTTATCCTGCAATTTATGTTCTTTCTTTCTTGTTGAGATTTTATTGATATATGCATCGTGTCTGATATGTTTTTATTGTATTTCTGCGTGCATATCTACTGAATATGAGTCGCTTGATTGATTTACTTCAACCTTGGTTCCCTCTAGCTAGCGCTTAATTTTGTCCCCCCGGGCAGGTGTCCCCCCGGGCAGGTGTCCCCCCGGGCAGGTGTCCCCCCGGGCAGGTGTCCCCCCGGGCAGGTGTCCCCCGGGCAGGTGGTAACATGTTCGACTTCTTTTTCTTTTCTTTTCTTTCAACGTGAGGCCGGCAAATCAACGCCCGTAGCTGAACTACGCGAAGTCAGCATTTAGTCTCGTCGGGTTTGCGGTGTTCAACACTGTCCCTACTCTGTACCCAAGCCTACCCGGAAATGGTAGGTCCCCTGATACTACAGGGAATCTTCACTGCCAGGAGATATAAAGTGGAGTTCTCGCGTGAGTCCATTGGCGCAGGAGGGAGTAGAACCGGTGGGATATGAGTATTGGTACTTTGAAATCGGAGCCTGAGGGTTTTGCTCGGCTAGAAGATGATGCGTGAGTGCTTGCTTGCAGGCGCGTTATCTTGCGAATGGCGGGTTTTTGGAAGAAGGTCAGATTCTTAAAATAGAGCATTTGAGGATTAGCCATAATCCGAGGAAGTTACTTGGTACTTCCGGTCGAGGCTTATTTCATTTAAGTGTAGCTAACTCTTCGTCTTATAGCCACTGTTTTCCAGGGCCGCTATGGTATTGTCTCCGCACCGCAGACAGCCTGGGATCTGTACAAGGGCTCTATGTCTGTGATGAGCTTGCCGAGCTTGACTTTACTCACTGACGGTGTTTAGATGATTGATTATACCCCCAGCTTTTGTTTATATGATCATTCTCATGGTAGTTATCCCACGGGTGTACACGTCCATTGCACAATTATATAGTTATGTTGTACATAGTAGTAGTCCCCGTCCAGGGGTCCGTCCGTTTACAGTCTTTCCGAGGCCAGAAACTGGCAACTTTTATTGAGCAGTTTCAGCGTGTTTTCTACCGTAACTTACTTCTTCACTCTTCGAGCTTACATTGGAACTAAACGTAATCATAAAGCTACATATGTAGATATCCCGTGTTGTTATAGCCCTGTTTAATACGCGCCACTTGTGCACCAGAAAAGAAACCTTTTTATTTCTCCCGCAAACACCAAAACTACAGGAACAAAGATTATTGTAAATTGTAATATTGACAACTGATTCTACACTATGATAGAGACAGTAGGTCAAATTCGGCAATGCAAATCTGACCAAGCAAGGTTGTAGAGCTTGCTGTGTGTGGAAAACCACACAATGTTGAAATGGTAAAACCAACACCAACCCGACATCACAACGAAAGTAGGTCATGATGTCGGCCAGCGCCAGTTTAAAATCGTCAGTCATGTTGAAACTCCAGGCCCGCTTTTGGTATCCTCTAGAAAACCCGTTGAAACCCATATGTTGAACTTTTGGTATCATCGTCGTAACTCATCAGAAAAGAAAACTCCCCAGTACTACTGAGGCGACAGGTTGATTGTCGCCTCCTCATTAGATTATTGGTAAATTGAAATAATTTACTGCGCGTACTTCTGGCGGAAGTACTTGGCAGCGTTGACCATCTGTTTGTGTTTGATCAGCATTTTGAACGTCATTTTGGGGGAATATTGCTTACCGCAGTGAGAGCTGCCTTGGTCTCGGGCCATCCACGAGTCTTGAGTCCACTGTAAAAAGAAACAGATTAGCAAAAGAAAACTAGATTTAGTGTTAAAAGCACGAACCAGTCAGGGTTACACCAGAGCTGCGATGGAGTCAGGTATGCCAGCATCTCCTCGATGCGGTCCTTGATCTCCTGCTCGGTGGGGACACGGGGAGAGTGGATGTCGTAAACACCAGGGCCAATGTGGCGAGGGTAGGCCTCGTCGATGAAGACCTTGAGGAGCTTGGCATCAGACTTGCTGTTCTCGATGGACAGGACATCGGCATCGAGAGCGGCGATGGCGTGGAAGAAGTCCTGGAACTCAGAGTAACAGAAGTGGGAGTGGATCTGAGTGCCATTGGTGACACCAGCGGTGGACAGCTTGAAGGAGTCAACAGCCCACTTGAGGTAAGCAACACGGGCATCACCAGTGCGGAGGGGAAGACCCTCACGGAGAGCAGGCTCGTCGACCTGAATCACAGCAATGCCAGCGGCCTCAAGGTCAACAACCTCGTCGCGGAGAGCGAGAGCGAGCTGCTGAGCCTGGACGGACTGGTGGACATCGTCACGGGGGAAAGACCACCGCAGGCAAGTGATGGGACCAGTGAGCATGCCCTTCATGGGCTTGGGGGAGATGGAAGCGGCGTACTTGGACTCCTTGACGGTCATGGGGGCGGGACGAGAGATGTCACCGACGATGATGGGGGGACGCACGCAGCGGGAGCCGTAAGACTGAACCCAGGCGTGGGTGGTGAAGACGTAACCAGTGAGGCGCTCACCGAAGTACTGCACCATGTCGTTACGCTCGGGCTCACCGTGGACGAAGACATCGAGATCGAGCTCCTCCTGGATCTTGACGACGTCCTGGATCTCCTTCTCGATGAACTTCTCGTACTCCTCAGGGGTGATCTCACCCTTGGTGAACTTGTTACGCTGGATGCGGATCTCCTTGGTCTGGGGGAAGGAACCAATGGTGGTGGTGGGGAATTGAGGGAGCTTGAGGGTCTTGGTCTGTTCGGCGTAACGCTCAGGGAAAGCGGACTTGCGGTTGTGCATCTCGGGGGTGACAGCGGCCTGGCGGGCCTTGACAGCGGGGTCGTTGGTGCGGGCGGAGGAGGCACGGGCCTGAACAGACTTGGCGTTGGCCTCGAGCTGCTCACGGACAGCGGCGGGGCCCTCGGTGACGGCCTTGGCAATCACGACAACCTCAGCGGCCTTCTCGACAGCGAAGGAGAACCAGTCGCGGACCTCAGCGTCAAGGGTCTTCTCGCTGGCGAGGGTGTGGGGAACGTGAAGGAGGGAGCTGGAGGTGGCAACAATGACACGGTCCTTGCCGAGCTTCTGGATAGCGTTCTCGACCTTCTCGATGGCGGCCTTGAAGTTGGTCTTCCAGATGTTACGTCCGTCGACAACACCAGCGGAGAGAACCTGCTTGGGGCCGAGAGCGGCGACAACGGTGTCGAGCTGCTCGGGGTTGCGGACAAGGTCGATGTGGATGGAGTGGAGGTTCTGCACGTTGGCGAGGACCTCAATGTTGTGCACGATGTCACCGAAGTAGGTGGCGAGAGTGATGCGGGGACCCTGGGCACCGAGGGCACCGAGCTTCTCATAGGCGGGCTTGAAGGCAGCCTTGGACTTGGCAGCGAGGTCGAAGACAAGGACGGGCTCGTCAATCTGGACATCCTCGGCACCAGCGGCCTTGAGCTTGGACAGAAGCTCAACGTAGAGAGGAAGGAGCTTCTCAAGCAGAGTGATGGGGTCAACAGTCTGGTCACGGTCGGCCTTGGCGAGAGTCAAGAAAGAGACGGGACCGAGGATGACGGGGCGGGTGGTGATGCCAGCGGCCTTGGCCTCAAGGAACTCAACAACAGGCTTAGGCTCGGCAGCAAGCTTGAACTCCTGGTTGTCCTGGAGAGTGGGCTTCACGTAGTGGTAGTTAGAGTCGAACCACTTGACCATTTCCTATTGATTGAGTCAGCATACTGAATTCGGACACATATAATGTAATTATTTGCACATACCAGACTGGGAACATCAATGCCCTCCTTCTGGAGACCACGACCCATGGCGAAGTACTCATCGAGAGGGTTGAGGTTGTACTTGGAGTAACGCTCGGGGATGGTTCCGAAGAGCTGGTGGTGGTCGAGGACTTGATCGTAGAAGGCGAAGTCGTTGCTGGGAATAACATCGACACCGGCATCCTTCTGGATCTTCCAGTGCTCGAGACGAAGACGCTTGCCCTCGGCGAGGAGCTCATCGCGGGAGATCTTATCAGACCAGTAAGCCTCGGTGGCCTTCTTGAGGTCACGAAGTCTTCCCATGCGGGGGAAACCCAGAATAGATCTATCCAAATAATCAGCAACTGTCTCGGTAAATGTTCAATATAGTCGAGCCAACATACGATTGAACCATTCTGATGGATATATGTGAAAAGGAGAAAAGAAGAAAAGGTTCTCAAGGATAGAATTTTCACAAATCCGATGCCTTTGAGAGAGAGAATGAAGGAAAAGAAGGGAAAAGGTTTGGGAAATGTCGAAAGAAATATGGAGGGGGAACAAACAGACGCTAACCCCAATGGAGTTGTTGATCCACATACAAGTAGGAGGGGCAGCAATACAGTATGATACATGATACAGTACCTTTGTGTACTTATGTACCTGTGGTCCCGGGATTCTGGGGGATCTAGAGGGATATTGTGTAATTTACTGTTATTTTCAGTGTACATCTAGTATCAATACCCCATGATCTCCGTGATCGGTCCGCCAATGGATGATCACGCCATTGAGACGATAAGGCCTACAAGTTGGTTACAACTATTGCCAATTAGTCTTCTTTTTTCCTTTCCTTTTTTCTTTGTTTCAGTAAGGGTTTCATATATGGTATATTGTATATTGTATGTTGTATGTTGTATATATATAAATCTGAATCTTCTCGATTAATGAGCGGTCAAGTCCACCAATATATATGTCACAAAATGTAGAATTGAGTACGCGGACAACTAACTCTTGTGTGACACGTTGGCAATTGACCCCGCCCCTTCACCCGGACAACAGCTACCTTATGGAGTACCTATAGAGGTAGGTAAGCTGACATCCGTGAACTAATGTGTTGTACTATATATGTCATTAATAACTTCATTACTCCCATACAGAGTAGTATTTTTCTAGTTAATTCTGCATGATTCTCTCAATGTGCCTCCTAAAGAAGAAAATAATGACTCAGAAGATCCCCTAACAAACCCCGGTGTCGGGGTCCGTTCAAGCAATTGATCGGCCCACGTGATATCGTGATAGGAAAAAGTTAATTGAGAGTATAACTTTTTTTCTCTTTTTTTTTTCTTTGGGGAAAAAAATAAATATAGTCATTGTCAAGCGCCAAGCCTCTCATCAGACAGACGGAAAAAAAAGAGCAGCCACCATGACCTTGCCCGACGTTGATTCCCTTAATGGAACAAACTCCCCGCAAAATATTCGGAATAGCGAACATCAGGCCCAGAACTCCGATAAAGTTTCTGTGACTAATGAAGATGACCAGGACCTCCTGAAGCTTGGCTATCGCTCTGTCTTGGCTCGAGGATGGGGTTCATTCGACAATTTCGCCTGCTCCTTCTCGGCCTTGAATTGTGTCGGAGGAATCCGTGTGCTTTTCTATATCGCCCTAAGTGGAGGCGGACCGGCTGCCATGTATGTTCTACGATTTCCGCTACCTGCAGTTCCCGGCCCTTTTTCGGATTGATCACATTACTAACAAATCCCTCAGCTGGAGCCCTTGAGTCTCTGGTAGCATACTGTCCATCATCACAGCCGCCTGTCTCGCTGAAGCGTGCTCCAGCTATCCCGCCGCGGGGTCAATTTACTACTGGGCCTTCCGATCCTGGGGAGGGGGTAAAGTCGGCCGTTTCATCTCGGTCCTCGTTGCGGCATGGACATTGGTTGCGTGGACCGCCTTTCTCGCGAGTGATTCGTTTGGTGTCGCCAACTACCTGATTTCCGAGATTGTCGTGTTTGACCCGAAGACGAGCTTCCCATATGAAACGGCCGACGTACGAGCGCGCGCCGTGGCATGGGCTATCTCACTTCTTTTCCTGGCTATCGCTACTTCGCTCAATTTCCTGCCTCCGCGCATGTACGCCTGGGTGTTCCGAGCGGGTGTGACGGTCATTACCATCGATATGCTGCTCAACTTCATATGGCTTCCCATCGGCGTCTCTAAGACGTACGGCTTCCAGTCGGCCGAATACGACTTAACGTCTACATACAATGGCGGAGAGACCAGTCCCGGACTGAACTGGGTTCTTTCCTGGTATTTGGTCGGTAGTTGTCTCGTGGGACAGGATGTGTCGGCCAAGAAGGCCGCCGCGAAGGGTATCTACTGGGCAACTGTTGCGTTTGCGCTGTGCGGCTTCCCGATCATTATCTTGTTTCTCTTCTGCATGCCCCCGATTGAGACATTCTACAACACTAGCGCGCCTCAGCCGTTCATCAATATGTACGCGATGGCGCTCGGACCTCATGCCCACGTTGTAATGACCATTGTCTCGATGATCGGAGCAATTCTCAACACTTCGATTGCGCTAGTTGCTGTATCACGACTCGTATTCGCCGTGGCACGCGATGGCGTCTTCCCATTCAGCGACGTGCTATCGCGTGTGTCGAAGTCGAAGCGGCCTCACAACGCTGTCATCTTCATTTCCACCATTGCCGCACTTCTCTGCACTCAGCTCCCGTCTCAAGTGGCCTTCTCAAGCTTGGTCTCCACTTCGGCTGCGGGTTCCCTCGCAGCATATGGTTTGCTTGGAACCGGTCGCGCTTTCATCACGCGTCAATCTTTCCGCCCAGGCTTTTGGGATTTGGGCCGATTTGGCGTGGTCGCCGCGGTGGTTACTTTCTTGTGGAACGGGTTTGCTTTTGCTGTTCTCTGCGCCCCGGCCTACTCGGATAGTGCAATCAACAAGGATTCCACCTTGTTCAACTACGCGATTGTGATTATGGGTGGTGTTACCATCATCGCAATCGCTGAGTGGTGGCGCAAGTCCCATGGTATTTGGTTTGAGCATATCAAATATGTTGACTCAGATACCAAAACAAATCACTCTATTGGATGTGAGGAGAAGACGAATGTCTCGGCCGGTACGACTGCCGTTTGAACCAGTGAGCAGTTCTACACCATCTTCCCTTTCCTGATAGTCATCGGGACTACTGGATGGGAACGGGAAAGAAGGGGGATCTGGCACCTATGCAAGGGTGATTTTAGTAAGTGTGTTTTCTGTAGCACGCATGACGGGTGTTCGAGGTCTTGCATTTTTGGTCATCCAAAAGCGCGAGTCTCGTTCTGAGAAATTACCGTTAAAACTTGATCTGGACAATACCAGCGAAAGGACATGCATGCTTCAATCCTCTTCTATTCTTAGTGTCGTGCCATGGAAGATCTTATCTCAAGGCAGATGCTACTGACTGTACCTCTTAGGGCGTAGATCTGCGGTTTGCTACTGACAGGTCCGGTGCCCAGCCATTCCTATGTTGGGCTAGGCTAAATATGCGTTCCCGAGGCAAGATGCGATGAACCGTTCCTTTCGTCATTCACTACTATGTCGCTCCAGGGCCTCAGCAGTGATTGAACTCGACCGCATGCGGTGGCAAACGAAACTCCACCCAGAAAAAGAGGTCAAAAGCCAAGGACAAACTGCTTTCGAAACTGGAGGAAAAGCGCAAGGCTGAGCAGGAGATCCAAGCCAGGATATGAATGACTACTGTTCGATCTTAGATTTGCAGACTCATTTGACAGGTTAGAACAGTGAAAGGTTTCTTGTGTTTAACTATATAACGATCTAGAAGGGATTCTATTAGTTGACTCCGCCTATAACTAGAGTTTTCTACTAACTAACTCCGCCTTTAGACTTATTAGTCGGTTCTACCATACTTGCCCGCTTAAAGAGATTTCTGGCAGGAGATTCCGCCTAGGTTCGATATTTGCATTTCTCCTATGTTTGTAGGACCTACCCATAACATTAATGGTCCTGCCTGTAGATTTCCTTTCTTCTTTTCTTTTCCCTCTCTGTACTTAATATTTCGTTTGAATGCACTCTTTTCAAATTAAAGACCTGGCTGGTAACAGTTACGCGGGTTCGGCGTATAGGCACCATATTTTGCCAATAGCGGTCCGATCTAAAATGAGATAGTTTAGAATATAAAGACCCACTATAAAGGGTCTTTAGGGGGGTTAAGATCAGAGTGCTAAGGGCGTATACAATACGAATTACTACTGCGAAGCAATTGCAACTAGCACTGCGTATATATTCAAACTAAACTATAAACCTTCATCATAGTTCCGAATCCACTAGTTATGCAATGTGCGCAACCTAAGCGAGATCATATGCATTGGGCCCATATATTTCGCAGGCCATTGATAGGTCTACGCAGGTCCCCGAAGACCTTCGGAGGTCCACCTTGAAGGTGCCATCTCGGGTCCAGGCGGGTTCTGCACCTTACTTTGCATGGTGCAGGACGTGACACCTATGTAGGTAGTATACTAGGTAGAGGGGGTAGCGTAAAAGTACCGGTAGCGGTAGCGAGCGATATAGATCTCGATCTAGACTACCTCGCTCTCCTAAGCGGGTTAATTAATAGATAAAGATCGTTGCCGCTAGGTATAAAATCCTACTCGAGCGGTAAGTGACTAGTTATATAGATAAAATACCCAACGGCCTTATTAAGATAGGAGCGACTAATTGGCTAGTCGGGCGGGTAGGGATCCTCGTAACTAGGTAGTCGCGGGCGAGTTAGAGACCGTCGAATCAAATAGTCTATACGGGCGACGACGTCTACGTCGAACTCGTCCTAGTAGGGTAGACGCCCCGCTCGGTAGGATACGAATTGATAGGCTATTTGGCGAGGCCTATCGGCCGTATCTATGCGAGCCTATAGGCCTTTGAATAGGGGCCCCGTATAGGGAGGCTTGAAAATAAAATCGGAAAAGATACGAATAACCCTAAAGGGAACCCTTCGGATCGTACTAGGACGTGCTACCAATCTGTTACATAATATGTGGATTATGGATTGGGGAGATGAAAGTTGATTCTTCTAGGCAGCAGCTAGCTACCGTTCTAGTCTACCCGGCGGTTAGCTGACTGATCAGCTGACCGTAAGGGTAACTATCTAAGGTTTACTAATGATAAATGTAACATGTGTGGCTTGAACGCGGCCAAAAGGCGGCTGCCGGGTGAGGCGGGCGAGGCCGCAAAGCGGCCTCGCAACCGGGAGTGAATTTGGGTGTGCTTTATGGAGGGGTCAGAGATCTGACCTGAGGCGCGAGAGTCAGAAAATATCCCTAACTAAAATAATTGTGTCTAAAATTGTGCGCTGAGATTACCAACCACAAAGATTGAGAGTAATCAGTGGAACAAACTCGGAAATTTTATCCGTATCTGCGGCTCAAGGAGTCGTTCTGCTGGAAGAAAAACTTGGAATCATGCGCTGAACCCGAGACAAGTTGTTAACTTGTGGCTGCTGTCCTCGACTTATCAATCCGTCAAAAACGCTCTTTAAATCGGGTGGATTCGAAGGGAAGCGTTTCATTTCTCCTTTAGTGTTCAAGTCAAGTTTAGTGTCCTCTTTCGAAGATTCACCCCAAGAGAACCCGGCCTGTAGTCGGAGCGAAGCCCTCAGTCCTTCGTTGATGACCGACCGAACGTCATTCTGAGGAGTCTCTTGTTTTTGATCAAGCTGGAAGTCTTTGACCAGCTGCCACGCCCTATACACATCTTTCCATTGTTCTTGTGGGTAGAGGTGATATGCCAGGTTGAGGACACTGCTTGACGTCCCGTTCCCTTCTTCCAAGCTAGATTCGCCGTTCGATTCTCCGAGTTGCGGTAACAGAGCGAACTGATGAGTTTCAGCCAGATCTGCACTCTGGATCACTAGGTGTAGACTGTCTTTGGAAAGTTGCCAGCGGCTTTTTGGCATGCTTCCGGTCACGTCTATAGGGACAAAGAAACGGTCTTCAGAATCCGCTGTCCATCCTAACAGGCGAGCTAGGTTGACCGAGGACTCATGTTTCTTTTCAGAACGGACCATTATCAGATCGATTATCTCCAGTGACCGGTAAACATCTTCGATATGACTGTCCTCGTTGGCAACGTCATCACACAGCAACCGGTATAGAATGACTGGAATTGGGACTATTTCTGAGACTTCAGCACCAGGTAAACTTGTAACCAGGTTTCTAGCAGGCAGGGCTCTGGCCACCTGTACCAGTTCGTTCACGTTCGACTTCAAGTCTATATCGTCCTCAAGTACTGCTTTACAGAATTTTGTAATCATATCAGCAATCCCGTGATCCAAGCAACGGGGCTGATATGGATGCAAAATGTCAAGAAAAGCATTGATTGACGGGCGACAGGGCGGAGTTCTTTCTGTAATGAACTCTTGGGCCACACCAAGATAGATGGCTACGTTCAGACTATGCACCAGCCGAAGCGCCCAGAGTCGTGCGTTTTTGATCAAGCATAAATGGTCATCGATACCCAATGGCCGCCATTTCGAATCTACTATCGTCTGACATAGAAGCTTGAGCATCTTAGCTGGCATCAAATGACGACTAGAAGTTTTCTGAGCGGCCCTCTTGATTAGCCCTGTCACATCAGCGTGTTTGTGGTGGCCAGTGGCTTTCAGAATAGTAAAAAGTTGTTCCAATAGCGCCCATTTCGCGTCTCCTTGGAGATCTATCTTGAGTTCTTTGCAGTCTCTTTCAATCCACGTGGCGATTTCGTAGTGACTGCATGCCGTCATTTCTTTGTATTTGGCGCGGAGGTTCAGACGCTTGGCAGTACTGGCTTCTAGCTGTCTTAACGCAGCCTCTCCTGTCAGAACTATGCCGTTTATCAAGTCCAAGATGCGCTCCTCATCCTCAGACACTCCTGCGCCCTGTGAATCAAGCGGTTTGTAGATCATGTCGTGTTCTATCTCAGACCACACGTGCATGACAAGTGTCCCAACTTGAATTTCAACAACGACATCTTCCCAGGCGATCTCGAAATCTTCTTCCATGTCTTTATTGCGCAACTTGACAATGAAGTGAGTTGCCTTGTAGCCTTTGAAAGTTCGTATAGGCTTCTTTAGCGCATTCGCTGCGCTCAATTCTTGCTTCCCTTCATCAGGATCTTCGGTCAGACCAAGTCTATTTTTCATAGTTTGTATATTGACCTGAGACTCATCTCCCTTTTCCGTTCGCCGAAAGACGTCAAAATGCTTGTCGAGTATATCAGCGACTTTTTCCAGATCTCCTGGGAAATAAAGGGATATTCGTATTCCGCCAAAGTCGTGCAGCGCATCAAGTAATTCTTTTGGATTGTGAGAAGATGTCAAATTGTCATTCCAGGAGCCCAGTCCCATTTCTTGTGAATAGTCATCCCACACTTGACCGCATCTTTCTACGTGCTCACGCAGGCGTTTCTTTTGAAGATACTCAGCATGCCGTCGGCGGATGCTGCCCTGTGCTGATTTCCACGACTTTATTCGTGATGTGATCGGAGTGTGGCGAATGACTGGTAGTGAAGCGGCTAAAGCCGTAGAGCAGATTTTTTGGACCTTTGCCGTGTAATTCGTCACGGCGTCTATCTTCTTGAGGAATAACTCTTTCACCTGGCCGAGGGTTTTGTCGAACTCTGGTGTGCTCTCCATATCGCACAAGCGTCTAGGTCGCCGACCTTTGGAGGCCTAAGCCGTGCGATTGAAACCTTGGGGTGACAACTCCAGCTAAGTATCGTGATATTGGAGTGGGGAAACTTTTTGGGGAAGAACAAATTCTCGGCGGTGAGAATACGATGGAGATCAATTGGTTGGGCAAAAGTACTTTGGAAAATGAGACTAATGCATGGCTGACGTGTTATCACACTCGGGGCTAAACATCGATCATATAAATGCCGTGTCACGGTCGCAAGATTCGGTCCATTAATCGGGCTGCGAATGATTGATCAATCCTCATACAGCTCCATCGGGTAACATGCCAGTGTCCTATAATGACTATGTCGCGCACGTGGCTTTACGGAACCCTAGTCTAGGGGCCCTCTCGGCTTTCATCAACCAAAGACCTCGAAAAGTTCACAACAGCAGAATATTATATGCCGAAGTCGAACAGAATGGTCAAATTGGACTGCCTCAGAAAACAATTGCCAATGCCCTCATGATGCAGCTTGATTCTGTACCCACCAACAGCATACTGGCGGTCGTGGAGGATATCCACCAGGAAGACATCGAAATCTTCGGCTCGGTGCTGGGAATCAATCCCTTCTTTTTCTGCGGCCATATTGCATCTTCGTATCGTGATATCGAGAAATCTGCTTCACCGCCACTATTGGCGCTTCCGCCATCTCAAATGGTTTCTCGAGAATTTCTGAACATTCATTACCAGAAAGTGATCGACTTGGGCAGCGAGTATGATATGGGCCATGCACCCTATGATCTCACTCTGCTCTCAAATATCCCGAGAAGTATCCGTCGGCTACCAGCCTTGTCTGGTAGATCTATCGGCCTTGTACGAGGATGCACCTCGGTACTCAAGCACGACTTGCCGGGCGGTTTCTGGATATGTAAATGATATGACGTTTCGAAGTTGCACCTATTATTTACATGCTGACAGGTACACACAGGCTTGATACTTGTGGATCCTACCGCTGATATAGTAGCACATTCAGCCCGCGATATCTCCGGCTCGTATAAATCACGAATTTCTCAAGTCCCGCGCCGAATCCCTAGCGAGAGTTCCAGGGAGCTACCAAGCTACGCCGAATTCCAAAAGTCAGACCAAACCAATGTAGACCCTCGAGGTTCAGCGCCATGCGAAGAACTGCTGGGCCTATATGGTACATTTCCCCCGGGGTGGAACAATGGAAAGCCCAGCATAATTTCCCTTGCTTATCATCCAATCCAAAGCGTAAATCGGGAGTGGATGCTGTACGGATCGCTGATGAGCCGGTACATCAAATACTACGAGTACTCGTTCTCGACCGTCTCATCCCGCCTGGAGCATTTCGAGAGACATGATATTGTGGATCTCCATCGGTGGCGTCGACGGAGCCAGCAAACCCTGCATAAGCTACAGATGGTGCGACTGTTCATCGAATACCGGCATAAAAGAAGGGGCACGCTGTTCCCACAGTCGGATTCTAACGGGGAAACTTCGCAGCAGGATTCGTCTTCGTGGGACCTATTGCTGATGGACATCCACCACCTGGAAGACCAGATCAACCAGCACGCTCGATCCATTGAAACGCTGAACCCTATCATCACTACGCTCGTGCAACTCATCGACTCGCACAAATCTATTGCACAGGCCGAGGATATCCGACGCTTGACATATATCGCTATTGCCTTCGTCCCGCTGTCGTATATCAGCGGTATCTTCAGCATGAGCGACCCGTACCAGCCCGGCGGAAAGTCCTTCTGGGTCTATTGGGTGATTGCAGTGCCCGTAGCGGCATTGATAATGGGGTCCTTGATGCTAGAGAACAGAATTGCCGTTCTCTTCAGACTCTGTAGAAGGCTAGCCAGAAATTGAACACTTGAAGGATGTGTGTCAAGAGCGGATTATCCATGGAGCAAATGGGCACCTGGGGAATCAATGCCACCACATATTTAGTTTTGACCTTGTATTATATATGGAGAGAAAGCCTTACTACAATTTTGACTGCTTGATAATAAAACAATACTATACTCATCAGGTCACGTGCTCCCTCACTTAAGTAGCTCACTAACGTTCCACCAATACAATACTCTACGCATCCATCGAGGTTCCATCCACCACAGTGTAGATTCCACTATCCACACAACCTTTTCAGACTGGACATCTGAAGCAATCTAGGCTGGGAAGGTAAGATAAAGCTCCACCCACACGCGAGTCATGCAACCCCTCGGCACACGAGGAAGGTTCAAACCCCGAATCAGGAGTGAATCAGCATGCCGATTGAGCTACAGTGAGAGAACTTACCACGCCAAGAACTGTCTGGATCAATAGATTTCCCGATGCCATTCTTGCCTGCAGAATCAGGCATGAAGGTCGTCATATGCTCCCTCTTACTAGTTTTGCTACCGCAGAATATAATTTTGGTGTCATTAAATTTTAATATACTACAATTTCAGGTCAGCACTCCCTCATGTTCGTTTCAGGGAACTACAAAAATAGTTGGGCTCGGTTTTGATGCCCAAGTAATCGAATGATTAGTCAGGTTCACTGTCACATGATATTTCTGATGCCCCTCTTCCCGTCAATAGTTTCTTCACTCTTCCAGGTTCTGTGAGTTACTTTCTTTTCATGCTACAAAGTATGTCGTGTGCCTCCTGGGATTTGCCACGTAACTGACATGGTTAGGCTACTAATATCCGCACCTCCCATGCCTCTCTCCAAGCATCCTTATCCATTAAAAATCAGTTAGGCCTTCGGGCCACTTTATTATTCTTGTCTTACGGAGTCCACGGGTACTTTAACTAGTTAGTAACTAACTAACTAACTAGTTATTTAAGAGTTAATAATAGAGCTTGTATATAACTAGTTAACGCATTTTTTGTTGTGGTGGTGGCCTTAGGCTCTACTTTGCTGCCTTAGGTATCAACCCCTCCGTAGTAGATATCTAGCAGATCGTTCTCTCCGTAGCAATGAACTCTAATGTAGAATCTAAGAAGGATTGTATGAAGAAACAATATCTGTAGATTCAGAATGATTGTAATGGACAGAGGAGAAAGGGAGAAGAAAAGGAGAGAGAGAGAGAACTATCTACATGGGTGGATCTGTCTCATAGTGGGTCCATGGGTGCCTAAGGCACCCAGGCACCCAACAAACTCTCTCCCTCCCCTCTTTCTGACCCCTACAATCTTGTAGCTGCCAATCACGATCTTACATCACTACCGTATACGCAACCCTTGAAGACCTTATACAGACTCCTATACTTAAAACTAGTTCAAACCCAGTTTGTAACTAGCTTCGGAGTATTTAGGATAGGACGCGACCTTGAGAATATCAAGGAATAGGTGCGAATACATTAAAAGTTATACTAGGGCTCCTTACTATTTAGCTATTGCCTCTCGCTACACACAGATTATTCTGTATTTACCTCTTTTACATTTACCATAGAACCAATTCATCATCAAGATACTGCCTGACTAGCCAATACTGTAACTAATAGCTTGTTGTGACAGTACAACAGTCTACCCTATAAATATTCACCCACCCCTAAACTAACGGCCTACAGATCTACCAATTTTCTTCCCAATTAAATTTAACGTGTCGTATTGAACATGTATAGCTACAAAATTATGTATGATTTTGAATTCTTTCTTCTTTAATTACCCTCTCTACAATACAATATAATACAATTCAATTTCACTTCAGATTCAATTCAGATTCAATTCACTTTAGAAGCCCCTATGCCTATATTGTGAATCCTATATTATACGTATTATGATAGAAGTTTCTTCCGTCTAAGAAGTGAGTAAGATCCGATTGCTATATATGATAATACTTTGATATAGTATTCGTTTGTAAGAATGAGTGGAGGTGGGTGAATCTTCATAGGGTAGACTGTTGTTACATAACTACCTAGGTAGTTAGTTATGTTAGGTAACTAGTTAGGTACCTCCCTAAGCCAGTTCGTGGGGTTATGTGTTGAAACTGCTATACCTAATCGGGATTAGCAACATAAATCACCCCACTCTATAAAGCTTGGCGCTCCGCTCGCGTTGAAATTGGTATGTATATAATTATTACCTAGGTATTGGTTGCTCTTTCATTTCCCTTCCGCGTCCTCCCACCCATGTTGAACTTGTTGGCTGAAACTCCCCATACTTTCAAGCTACCCCGTTCTACCTTCGTCTACATATCGCTAGAGGTACCTGCTCGCAAGAATCATCATGACACTTCCTTCTGACTTCGATTCCCGACTTCTTCGCCGCCTGGTAGGGACTAAGGTCGCCACCTTTTATGAGTCCGACACCCTGCAACAGCCGTATGATGTCTCTTCCTCCGCGTCTGCCATCTCTCCCTCTGCTCCCCCTCCTGGAGTCTCCCCTCCAGCCTCTACCATTCCCTTCTCTGGTTCGCCCCCTCCAGGGATAGGCCGCTCGTGGATCATCATAGAAAAGCTCTCGGAGAAGGCTGTTCATCTCACACAGGAATATGTTGACATGGGCGTTGGATCTCCTATGACAGTTGGCAAATTTCTGTGTCACGCAGAGGAGGACCCGACGCAGATAGCGTTTATGCGAATATATTATCAGATTCCTATCACTGGGACGGAGGATGCTGATCTGGCTACACTAGCCCAACAAATCCAACCTCCTAGGGTGTGTGGTGAACTAGAGGCGTTTAAGCTATTGATGAGTCAAGGCTGTAGCTCTGTTCCACATTTCCTTGGTTACTCCGAAAAAGCGCAAGGGGAACATGATCTCGTTCCTGGTGGCTTTATCAAATACCTCGTATGGGAAAAGGTGCCTGGGGAATCTCTTACAGAGGAATTCTTCTGGAGCTTGGATCCCCTTGTACGAGAGGATATCCGTGCCAAATTTCGTGTTGCCTTTGAGTCAGTTTACGCAAACCCAAGATGGCAGACAGACAAAACTCTAATACAATTAACAGGGAGATGCTGCGTTGCGGTGTGAAACCACAGGATCTCGAAGATCATCTATGATCAGTCCACTGGCAATGTGTACGTCAAGGATTCTACATATATTGGGGATGTTTACTAATGAGTTCAGTCACATTTCGGGGTTTCGAAGGGGATGGCCAATCCGTGATAAACTTCAATGGTCAGACACCCGTTATGTCGCGTACCAGTTGGCTAAGCGACCCGACAAGACGGACTGGCGTTCTCACCCGGAGGAATGGGAGTTATGAAAAGTTAGCAATTAGCAATCTTGCAATTATTGAGTATCAGATGGAGCTTAAATTGCCACTCTCCGTCAAAGTGTTATGCAAGCCGAGTGCTAGAAATTGAGAGTGGTTCTACTGGATCTTTTGGAAGTCATACTGTACAGTTGTTGGCTCAAACCAATTTTGCTTTTTAGCTGAATCTAATCCTGATTGAAATTCCGTAATAAGCACGAATCGGATGTCAAATCATTTGCCAAGAATGCACAAGACTGTCCATATGTGACCTGGACGTACATGGGAGAACTGATTCGACGACAGGAACAAACAATGTCTTTTGTTCTCATGAAAGTGGCACGTCATATCCAGGCTGTAATGTGGGATACGGCATATCTAGAAACCCCATATACCCATTGAGTATGTCATCCGTGCTTATGTTCCAGAGGAATTCCGGCCATAAGTCAGTATCATCTATTTGTGCTACCTGTGTGGCGCCATAATTTTCACCCATCAGGGGGACATCCTGCGAGGTTGCGCTGTTGGCCAAAGTAGACGGTCCGAGGCCGCCATCGGGTAATCCTGTAGGTATTTGGGTCGTATCTTCAGAGGGCACCAGGTGATACTTTTGCTCGAACCATTCAAGAATATGCCACAACCATGCCTCGTAGAAGTACTTGGGGTGCTGTTTCCCATCTACAGTCACTCTGTCCTTACTGAGCCATTGGATCCGTTGCAACGCGGCCCGCAGAACGTGTGGCATATTCAAATCCGAGCATAGGGCACGAACATGTGGACTGCGTGGGGCGTATTTTGCCCCCGTGACGGCCAGTTTGCAGCCTAGAACCAAGTTAAAGCCTGTTTGCAGCCATTGCGTATGGCTGATCAGTCGATAAGTATCCGGGGCAAATGTGAAAATGTAATCAAAGAATTTCTTTGCTTCAGTCATGCCGCGATTGAGAAATTCAACCTGGAAGGGTGATAAGTCTAACGGTTGATGGCCACTTTGGAGATGTGGTGGGAGCCCTGAGTCTGCATGGGAGCGAGGCGCGGACGAATCCGAATAGTTGGCTGTTACATGTTTATCAAATAAGCAAGCCTGGCATAGAAACAATTGTAGAGTGTGTAGGTGAAATTGTAGTAGGGCTATGTTGTGGACGTTGAGTTAGTATTAGTTCCAGTCTAATCAATCAAACTCACAAGCGGTTTCACTTACAATTATCCGAAAACGTTGCCGACAAGGTCGTTTTGTACTCATTGATTTCGGTTTGGAATGCATGCATATCGACCTCTCGTACCGGATTCGCAGTAGTGACCGCAGCATCATCGATCCGTTCAAAGATTTGTTGTAATTTTACTAATTGTATTAAGCCGCGATCACTGGCAATCTCAGCATTTGATAGTAATTCAAGTGCATGCTTTTCAATATATGACAGCCGAGTCATCATGCGATCCTTTTGCAATAATGTCGAGCGACTGCACACACCCATACTTAGTTAGTAATATTAGGGAGATATGGACATTGTTACTGACCATGAGGATAGCACGTAACATCCAATCAGAGCTCGTCTTCTCTCGTTCACCGAATGTCTACTACTGTTTCCATCTGAAGAGACCTTGCTCATAGCCATCCGTGAATAGAATGATTGGGTTTCCGACAACCGGTCAAGCCGCAAATCACCGACTATACTCCAAGCAAGATGAAGGTAGCTGGAAAATCTTTCATGCTGAGACTCATGCTGCAACCTGGGATATTGAGGTTTTGAGTCAGTAGTGCCGTCTTCAATAAAACCACTTTAAATTAGACTCACCATGCCAAAGCCACAAGGAGTCCCAGCAATACGTCCATGGATGGATTATGGGCGAAGATCGTCTGATCAGCAACTGCTGTTTGGAATGTTTCTTCCAATATCTGCTGAGCGGCTGCATTTTTGTATGATGAGACCTTGAGGATAGCCAGCAAGAGAAGCGGTTTCTCCACTCGCAGCTGAGCAAGCGTCACTTCCGGTGCGATAAAGAGAAATGGAAAACGTGGCATCAAGGTTTCCCGAAAAGATTCAAGAAGAGTGACGGCATCATCAAATCTCACAATCCCGCGATCAATAACATCTCGGGGTTTATCTGGGATGGAATGAAGTTCCGGGTCAGACAGGGCTAAAGGAACATCAAGCTGGTGTTTAGTGTGCTGGCTATTAACGACCCGCGCTAAGAGCTGATCCACTTTGGCTTCGAGAGCCTCGACTCGTCTGATTTTTTAATTCCGTCAGCTCATATACACTGTCACGAATCAGATGGAATTTGGGAGCCTTACGTCCCCTTCTTAGCGGGGTTGTAACGAGGTCGAGCGGCCCGAAAATAGCACTCTTTATCAAGGCGACGACATCTAATCCCTTATATTAGAATATGGTTTATAGTTGAGTATAAAAATGATGATCGAGTTTCACTACTTACCGATCACAGATAGAGGAATCCGAAGTTCGGATACATCGGATTTTGCCACGAGCACAGTTTTGACACGTTTTGATGTGTCCTGACGTAGATGCCATGTTCCAAATTGAGTATAGTCAATCTGTTCTAGTGAAACGTACATCAGGACAAGGAAATGGGCGAGTTGAAGAGGATAAGGACAAGGACACGGACACGGACAAGGACAAGGACACCGGTCGAAGTGCAAAAGTCTTGGCATCAGTGACCCTAAGGCAACGGCTTTAACTTGGGATCCACTACAATGTTGTATATCGTATCAATCTTCATGGCAGCGTTGATTATTGGTTTGACTATAAATTCGAAGGATTTTGGGAGTGAGATTACCTCAAGTTGAAGTTTTTAAAAATACCCACACAGCCTCATAATGATTATTGATTGTGGATAGGCAGCGTCAAACATCTTTGGCGTTTGTATATAAATACTGACGAATCTATCATGGATTTGCTAATATCAATTCAATCGCAGCACTCATTGTCTTAGAACTTCATTTTAGCCTACTTAATCCTCCAAGTTTCCTTGCCTATACGTGACCATGTCCAATACGGATGATTGCACTTTGCAAACATGTCCGTTAAGTGATGCTTACATCCAGTATCAGCCTCACATGGCTGGAAACATCTTTTATCTCGTTCTTTTCGCCATCTTACTCATTGGACAGATCGGTACGGGTATCGTATTTCGATCTTGGAGTTTCATGGTGCCAATGGTCGCGGGCCTTATATTGGAGATCATAGGATATTTGGGCCGAATTCTCTTACATGATAACCCATTCAGCTTCGATGCTTTCTTGATGTAAGTTACCGAGCCTACCACATATCATTGAATGTATGCTGACCGAGTCGTGATACATTAGATACTTGATATGTCTCACTATTGCCCCGGCATTCTTCACAGCTGGAATCTATCTATGCCTCGGTCGTATTATTACAGTTTACGGCGAAGAGTTCTCACGCCTGAAACCAAAAACCTACACCTACTTGTTCGTGACTTGCGATATGATTTCCCTGGTCTTGCAAGCAGCCGGTGGAGCCATCACTTCAATTGCCGATGAACAGTCACTTCACGATACTGGTGTCAACATCATGATCGCTGGATTGGTCTTTCAAGTTGCATCGCTGGTAGTGTTCTCTATTCTATCGATTGAGTATGGAGTCCGGGTTTTACGAGAAAGACGCCTGCATTCCCCTACTCAGGAACGGCCGGCAAGCTGGATGAGGAGATCGTTTTTGCTTGGTATGTACATCACCTCGATCTTCTCTATGGGCATTCCACTGACTCGAGTTTGATTATCAGGTTTGGCATCTGCCATTCTAACTATATTGATTCGATCTTCATTCCGAGTGGCCGAGCTCCAGGGTGGATTTGACAGTAAATTGGCCAACGACGAGATAGCCTTGATGATCCTCGAAGGCGCTATGGTTTCAATTGCGTGTATTTGCTTGACTGGTCTACATCCAGCTCTGCTTGTGGGTAAAAATTGGAGAACGCCTCAGGCAATTTCACAAGACATGGAAATGGAGGATAAATAAACCGCAAGAAGAATGGCAGATCAAAGCTGGTTATGAACATGTGTGTTTGGCGGCTTTTAAGCCAGTTTACGAGAAGGAGGTTGTGCGCAGTGGCCATATGTGGAGGGTCAAGGGCTCATCTCGAAGCGGGATTGAAAGGGCATTGGTTATGACACGCTAGTTCAGATAGCATTGTATTTTACTCAGTATAACCGTATGCTTTACGAGTATATTGAAATTGTGTCATTCTCAAACTGCTAACGCTAGTCTTTAATAAGTGCCCCTAGATCAGAGTATTCTCCTATCTAGTATCGTTATATTATAGGTCTAGAAATACAATGAGACAAAGCACCCTCAAACAACCAGGACAGGAACTCTAGCCGGTCTTCAACTGAAAGGGCCGAGAATTCAGCACGAACGGTAGGATACGAAACGCTGCTGCGATGATGGAGGAGAGGAAGAGAGAGCTCGTCTACTACTAATGTGGGGACACATGTGGATGCATGTGATCCCAGATCACGTGAGAGAGTTCAACAGTATGATCGTCGAGGATTGCGGGATCGATAGCTTCATTGCCTATAAGGTCTCCAGTCCGGATGTGATTTCCAGAATCGACAGCTTGAGGGTGCTGACCAGCAAGAATGGCAGGGTCTGAGTCGCACGATCCAAAACCGGAGGATCGATGCTCCGCGCCCAGACAAACATTATCGGGTATTACGGCGGAATCGATATCTTCGGTACGCCGTAGTTCTTACATTTGCAAAAGGTCTTCAGAGTCGAAAGTCTCATCGTGAGGACTGGTGAAGGTGGTACGGCCCAAATCCTCAGGCTCGTGTCGAGATCCTAGACCTAAGGGATACTCGAGATTCGATAATGATATAAGCAGACTTGGCGGGTAACCCGGAGTATTTTTTCGAGTATCCCCGAGCTGGTAGCCGGGTTGGGCTGGGCTTTGAAGACTAAGCCCATGAGCCCTTCACTGCCAAGCGAGATGAAATATGGGGGAAGTGGATACTGGATGATCATTTCTGGAAACGTTCATATTCCCCTCAGCAGAGATCGGAGAATGGGGCAGCTTGAAGTTCAAACTGTCTGAGTTCCTTTTGTACACTTTCCACCATTGGCACTTGCCACTATCTAGAAAGATCCGCAAATAATGGCATTCGCACGCAGATTAGCCATCCTGCCTGGCGGCCTAGGTAGGGACATAAGAACCGAAGCCATAGACAGCGAAACCTAACTTCTCCATAGGCGGCCTTGGATCAAGCATAGGCCAAAAGCTGAGACAACAAGGCGCCCGTCTCGCCATCCTGTATGCACCTTTCGAAGCCGCACGTCGCGATGATCTTCTCAAATCCGGGTACGGCGCGAGCGGTAATCTAGATGATATCCACACCTATGAATGCGATATCACCTCACCAGACTCCGTCCAGACGGCCTTCAGCTCTTTGGAGAAACAAATAATTAACCCAACCTCATCCTCTCCATACGAAAGAGCATTCCCGAGTATTCTGATCAACACAGCGGGATACGTATCTCTCAGCGACATGGAGATAACGCCCCCGGAAGAAACACTGAAGCATCTGGCCGTCAATCTCTACGGCCCGATGCTCTGCTCTCAAGCTTTTGCTCGGCTCTTTTTCGCCGCATCCAAGACCGCTGAAGCATCACTCAGTCCCCCACCACCGGGAAGAATCGTCAGCATTTCATCTCAGGCAGCACATGCCGCCCTGCATCGACATGGGGCATATTGTGCTTCAAAGGCGGGGCTCTTGGGTCTGACGCGTAGTATGGCGTCTGAATGGGGTAGTCGGGGTATCACAGCTAACACTGTTTCTCCGACTGTGGCGTGGACGGATCTTGCGAGGAAGGCTTGGGGAGAGACGACTGTCCGCGATGCTTTCTTGGCAAATATACCAACGGGCAAGTTTGCACTTCCAGAGGAGGTTGCTGACTCCGTGCTGTTTCTTTGTCAGGTATGTCCCCTCGGCTTGGCAGATTATGTTTCTGGTTCTGACTTTTGCAATAGGATTCTAGCGGCATGATCAATGGTGCGGATATTAGGGTTGATGGTGGTTTTACCGTTAGATAAGTTCATCTGCAGTTGAATATTCCCATAAATTTCAATGTTCAAATATATTTGTTTTTGAACGTTGCGACAAGAAACTTTTGCGCCAATGTAAAATTGTACATGCACCTGCTCATGGATGTAGCTCTCACGGAAGGGGGCGACTTTATTTATTCAGACGACACACTCTAATTAACGAGAGATGTATAAGAGTTAACCTGGTTCTTCTAATGGAAGGACGTGTTGAAAAGAAAAAGAACCTAGCAATCGTTAAAGGGTTCACTTCATTCGCGAGATGTAGTTCTATATTTCCAGTATGATCAATATAATATCTCTAGTATAATGTGGTGTAGTCACCCTACAACCCTTCGCCTCGCAGGCCTACAACCGTGGCCCGTATCAAATCATCGCATGTGTAAATATTGATGAGGATAGTGACCATCCTCTTCTGTTAGAATTGGAGTGCCAAATCAATGAGAAATAGAGGGAGAGAAAGATCCTGTATGGTCAACTGCATCTATAATCACAAGACACCTTCACACCACCACTACAAGTACACCCCATGACGACTTCAACTCCCCACACTTACATAGATGCCTAAGTAAAGTGTCCACTCTCCCAAGTCCAGTTCTTAGATATTTTCGCTTTCCATCAAAACTCCTAAAGCCATGCTAACCCGTGATATCGTAAAGAAGATTGGTTTCGGTTTCGGTTCCGCCGGGACGATTGTCTATGCGCTGATACCGGGGAAGCACTCGGGAAGACCCTTGCTATGCTTGTTGGAGGCGTGCTCAAGGAGGCTATAGTCGCATGAACATGTATGTTAGCAAGGAAACCCATATACACCAACAGGAATGAAGACATTCACAAGGGATTGGGGGATGTAGAATAACATACGCAGGCGCCTTGGTGGTCTGGAGGAAAGTCTGTCTGCAGATCTGGCACTGGATGCTCATGGCTTTCTCGTTCTAGATGATAATTGGTGTCAGTGGCTGGAGGGACAATATGGCCGTTGGAGACATTGACGTACGCTCTTGGTCTGCGACTTGGCGGTCTTCTGGTCCTTCGCGTTGCGCTCGCGCTTCATGTTGGCCTTGGCTCCCTGTCAAGTATTGTTAGTTCACTGCGCGTTGACCAAACAGAGAGCCTAGAATGATCTGGCACCGTCTGTAGGGCTTGGGGATTGCTTCTTACGTTGCCCATTTCTGCGGTATTTGACTTGACGTCTGAAACGAGAGAAATGGTTCAAAGAGGGGAATGCGATGGGATGTGGGCGTGAGGAAGGTCTGTAATTTTTTGTAAAAAAAATTGTAAGCCCCGGTCTTAGGCCCCACGTGGGGTGTCCACGGGTGGACATTGCTTACTAAGAATATCTTTGGAGTTTCAACACGAGTGTAGTAAAAGGGGTGTCTAGAGAGAGAGAGTAATTCTCAAAGAAAAAAAGAAAAGAAAAGAAAGGCCTACGGAGTTTTCTCTTGGACGCAAATTTCTTTGAAGGGGAGAGTTACGCAACGACAGATCCATCCTTCCCAGGCTTCATATTGAACATGGATCCAACGTTCTTTAAACTACATGCGAAGATTCACCAGAGACTCTGTTAGATATCCCAGCGATATCTACCTTCCACCCCAGAACATTGCCATTATCACCACTACTTCGGCCTTGCTATCTGGAATGACTAAAACATCAACTTTTTTTTCAATTAGTGGAGTCGCAAACGAGTGGGACTATGGGTACTTGGGTACTATCTGCTATCAGTGGATACCCTCATGGCGACGGCGATTAGCAGGTCCTTAAAAAATGCGCCTCCAGAACTCCCGCGGGATGAGCAAGTCAGTTTCAGTGATGTAGGGAACCAGAATGAATATAGTAAACATGCCCAAGATCACCTTTAGAGTGACATCCGAACCAGCTGGGTGCACCAGATTAGCGCCTGTCCCTTTGGAAGGGGACGCTCTTCCACCTGTGGCCTGGCCTGTTCCAGCTGTGCCTGCCTGGCCGAGAAGTGCCTTGCAACTTCCAGAAGGATCCTTAGCAGACTGAGTTGATGCTGCTCCCTTGAAATCGCATGCTGACTGATCCTTTTTCTGGTCTTGATAGTAGCGATCGAAGACGTAGGAGAGTTGATCTTTGCTGCTGCAGATGCTATAGGCACCGTACTGTCCTGTGGTTGCGTTCTCAGAAATTCCATCGCAGGCACTCTTGTCACTTCCGCACACTGTACCAAACAATTTGCCGTATTGATCCACATGCACAGATTGACTGACTACACATGAAAGACTGCCCACCATGCATGAACACAGGTCTTTGTTCGGGGACGGTGGCAGGGGACTGGACTTTGCCAACCACATGCTATTGACGGTGGGACAGGCATGCGGAGAGTTTGTGGGGGTGTAGCTGCCGCTGTTCACACCGCTGGGAGTGGCAGTCTGAATTGCCTTCGAGTAATAGCTGAAGTCTGGCTGGGTGCTCACAGAGTTTCCGTCAACAGAAACAAGCCCGTAGTTGTTGGTACTTTCGAAGTACATATAGACAATCCCACCACTCCAGACGTTTTCCATGTCAGGTCCGAAGATCGCAGAAATGTCGCCAAACTTGCGAGGCCTGACGGTGTTGCATCCATACTCAGAGAAGAATATTGGGACAGGGTAATCCTTGTACTGCTCTGTGAGGTTTTTGTAGCCAGAGCCCTGGAATGTGCTGTCTCCACACCACTCGTACATGTTGTAACCGAAGAAGTCGATAGCGGTAGACTGATCTCCACAGTGGAGATAGTCTGACAGCTCGTTCCGAAAATCGGGTTGGTCGGTAGTTGCATAACCAAAGCTCAATGACTTCCTGTATCCCTTCACCTTGATATATTCTTTCATGTCACGCACCGCTGCTTTAACAAATGCTGAACCGATTGTCTCGTTGACTTTGTTCACAACCTCATTTCCGGCAAAGAAACCAATAACATTGTCATACTGATGCAAAGCATCAACCACGGCAGTGTATCGATCGTATTGTGCAACAGTCCAAGTTGGAGAGCTGGAAACAATCGACAACTGAGGAGACGACAGATCGGCGATAACATAAATTCCTGCATCGGCCAATTTCTGCATACAAGCATCGTGATTTTTGGTCGGGTCAATAGCGTAGACCCGAATGACGTTGGTTCGCAGTTGCTGGAGGTACGGGATATCACGTTCGCAGTGAGAAACGTCCGCCAGAGGGTCAGTGTAGTGAGTATCAGTTGATTGACCGGTACCTGTAGCACCTCCGGCATTGTAGTCCTCTAGATAGTGTCAGTCTAAGGTCATTAGAGTATCTGGACCATGTAGCTTGCATACCCTGATAGGCAATGCCACGGATATAACTAGCCCCGGAATTAGCAACTGAGACAGTTTGAAATGGTCTTTCCACTCACAATTGGGTGCCGTTGTTTGAATAGAAGAGCTTAGATCCCTATGAATGAACCCCATTAGTTGATTTAATTCCCCGAAACAATGTAGAGATACTTGCTTTGATCTCGATCGGTGGAACACTAGCTGTGGCAACTGCCAAGAGCAGGAAGAGTCCTGCTAGAGGAAGGTGAATTCGCATCTTGGCTGTATTCAAGTCAGTTTTAATGATTGCTATATATAGATATGAGAAGAACAACCAAGTCTGGTTATACAAAAACTGGGGGGTTCTGTAGCAGTTGCATGCGTTGTTTATGAGACAAGTAAAAGGAAAAGCAGAATACAAGAGGGAAACAACCTTGTGTCAACAGGTACCACGTGCCATCTGGGTAGCTCCGACTGCGTACATAATATCCAAAATAGGAAAGCGACGAGGCGGTAGCTGACCTAGCTGACCGCCTCATATTCTGCTCAATTTAAATATATCTTAGTCTGCTGTTTGTAAGAGCGTCAGGGATTCGTCTTCTTCAGGTACTTGCAGTGGAGAACCCTTTAAAGCTGGTCTGGTTTATTCTTAGGTACATGCCTCCTGCTTGTCTAGATATCCTTCTCTTGGCAGAGTCAAGCTTTTGAAATGTCCAAGTGGAGTATTTATATACATACAGCTCCACCAGTAGAGCGATCTGACCCACATGGTTTTATAGATCTTTGTTCGCCTATGTATATATAGTAGGGCGAAATCTTTTGTTATTATGTTGAACCCATTGTTACGAATCCATAGTTGATAGTCAATTTATACCTGTTCCTCTTCCTGCTGTGGACAACGATTATCGTGTTTCATTTTTATTTTTATTTTCGATTTCTGCGTTCTAAACATCCACTGCCTCCCGATGTAGGTCCTGATGTTCTAATTTCACCAACTAGTTCGAGCGCCACAAGCGCTTCTCTTCCATTTTGCGTTAGACATGAGGCTGGAGATGTTGTGAGCTAAAATCCCGCTTGGTATTCAATTCGATGGATGATACAAATGCAGCCCTCTTCTACGTTAGGTTGTTGAGTTACATGCCAATAGAAGAATATAACTTTTAAAGCTACTATCACGACATCTCTATCGATTACATGGTTCCTTTTCCATATTTGGTGCACTTCCTACCCTCAAATGGGCTTTTCTGATTTCCTCTTCGGGTCTAAACAAACAACTTAAAACATCGCTATACATAATGCACCACAAGTATCATGTCCGCTCGAATGTATTTTCCGCATCAACATCGACACAATGTGCAGCAAACTTGCTCGACTTCCTCAAACGTTCTCCATATATCCTCAGCACAGGTGACAAGATACAAAACCCAGTGGCCAGACCAGCCAGCACACACATGGCTCCATTCGGTCCCAGCTGGCTAAACATTCGCCCAGAAAACAACGGAAATGAAGCGGCCAACAGACAGCGCACCAGACCCAGCGCCGCAAATCCGCTAGCCGAGTATGACCGATAGCTGTCCGACATGTAGCCCACCAGCACGATGCCGAACTCATTGATTGCGAATCCGGTCAGGAAGAGCGGTACCACGGACGCAAGGTAATGCACATGCACGGCGGGTGGGATCGTCCATGCGAACCACCACAGTGCGATCATTAGGACTGGTGCAGCAATAATGTACCCGGTTAGTTTGTGCTCGGGAATAACCGGCTCGCCACGCTCGCGCCGGCGTGCTGTTTTGCGATATTCCAAGAAGCGGGTACCGATATTGGGAAGGAACCCGAAGCCAAGGGCTAAGAAGGGGAGACTGGCTTGCGTGGTCGTGAGACCGAATGATTCATAAACTCCGGGCAGGATGTCTGTGAACAGGTAGATGAGTCCAGTGGAGATGCCGCAGACGATTGAGACTGCTGCAATGATGGGCTCTGTGAAGAGGAGCTGGGCTGGTCGGAAGGCGAAGTTCCGCGCGAACGATCGGATATCTGGGACTCTGTCTGGGTTCAATGCTTGGAGAGAGTAATCGCCAGTAACGTGACGGAGGTGTCGAACCTCCTGTGTCAGCAGAACTGTTGGGCGGGATTCACGAATCGTGAGTAGCAAGACAGCTAGGATTCCGGTGACGATAGCAGCGACGTAGAAAACCCATTTCCTACAACGATTTTGTTAGCTTTCAGATCTGTTTCTGTGTACATCACGTCTTTTCGATATGGGACAATACTTACCACCCCCAAACGGCTGTGATATATGCACTCATCACCGGCCCCATTGCGATACCCAAATTTGCCATGCCCATGTACGGTAACGTAAGCCATATAAGCTGCCTGGTATCAAACATATCTTGCATACTGCCATTGATGACAGCACTCGGAACCGCAGACAAAAAGCCCGTGATGAGACGTCCGAAAGCCCCTGCGCCAGGCAACTCCGCTGCCGAAATCAACACGCAGAATATACTGTACAGTGCAGTGCTGCCCACATATAGCTTTTTTCGACCGTAGCATTCAGAGTAAGGAGGCAACAGTACGCTACCAATACCTTGCGCGAGAAGATATCTTTTTGTTTCATCTGATAAGCATTTCCGATGAACGATAATAATAACGACGGAGAAGGACTTACGTCGATATATATAGAAACACAGACAGTGTCTCGCCAATTCCAAACTGTTTCTGTGCATTTCTGGCGGCTGTAGCCTGCAAGTAAGTTAGTATTTGACATATAATACCACTCTGGATTCAACAATCATACCCCTGATGTGCTCACTGCAGTCCTAATTCGCAGAAATGGTCAGCCTCAGTCAATTATCCAGAACTTCAAGACCAACACACGTATAGAACTCTAAGAAAATGATAATTGAAACATCATACGCCTTCCTCGCGTTGCTCCAGTTCCGCGGATGGCGTGGGTTCATGGCAGCCCAACCCACAAGATTCTTTTCATCTCCGGTGCGCTTTAAACCTTGGATCTCGAGGGCGTGGCCTACCTCTAATCGCGTTTCGGGAGTAGCGATGAGCATAATGATCTTTGAACCAAGTACTGAGGTTAAGTTTAACTGGATTGGGCCAGGAAAGGAACTTTATAGGATTGAGCCCGGGCATTCTTTAATTGAGCTTTTACTATGAACACATATGTCTAGGATGTCGTGGAGATATTATTTGAATAACAAGCAAATCATGTATGCAGCTAGTAGATCCGGTAGATCCGTTAGATAAATGCAAGGGACAGCAATAAAGATGTTGAAGTTTTTGACCCACCGAGGACGTAAGCTCATAATCCATATATAAAGTAGTAAAATCTAGGCTGATCTTACCATCATTATATCATCTCCCTTGTTGATCCTACACATTCTCTGCGGTCATGAAGAATGCGGGACAGGAACCAGGATTTGCATTACGCTTCGAAGATGATGTACGCGCGGTGATGAACATTTGCAGAGGGACCATACTTGCGCAATTGAAGGATTATGGCCAAACTTTGAACGCGAGGATAATCAGGACTAGACCTCTCAATAGCCCACAAAGCTCAAAGTCCAGCCCAGCCCGCAAATGGGCTGGGTTTTGGGCCCTACCTTCGGGCCCATTAGTGGGTCATAAGCCCGGAATGAAAGCCCACAAAGCCTATTGGGACCCATAATGGGCCCCAAACAATACAAACATGCCAATTTATCGTAGCTGCATAATTAATGCATTTTTCTCTGGTTTTTTTTTGGATATAGAAACCTTCTAAGCTTATGCATTAACTCAAAAGACGATTTGAAGATGTAAAGTTAATCTTCATAAAGCTTTAATTTTTACAAGGGGTACTTGTTTTTGTTAACTAGTGAATTACATAGTTAGTAAGTAGATGTACGATTAGTACTACTACTACAATTGATACATAAGTATAGACCTAATATAACTAGTTATATATCTCTTCGTACTAACTTAATACCCAGTAATCCTCCCAGATACGAATCCATGGTCAAGTTGGATCCTTTTGGGGTGATTTTGTATGAAATCTACTATTATAATACTAAATTCCTACTTCTTACTATGGTAATATAATAAAGCTAAACATATAGATTAGTATATGCGTAAAATACAGCCATTAATCAGCTACTTTATACGTGCCAAGACTATATTTGTGCAGAAATGGGCTTTTGATGGGCTTTGATGGGCGTCTATTAATAGGCTGTGGGCCAGGGGCTTGGGCCCATTTGTGGCTATTGGTCTTCAATGGGCTTAAACAGCAAGTGCTGGAACTAAGATATAAAATATCATATCAAACAATGTCTTGATTTGCCTTTGTCTTTTTTATTTTCTTTCTATCTCATTTTCACTAGATTTGATCGGCGGATAATGAAGAGCTAGGAGAAAAAGGGGATTGCACTGTCTCAGAAGAAGTTAATCTCCAAATGGTAAAGTTTGAATCTTAGCATCTTGAATTAAAGTCTTTAGCACGGCTTGTTGTATGCCATCGGAGTATATCCCGGCCACTGTTATCCATCCCTCGTACAGCTATCCATTACAATAGTACAACCCATAGGACTAAAGTCCCTTGTGTCGCGCTTCGTCGCCCAGTGGGTATCTATAACTGAGACTATCAGCTGCAGGCAGAAGGTCAATTCAACTTCGCCACTGGTGAAACAAAGGTACTAGTAAGATCGATTAAATCTTCCCCAACTACTATTCGTCAACTCGGCCATCTCATATGCAAAATTTATTCTTTTTTGTTTTATTTTTATTTTTTCAACCCAGTGAAGAAGTCAACAGTGTTATACTATTTCACACGCAATTTGTTATACATACTGATACTGCTAAATGCGACAGACAACATAGCGACTATGAACTTACTGGAATACGTTCGCTCACGAACACAGGTGGATATTGACACATACGCAAACGATGCTGAAGGTTGAGAATCTTTTGACTTGTGATAGACAGAAGACTGATGCAAATTTAACGCCCGCTTCCAAAGAGATCGGACCCTTCCAGGACGCAACAGGATACCCTATGTTGCTGCGTGCTAATTTAGGAGGCAGTTTGAGATCCAAGCAGAGATTGTCAAGCCCAACAGGAATGCTGTGTTGAAGTGATCAGTAGAGGTGGCGACAGCCATCCACCCACAGTTTGCCATTCTCACCCCCCAGGAGTCTGTTGTGGAAGTAGCAACATGGGAGGAAATCCAGGCTTTGCGTCAGCTCAAGTGAAGTGGGAGAAAAACCTTTTCCATGGAACAGGCAATCCTTGCGGCGCGAAGCCGGCTGCATATCAACTTCACCGATTGTACATGAACTCAAAACTGAAACTTACAAGGGGTGGGAGAGGGATCGTCAAATAATAGGTGTATCCACGATTGAAAGCCTGTGTCATACTAAACATCAATAAGTCAATTAGTTAGTGCATCTGAGATTGAGTACCTAGGTACTATTAAATGCAGGCAATTTCCCTGAGGATAGGGGATATTCCAAGGTTAAATTTAAAACCGGTTTATGGGTCCGGCCCGCGTCCGACCCACCCTTGGCACTAGTATATATTGGGTAATGGTATCCACTCTTGAGGTCGGAAGATCATAAAAAAACTCAAGTTAGTTATGTGTTCTATAGGCACACATAGTGAACTAACTCTTTAACATAGGAGGTATGGCTTGTATTGTAATTTCTTATATTACCTAGGTGGACTGTGTTTATCGGGTAACTATATTGCACTGGGACTAAAAAAGAATATTGTAATCAGATCTTGCGCCATCTGAAGTATATAGCATGTAACTTTGACACATCGGAAAGAACTCATATCCAGTTTTCTATTATGAATGGTGTTCAGAAAGTAGGTTTATCATTTATATTAAACAGAAGATTTAGTGAGAAGCTTGGAGAGTCGAGACATTTAGCGATCATATCATTCATATGTATGTTGTAGATCGTATCAAATGGGAAACATGAGGCGATTGTCACACTTTTGGATCAAAGGTTATGAGCTAGAAGCAGGAATCAATTTATGTCAGTCTGATCCAACCTTGGATTGAAGCTATTTCAATAAATGGCAAGAGCGACCTCTGGATGTTTTGAAATGCAACTTTGGAAGGCACATTCGCTGACAATAGTGCCTTCCCTGAAATTCCCATAAGGCGAGATTAAACAACATGTAGAACTTCATCTTGTAAACATCCCGTGTCCAAATGTTCTTCATTTCATGTCCTCGTCTCCGAAGGGGACATCGACCTGACTCTCCAAGTGGCTTCACACAATCATATCGACATGGTCAAATGGAGAATGTGGATGGTCCCAGGGAGCAAGTCCAAGGCAAAGCCCAGCCCAATACTCAATTTCGAGATGGCACATGGCTAACTTAAGATACCACAGGCCCTCCGCTGAGATCAACATTAACCACCGTTCGAGATCGGAGGCGAAGATCTACAAGTCTTTCGCGTCGGCTCCGCCATCGATTTTCGAGAGAATCCAGACAGTCCGGGGAACACCGCCACATCTTTCCCTTCTCGATCAAGCTGAAGTCAAATGCACCCAAAGCAACTACAGGGCTATCAATGACTGGGGGCATGGGGAGTGGTAGTCTGATGAGCGCACGAGGGTACGACAGTGATGCCCAGTGCATTGGGAGTCCCCAGCATGCCGACCATGTGAGAGCTTCGCCCAGAAGCCCGGGGGTTCGCAGGATGGGGTTGCATGATCTAATAGAGTACAGCCGTGAGCGAAATGACTTGGAGATGTGGGCGGGTGCCAACAGCCATGATCAGTCCGACGTCCTGGGAACTCCCTTTGGTATGCATTATATACCCACGCCACCAGGAAGTTTGAGAGGGCGTACAGCTCACCCCGACTCTGCAGCCGAAGCCACGGGTAGCCATTCAGTGTCTTCATTCAAAGATGAACGGTCGGGCGAGCAAAACACCTTCACCAAATCTTTCCCTAGTCTTCACGCTAGTCAAGAAGAAAATCAAAAACATCTCCGATCTCGAGAATGCCTTAAAGGCAGCAGTAGAGGTGAGAACCTCCAGAATGTTATGGCTGAATGGGCTCAGTACACGGGATCAGATCGTAATGATTATCGTGCGGCATCCTCGACATCGCTAGCTAGGGCAGATCCGGGCATTATGACTTCTAAAACACGACAACCAACAAGCTCTTCCGGTACACACTCCGAGAGTCGAGTACCACATCTTGGTGATCTTGACCTTTCACACAGGCTCGCGGGGACAAGCATGGGGTCCGGGCCGCCATCGGCTAATCCATCCATGTCGGAACTTCCACGTCCAAATAGGTATGGGCCACAAATGGCATCGCAAGAAAATTTTCAAGCTCATGAGAGATCTGGAACATCGACAATCGGGAGTTCCGAGCCCCATAAGCAAGCTACGTCTCATCAACAAGATGCGTCTTCTTTCTATTCGCGCCAAAGCAGTAATCCCTCACGGGGAGCATCTGCTGTTCAATCGCTGAGAGTTCATGCTGCGAATGCAATGGATAGCCTACCCAATATCCATGCACAAATGGCAGCTGAGACAGGCTCGGTCCAAAATGAACAAGAACCAGTTGCCGAGGTTCTGAAAAGCAAGTTTGTTGAGCAACTTGATGCGGCAAACTGGGAATCGCCCCAGGTTCATGGAATTTTCAATGACCGCAACGGTGCTGTACCACAGCGAAGAGTCAGTCCCGGCTGGATGACCGGGGGCCGGCGAATGGGATATGGGTATAGCTTGGTGGATAATGCTGAGGCTCACCCATCAGCAGTTGGAGGGAACGACAGTCCACATCCGAACGGGAGTTGGCACAGAGACACCTCGGGGGCTAGGTCTAGCAGCGGACAGTCTCCTTCGAACAAAAGTCCTACCAATGCCACAGGGGAGCCCGTTTTGACACCAACAATGTGGGCCAAAATGAAGAGCCATTCAGTTCGAGGTGATCGTCACGCACCACTGGCAGTGGATTTGGCAGGTGGAGGGATGGATGCAGACGAAGCCCACCGCGCAAGATCAAGTCACGCGCAACACATCGAGTCGCCAACTTCTATAAAATCGCCAACTTCTATAAAGTCGCCGACTTCTGCAAAGACGCCAACCTCTGCAAAGACACCAACCTCTGCCAGGAGCTTTTATATCGAAGACGTCGACGAAACTTTCTTGAGTCGATGGGCGAAAGTCAGCCGGTCCACACGCAAACAGCCACAACCAGGCATATACCACGATCCAACTCATGGGCATAGTGACTATACTTCAAACACTTCGCCACTTGGTGAACGTCGCTTCTCGGCGGATGAAGCCAACCGCCAGCCCTCTGTGTACTTCGATCCATCCAATGGCAGGAGTGCAGACAAACAAAACGGGGAACCCTCACGCTCTCGTAGTAGGCGTTGGGTACCAACATTTTCCAGAAACAGGGAAAGCAAGAAACGCTCAAACCTCCCCCAAAAGAACCATCTGAGGAATCGCCAGTACCGTATCAAGAGCGCCCGTCGAGTGACCTGGGACGAGCAAACTCCACCAGAAGCGATATGGCCGAGGAGCTGGCGAGCGCCTATCAGGAGTGCATTGGGATGCCCGGGGCCTTTTATGGAAGCCGGTGGGCGAGCCGAACAAGCCTAGTAGTGGAGGCAGAGTGACGAAGATACACGATAACGATCATCACAGGAGTAATGAGGGGATACTGGTTGGACGAGTATACAAATACTGTTATGGAGGACTCTGGAGCCAATTCTGCTGTTATTGTTACCCGAGGGGATGGAGTTGGTTCAATTATAAGTATGTTTCCCAGGGTGTCATTAATCGTACAGGAATAAGGGTGATTAATCCCTAATACATCTTACACTTCCCACGTGCATAAGGGTACAGTACTATCACCAGTAGAGAGGTAAATCATCTATCTCCGCTGTCGCTTGTTGCTCTTGTCGCTTACCCCACTGAGCACACTCGCAGACCGCTTGTGGTTACCATCCCCTTGTTGAACACCATTGCCCTGTGTGGTCTGTGAGGCAGTAGAAGGACCCAAAAGGCCCGTGTCGCCGTCTTCAGTCTCTTTTTTTACATGGGGATGCTCGGGGTCAGCACTTGGCCCCGAGATACCAGCAGCTTCTCGTGATTTGCGCTCGCGCTCCGTCTTCGCGGCCTCAAGTACACGGATCTCACTTTCAACCTTCTCGGACACCTTGCGAGCGTCGAGGAGCATGTTGACAGACTGGATGAGTTTCTCGAAATCCTTGCATACGCGTTCGGTGGGCATGAACAAGCGTACGGGGATCTCGAGCTCGGATAGCGCATTGGCCAGTTTTTGCGTCTGCACGTTGGACTTGGCCTGTGTGAGTCGCTGCGCACGGTCGCTGCGGAATTGCACACCGGCTGAGACACGCTCGTGATGCTGGACGCCGTACCTTGCTTCCTCCGCTGTAGTGAGCGTGCGTACCATTTGATTGGGTTCCTTTGATGTGATAGACCCCTTCTTGTTGGCAGCCTGTGTGACGGGGGGTCTCGGCTCGGCCTAGACCGCCAGCGGTGGATGGAGTCTGACCAGCGGGACTTGGGATGGCACCGTCGCCGAGGATGGAGCGGCGTTTCTTGCTCTTGTCGGCTTGGAGTAGAGTCTGCAGGAGCTGGGAAAGTCCCGCGCTCGACTGGTACATTGTGGTGTTACCGACGCTGATGGGAACCTCGAGGCGAGAGTAGAGTTCCCGCCGTTCGGTGATGAAGTTCTGCTCGTTGCTTGTGATGCGCTTCAATTCTTCGAGTAGCATCGCCTCCTCGCGGACCTCGTCGGCTGTGCGGTTGAGCTGAAGGGCGGCTAGTTCTTTGCGGTCGCGCTCTCGGTCGGGGTCAAACTTCAGCATCTTTTCGTGTAGTTCGAACTCGGCCTCAGACATCTCTGAGGGTGGATGCTCTATTGCGAGCATCGTTGCAGCAATGTTATAGTATCGCGCCTTCAATTGCTCCATTGTTCGATGGTGCTTTGCGGGCACAAGGGCATTCGAATCCGGCTGTGTGTCCATTCGTGGTTGGTAGTCATAACGATCTGCGATGAGCACCCAGCGAATGTCGAAGTCAGTGACGAGATCCACCAGATAGTCCGTTTCCTCGCGCGACCAGTCATCACTTGCGAGATGTCGAGTGTACTCGTCGTCTGTGTATCGACGGGGCAAACGCGGTTTAACGTTGTACTTGGCGAATGCATATTCCTGCTCCGGCAGTTTCGGTACGTCCTCTTTCTCTTCTTCCTTGGGCTTATCCACTTCCATTTGAGACTCTGCAGGTGCGGGTTCAGGTGCGGGAACCGGTGGTCGTGCCGACTCGTGTTTTCTCTGCCAGTGATTCAAAACCAGGCCGTCGGAACGGGCGTTGTTCGTGAACGGGGCCATGCTCCTATAAATGATCCAACGTCAGCATGCATTCGAGATCTCCAAAGAGTCGCATCTTTAACACACCATGGCCGAACGCGCAGCTTGTTCATCCATTTTGGACGGCCCTTGTATTTGTTCTCATTAATGGCGATCGGTGGCGCTCTTTCGCCCAGTAGCGCGTACAATTCACGGGTAATACCCTCTGCAACGGGAGACTGTCAGTAATCTATACCATCCCTAATAGAGCGCATATTACACCTACCTGGTCGCTTTTCGACCACCTTCTGCTTCTTGTGTGGTCTGGGCTGCCCTTCTGCGGGCAAATCCAACATGTCGCGAACATCGGCCGCGGCCATATTGGCGGTTCGATCGGAGTGGTGATCTGCCTGAATACTACACCAAGGGGGGATTTCTTCGGTATGTAGCGATTAAAAATTTAGTACGCGACCAGACAAAGATGAAAGCAATTTTTGTTTGATGAAATAAAGACTAGTGAACGTCGAAATTGAAGATCCCATCGACAGAGGCTTCCCGTTGGAAAGGGAGGCATTCCAGAGATGGCAGGCGGTGAGCAGCCACGGTCCTTGATGTTGACACCTTCACGGAGAGGAGGACTTGGCCGTGCGACTATCCATTTGCCCATTTCCCCCATCATGGTTTTCTCTGGGACATCCTCGTCATGGCTGGCATCAGCATTGACTCTCCTCTCCTTCTTTTCTCTCCTCCTCCCAACCAATGCCCTGTACTTCTACATGGAGGGCCGGCAAACAAAGTGCTTCTTTGAGGACCTGCCCAAGGATACTCTAGTGGCCGGTATGCGACAATATCTACAGACTTCACAAAGGAATTTCAAACTTACAAATGATGATTACCATACATAGGCCGTTTCGAGACGGAAGTCATCAACGCCCAGAGCGGTACCTACACGATCGACCATAGCTTGAAGATGCACATCACCGTCGAGGAGACCTTCGACAATGATCACCGCGTTGTGTCCAAGCGGGACAGCCACTCTGGTCGCTTCCATTTCTCCGCCGCGGATGCGGGCCAGCACAGAATCTGCTTCACACCTGAAACGGATGCCACCTCCAGCTGGTTGTCCAACTCTCTGGGCGCTGTCAAGCTCACCGTCGACCTTGCCATTGGTGAGACCAGCAAGATTGAGACCGAGGATAAGGACAAAATCAAGGATATCGTGCAGCGGGTCAAGGATCTGAACAGCCGGTTGCACGATATCCGTCGTGAACAGGTGTACCAGCGGGTAAGGATTACCCCATATCGAATCTATAGCTAGAGTCGGTGGATGATTAAAACGGAGATGCTAATGTTCTCTTTTCTTTCCAGGAACGTGAGTCTGAATTCCGTGACCAGTCTGAGACCACCAATTCGCGTGTCGTGCGTTGGACTCTTATCCAGGTTGCCGTTTTGTCCGCCGCATGCGCCTGGCAGCTCTCGCACCTGCGGTCATTCTTCATCAAGCAGAAGTTGACTTAGATGCCGCGTTGTCTTATTCTCTACAGCATATCTCGTTTCTTATGCCTTGCATCTTCCTTCCACCTCTGCTGTGGTCACGCACGCCGGTTTACGTGAATATGGATGATTGGTTCTTACATGCGTTTTTGATACTGTTTTTCTGGCGCACGGTAGATCTTTAAATTCTCGTCCGACGCATTTCGACTTCCCGAGGTCCCTTTTTGAACTCAGCAGGCCACACGGGCAGTGTTTCAGCGGAAAAAAAAGGGTGCGGAGTGCTTGGAGCGTGGTCAGATGTCGATCTTGATAATGGATGTAATGATATCTTTTCTTCTATTCTATTGTCTTTCGTAGATGGTTCTAGGAAACGACATTTGTCCACACAAACTACAGTCACTCGAGATTGTATATTGCTTAATGCAGGGCCATACATACATACACATATTGATGGCGTTAGAGAGACCGACGTCCAACGAAGCTATACTTCAGCAATAGACAATGAAATCCTTATGGCGCATGAGGTTCACACCCACCGATCTTACTACATCCCAATATACCTCCTAATTATGACTCTTGCGATATTTGGACACTGTCACTATCTGTGTCTCCGAAATAGAGTGTGAGATATAACCAGAAATGGACGCAAAGGGCAAACCAAAGGACCAGGACCAGGAATGACTTACAAAAAGCAACATGATCCTTGATATCAGCCGCTGCATCATAGGGTTCCCGGTAATACCACGCTGCATTTTCAAGAGTCTGTCCGTCCACCCTCAGATGCCAGTAAGAGGCGTAGCCTTTCCAAGGGCAAAAGGTGGAACGATCGGAGTCTTGCAAAATGGTATCATCGATGATTGCTGAGCGGGGAAACTGTAGAATATGAAGTCAGTCAATCTTGAAATGCATACTCTGAGTCTCATAAAGCCTACGTAGATGTTATTCTCCACGGTCTTCCAAGTCGCTGTCTCCGCGATGACGCGGTCCCCTACTTTAGCGAGAGCGCGGGGCATGATGGATGTTTCGAGGAAAGAAATGAACGTGAACCCGATTCTCTTCTTGAATTATCGCGTAGTGGAATCTGGAATTCTCAGTGTGTGTGTATTGTCCTATGGTTTTCTTTTCACTCCGCATAATCGTGCCAAGCGCAATGAACGTTAAATTGTTATATCGCATACTTATACAAAAGATACAACCTCAAAATAAGGAAAGGGGAAATAGATGGACCAATGTATAATATAAGTGTGGTCAAACTACTATACTACTAAGATTAATTCTAAATACTCTAATGTATTCACATACAAGCTGCCAAAACACCAAATTGTAGTCTTTAGATTCCTTGAATACTACGTTAGATAGATAGACCAGACCTAAAACCATTAGCCTGAAAGCAAATAAACCACTATTGTTGAGATATCACGTTTTCTTTTAAAGAAACGGAATTTATCGAATGAAGCTTTTTGTTAAACAGGGACCAATGTATAATATAAGTGTGGTCAAACTACTATACTACTAAGATTAATTCTAAATACTCTAATGTATTCACATACAAGCTGCCAAAACACCAAATTGTAGTCTTTAGATTCCTTGAATACTACGTTAGATAGATAGACCAGACCTAAAACCATTAGCCTGAAAGCAAATAAACCACTATTGTTGAGATATCACGTTTTCTTTTAAAGAAACGGAATTTATCGAATGAAGCTTTTTGTTAAACAAAAAAAAATAATGAGCGACGCAGGGATCGAACCTGCAAGTCTTCTGAGAACTTTTGAGCATTGCTCGACCGAAATCAGACGCCTTACCATTAGGCCAGCCGCCCTATTATAACATATTTTACAGTTAATATACTAAGAGTTCATACAAGCTGCCAAAACACCAAATTGTAGTCTTTAGATTCCTTAAAACGTTGGATAGACCAGACCTAAAACCATTAGCCTGAAAGCAAAAGCCTATAAACCACTACAGTAAAATCCCGTTATAACGAATCAATTGATACACGATGAAATATTCGTTATATCCAGGTATTCGTAAAATCCAGGTGCCATATAAAATATATATATTTCTAGTTTACATACAAATTTATGCTCCAAAAAAAGCCCTAATATCTCTCTGCTTCCTCCCTTCCAATTTCCTCACTTCCAGTAACCTTCATGCCTATAAAGCGCGCTAATTAACTGGGTTTCTCCCTGCTCCTACTGCTCTTTATATATACAAAGGGTTTTTAAAGCCTAAATAGCTTCATAATGGAGAACCTGGGCCTATTCTTCTACAATCTCATCTTCGTCAACCTCCGGAAGAAATTCACTAAGTACAACATCATTAATAGTATTGAGATTATCTTCTATAACTTTATCTATAGGGTTAAGAAAGTTCTCAATATCTATAGGATTAGGAATCGAAGCTTCTATATTACGTATATCAGATAATATCTCATTAACTAATAATTGAATATCTGTTGTAGACACCTGATAGATCAGGTGTGGTTGTTAGGCTGTCACCACTCTACATAAGTAGCTCTCTCCAGATATCTCAATCAATCAACCTTTTCTCTCTCTCTCTCTTTGCATTAATATCACTAGTAGGCTAGGTAGGTAGAACGTTAAGTAGGATTAAAAGCCCCTTTTAGAAGTAGTTCTTAATAATAAGAGCTGAAATAGCAAGCTCCTAAGCTCGAATTCCCTATTAAATTGCTTTTAGGATATTTATTAAAGCTATCGGAGCTTGACCTTTATCGAATTCAACCAATATAAACTTGACCTATTAGCGCTTCTAATACGTTTTCCACGTATTAATGATACCCTAATCAAGTAGCTAGAACCGGCTAGTTGAATTAGCTAGAAGCCAGATAACCAGGGTATTACGAAGGGGTGAGAGCTATTATTAATAGCTTTTACCGTAGATTCGTGAGCTAAGAAGTTATCTATAAGAAGTACCACCTTCCTATATACCATAGAGGCGTTAAACCACCGAAGCCACTCTTAAAATATCTGGCTAGTCATCTAGGCTTTGCTATTCTACTTCCAGTGTATATTAAGATAATTAATATTAACACGGGAAGTAGTAAAAGCGCGGGGCTTCTTAGCTGTGCCTATACAGTAGTTATTAGTATAGGAAGTAATAGCATAGCAAGCATAGCAAATATAGCAAACATAGCAGGCATAGCAGGCATAGCAGGCATAGCAAGCATAGCAAGCATAGCAGGCATAGCAGGCATAGCAGGCATAGCAGGCATAGCAGGCATAGCAGGCATAGCAGGCATAGCAGGCATAGCAAACATAGTAGGCATAGTAAGTATAGTAAGCATAGCAAACATAGTAGGCATAGCAAGCATAGCAAATATAGCAGGCATAGCAGGCATAGCAGGCATAGCAGGCATAGCAGGCATAGCAGGCATAGCAAGCATAGGAAGCAAGCATACATACCAATAAACCATGGTTTTAGCTTCTCAGTTCTATCTACATTGGAGCAAAATAAGACTGATATCCTAGCCTTTTCTCTCTTTTTTCTAGGTAAAGATCGGGTAGAAAGGCTTCGATCTAGAATCCGCTTCTAATAAAGTGTAGTTTCATCACAATTGAATATATCCCGAGGGCTATATGATTAGAGAGCTTGCCGGATTAGAATCATAGCTTCGGAAGCAAGCTCTAGCGTGCTTCTATCTTCACTATAGTATATACGATTGCGAATTGATTCACGGTATTAGAAGCCGGATAACTAGCTATTACTAAATAAAGGCATCTCTATACCTTTATATACCGGTAGCTAGCCCTAGAAAAAGCGCGTCTTTTCACGGACAACCTCTTGGTTATAGGAATATAGGATTTAACGAGCTTTTTCAAGATCTAGCTATTTAGCTATACGGGCGCGCTTTATATTAATTTAGTGCTTCGAGAGATCGGCGTTAAGATAAAGGTATCGGGAGGAAAGGATTTCGGAGATCGTAGAGGGCGAGGGACGATGGTTATAGGCTTTATAAAACCACTAAGCGAGCTCTTTACTAGAGAGTAAAGGGTTGATTCGGCGCTGCTCTCGTAGTGCTACTTTCTAGGAGGTTGGGATCGATCGGCGAGGCATTTTGATTAGTTAAGAATACTTGAAAAAGTAGGGATAAAACCTTAATATAACGAATTTTGTATGGGAGGAATGGTGAATTAACGAAGTTCGTAGTAAGGGGGAATTTCGTTATTACTATGGCGGATTAATTGGTGGGCCGGTATTACTTTGTTAAAAATAGGTATTCGTTAAAACCGGGTTCGTTATAACGGGGTTTTACTGTATTGTTGAGATATCACGTTTTCTTTTAAAGAAACGGAATTTATCGAATGAAGCTTTTTGTTAAACAAAAAGCAAAAAAATAATGAGCGACGCAGGGATCGAACCTGCAAGTCTTCTGAGAACTTTTGAGCATTGCTCGACCGAAATCAGACGCCTTACCATTAGGCCAGCCGCCCTGTATTGTAACATGTTTTACAGAGTTAAACTCATCTACATATGTAGCCACATAACATTGCGCAGGCATAGTACAATACGACCCTTAAGACTAAAATTATTACGTGACTTTAGCTAGTTATGACGCTATTTTATATTTCCTCTTCAAAATTACCACAGTGAGAGTCAGAGGTACTATGTAAGCTTTTTTGCCTTGAAAACATAATAAAGAGAGCTCATAACACGAAAATAATCCTCTTCTACTATTAGGAACGCAAAAACAAAAGTTCTAGAAAATAAAGCAAAAACTAGGGAAGAAGATCATCTGATTCAAGTTCTCGAAGGAGAGATTCAGAAACAGCGCCTTCGGGAAGAGCCTCCGGGTCAGTTACTTCAATGATCTTTCGACCATCCTGAATCCTCGCGATCGAACGTCGTGGCAGTTGCCGGGATTCTGTGATAGATAATCCTTCAAGACAATCAACAAAGTGATTCATATTGAAGACTACCATCTTTCCTCTGGTATATGGCCAGGCCCAGTAATACTTGCCACCTCTCTCAGCAACCATGAGCCTGCTAGCGGGATCTGTGGTAAGGGCTTCACGTGCGAAAGGGAATCTCTGGGGGGCTTCAAAGAGAAGTGGGCGGAAATACAACTTCTCGTTGGGCTTGCAGGGAAAATTTTGCCGGACATCCTTTAAAAGAGGGAAGACAAATATGCTATCTCCCCAATTGAAAAACAAACGGTCATTGCCTTTGTAAACTTTAACGGTAAACACTGTTGGCACAGCAAAAATCACTGTTGGCACAGTGGTCTAACCCAATTAAGATAAGTCTTTCTTGGCAGTTATTAGAGAATTGCAAACTATATATATTGAGATTATTATATAACTAGAGAACCAATTAGAACTACGCAATTTAACAACCTCCTATATTACTATTTTTATATTTTCAGATCATAAACTATAAATAGGAACGGGGGGGCGGTTAACAGCTTACTATTATTGGGTTCCATTTTCATTATTCTCATATTGCCAGGACGAAAAGGGTTAAAGGCCGCGCAGCGCGCGGCCAGAAAACCTTGTAGATATAAGTAACAGTATAGTATAGTCGAGTAGAATACCCATCTTTTTAAGAAGTCTATTTTTTGTCTTAACCGGCTTGCGTCCTTTCGCTTCCCTTAGTTGATTAATGGTTATTATCTTAGCTGTAGCTTAATTAGCTATGTGATGCTACTATGGCGGATAGCGATTACGATTCTTGATCGCTGCTACTACCCTTAGGCGACGAGTGCTTGGGTATAGATGAATCTAGTAAATAGCGAGCGTAAGAGCGTGTGTTATATACTTTCTAATCTCGTTTCCAATATAAGAGCTGATAATTAGAGGACCTTGGGTCTTTACGAAGAGTTTCGGGAATTTCCTTTAATACGTCGAGGTATTTAACCTCCTAGGTCGTTAGCTTGTCGTGTGCTATGTCGTACTACTCTTGAGGGGGAGTTTCTGCGGCTAGCGCTTGAAGGGTGAACGTAAGCACCTGCCCGATAGCGGTCCGGTAGAGGCGTAATTCATCGTCCGGCTACATGTCCTAATTTGGGATATACAAGAAATATTGAACAATCGTGGGGTCATCTTCCAGGATATACAGGAAAGCAAAGGCCTCCCCTGTGCAGATGTAGCCGTATCGAACTCCACTGTCGATTATGTATGAGAATATTTGAGTGACCACGGCGGCGACTAAACGCTAGCCTTCATTAGCCTAAATAGGTGTTTTCATAGAGGATGGTGAGCCTAGTCAATTGAGCAAGGTGAAGGCGTAAATTTGTCCTCCAGGAGACTGGATAATTCTGTAGTTGAGTATTAGAAACTGAACACTACTTGACAGTGGCCTACATAGTACCTATTGGCATTATATAGCAATGGCTGGTTCAATAAAATTTGAGAAATCAGAATCGTCATCATTATAATCCCCCACAGTACCTGCTATGGAATTATCGAGCACCATGAGGCTATATTGATAGTTCTCTATATGATGTTCCAGACCAATTCAACTAAACAGGAATAATTAATCGAAACGCTCTAGTGAGGGGCCTCTATGTGGGAAAGAGAGAGGGAGAGTGAAGAAGAAGGATCTTTAATAAAACTTCGATCTACGGTTTAAAAACCCATGCTCTCGAGAATCAATCATGCTTCGACCGCCCGACTTTACCCGCCGTCCTCATTCCAAGCACAGCTACAAGAATCATAGCCACCGTTGCCCCGAAAGAGGCCCAAAACGCGGCGCTGTAACCCTCTGCAAGGGCTACAGGGGATGACTTGTTCTCCGTAGAGCTCATAGTAACAGCATTGGCAAGGATACCCGTGAGATTCAGGCCGATACTAGTCCCCAACTGTGCGCATGTGTTAGAAACTCCTCCCGCAAGACCATGGAGCGATCGTGGGAAGAGTTGCGTGATAACCTGTGGTAATTTACGTCAGTACATATGGGGAAAAAAGAGACTGCGAATATATAGGTAGTTATATGAGAAGTAAACTTACTAAATTAGCTATAGTGAGTGTCACATCAGCCCAGATTGGAGAAAGGATAGCCGCAGGGAATGCCGCTGCCCAGTAAGGCAGTTGAGAATGGTTGACAGCTACTAACGCCATAATCAACGGTGTTGCTGCGCTGAGAAGCACTGACACTCCGATGAGAATATCGGCCCTCACATGGCGTACCAGCGCCCCAGTAGCAATATTCGCCAAGACTCCGCTGACCACAAGAGGTAGAAAGCGTAGGCTAGTCTGAAAGGCAGAGAGTCCTTGAACCTCTTCGAAAAAGAGTGCAAGGAAGTACTGGTTTGTGGTGACGGTGGCCCAGGCGAAGAACACCATGATACACGTGGACGTGAATATCGGATTGCGCCAGATGGAGTTGGGGATGAGAGCAGGTCGATTGAACTTCTCTTGGTAGTGCTCCCAGATTAAGAAAGCTGGTATTAGAACCAAGGAAACAACAAGCAATACAATGTTTGCTGCAGTGGAAATCGAGCTTGGGCGAGCACAAATTGCAGACAGAACATAAGAGAGCAATCCAAAAGCAACACTGATGAGGGAGACCCCTATCCAGTCAACGTCCTCTCGAAAACGGCGCAGAATTGAGTAGCGCAACTGATCGTCTGCGGTTGAAGGCAAAAAGAAACAGCTGACCACGAATACCCCGGCATTGATGCCTGCGATGAGATACATTGCTGTTCGCCAGCCGACGCTGTCGATGAGAATCCCTCCAATGATGAGCCCAATCAGAAACCCCGTGGGCTGCGCGGCCCCTAGACAGGCAAAAGCAATGTTGCGCATACGGCCCAGAGGAAAAGTGTTGGTGACGATGCTGACTGAACCTGGTAAGCAGAACGAGACCGCAACGCCCTGCAGAGCGCGGAAGATGATCAGTTCCACCCCATCGCGCGCAAGGCCACAGGCCAGAATCAGACACGTCGATAGAAAACTCCCAAGAAGATAGATACGGCGACAGCCAACCACGTCTGCCAGACTCCCGGAAAGGAGCAATGTGCAGCCACAGGAAAGAGAGTAGACCGAGGCTGGCCTGGGAGTATCGTATGTCATTAATTATCAGAATAAGGACGAATTATCGAATGAATTTAGTAACTATCACCCATGTATGGTACGTACCAAAGTAGAAGGCCTTCATCAAGATCGATTGACTTGGCAATTTTGGGGAGACCAACTGCCAGTATTCCGCTGAGGACTGTACTGATCATATACATGAGACTGACAAGCGTAAGGATAACTGCAATCTTCCATTGTGCTAGTTGATTCTCGGAAACGTCTCTGAAGAGCTGTTCTTCACTGCCCAAGGTATTGTCTACTGGCAATGACTTGAGCGCAACAGTTTGAGGAGGAGCCTCTTTCGAGGAGGACAGGGAAGTCTCTTCCAGTGTTACAGTGGTTGACATACTCGCGTGCAATCTCGTCTTGGACTGGGACCAGATCTGCGGAATAGAGAAGAGACAGAAAGAAGGAAGTCCTGAGATTTTTGAAACGGAAAAAAAGTAGTGTCCGGGATTTTCTCGCGGGGAGGCATAAGTTTAGTGTTTCGGGTAGAGCGGGTAATATTGCCAGCCCTTCCACGATAAGGAGCACGCTATATTAGTGGAGTGGAGTCCTTTAATAGGTTTATTCCAACAAGATATATGAGAAAATTCGGAAAAACAAAAAGAGAATATATATATTATAATTTAAAAGTAAATATGGTAAAATGAATCAATATTTCAAGGCAAAAATGGTAATATAAAACCATAATACAAGACCCCTAATCCACCCTGTGCAGAGAGACCCCTGAGAAGATCGCTGGTCTTCATTCTGGTTCCGTATTTTTTGAAGGAACTCTGTTTCTTGATTTTTTTTTGTATTTTCTTAAAAAAAAATTCAAAATAGGTATTCCTTTTTTTTTTTTTTCGGTTTTCATTTTTCTCTTTTTCTTGCTTTTTCTTTCCAGAACCATTACTAGCAGGGATGTAGGTTACATTAGGTCGTTTCAGCCTCCGCGGGCCAAACCGACTCATTAGGTTACTTTGAGTATAGATAGTGGGTAAGCCCAGGAGATCGTGTACAATTTCCCGGCCAATACACCTGAGCGTATACAACTGCCCCTGATCGCGTGAGGCAAGTGAGACTGATTTCGATGGTGTTGCAATTTGGAGTTACGCGTCTTAACAATATCAGTTGGTGATCCTGCCTCTTATCTCCTACGTCGCTTTGCACGAGCGTCGTCTGATAAAGGGCCGTAACAGGTGAGTTTTATAGTAATGAGTATATACTTAACTATGTATTCTCCTATATCATTGCTCATTCAACTTTCTTAGCATAAGAACTAGTTCTTTGGCGATGTTGATACGTCTCCTCTAAATGATACGTCCAATTGAATCATCCCCTTAATCATGATAGAAGACGGTCCTCGCTACTCAGGGCGGAACCTTCATACCCACAACACCCTCTGGCTTTGTCGGAGGTTGATACTCCTTGATGAGATTCCCGTCTTTCCACTCGCCTGTGACATCCAGAGTCGACTTCCACTCAATCAATTTATCCCATCTCTTACAAGTGTGGATGGTGTTGAAATTCGGGTATGGCATATTGCGGCCCTCGACCCAGTTATATGTCAGAAGGGAGATATCAGCGTGACACATTAGTGTTTGGCGGAGGGTCTCGACACAGTGTTCTGTAACCTTTTATTATTTTTCCCCACTAATATTTGTAAGGCGTATGGGCAGGAGTAATAAGACATACCTAGATGACCCTCAATAACACGTGGGGGAGCCCCCGCAAAGCTACCTTCATGCTTATCGTAGTATTCGCGGTGGATGTTTTTGCGGAGTAGGTCCTAGAATCAAAACCACCTTAGTCAACCTGTGAGAATGGCGGGGGCAAAAAGAAATGAGGGAAAAGTAAGAAAAGGAAGAACAGAAAGAAAGAACAGCTAGTGTCAATATTTCTTAACTCTGCTGAGAAAAAAAAGAACACAGATGGAAGATAACTTACCACACAATGCAACTGATGAAACACATCCAACGAAGCCAAGTACTGTCCGTTGCCATAGTCATGGTCGAGCATAACAGGAAAATCATGGAATTGATTCACAGCTTCCCACCGTTCCTTCGTGATACCGATTGCGCCACCTGTGGGCCCTGTCACAATTATTTATCATCTCTTCTTCAGTCCGATCTGATAGGTTGCCCTGGGGGAAAAGAAGACAGAAGGGCCTTGCAGGACAGAGATTTGGTTTGGCATCGAATTGACTTACCATCAGTAATATTATCCCAAGCAGCGTCCACCTCGGGCCCATAGCCGGTAAATTCATTCATTATGCCAAAGCTTCCTTTGAATCTTTGGACTTCGTATTCAACGCCGTCTTCCCAGCCAGGTACTACACCATGAGAGATAGAAAATTAGTAAAAATGGCCGGCATATATATATGTATGTATATAGTATATAGGGAAATCTCTTACACCACTGCCCCAGCAATCGTCCACACTCCTTCTGTCGCAGCAGAAGAGGCACCTGTGGCTTAAAAACGAGGTATGCCAATAGACAAAGGTTCAAGAGTACCAGAAGGACCTCTGCACCTAGCCGTCCATATCGCTGTAACCAGTGTAGATGCCGTCGGAGTGGGACTCGGAAGCCATCGAATAGAAAGGGATCATTTTCGCTCTCTTCCGAGTCATGTTGGGAGAGCCTTTCGCCTCCATCTGCTCGATAGGGATCATGTGGGGGTTTCTCCAGGGAAGGAATGGGGGAGTAGACGGGTAAGGCAGATGAAGACTCGGGTACAGGCATAATTATTGAATTTCTTCAGGAGACTTGACTTTGGGACAGGTGTACACGGGAGAGAGAGAGATGAGATGGGAACGGAGACAGGAAAATAGAATACCTAAAGAGGAGAACAATCAACGTCCCAGTGGCGGAGGAGTATGATGCTGTGGAAACGATTACTGTTCATTTTGATTTCGTAACAGATAATATTATTCTGAGTGTTTGATAAGAGTACATACCGGTGGCGTGCTTGTTATCTATATGTACTATGCAGATTTCAATGTAGACGCTACTTGATCATGCAGGTCTAATGCTTGTCTATCCCAAAAAAGATCTCAAAGACATTCCAAGGGGCTCTTCATCTTTCTTCTGAGAAGACTACTGGTGGGGGACTCATAATCCATGCAAAACAATGTAACATTATAAATCCATTTATCTGCATAGTGACTGCTAGTTTCATGGACTCCATAGTGGTTATCCTGATAGCTGCAGGATTTGAATAAATTACATACTAACAAAATAACCTGCGTCAACCAGGGTACATATACTTTACATACACTATCTTACAGTCGCTTAAGTATCCTCTTGCCGGCACCTGCAGTACTGGATAATTTAGCGGTATTTTTAAGTACACCTTACTATTATGTCTCACTGTCTCCAGGGCTGCCTATAGAGGCCAGGCAGTGTACCAAGACTTATAGAGGCCAGGGTTCAAATCAACCATTATAGATGGTTGTTGATGCCTGAGTGCCTTATTTAGCACCGCTTTTTACACCGCTCTATACAGTGTATGGTAAATTTATTGATACTACAGCTGTCAAAAATGAAGCTTTTCACCTCCATACAAATGAGGTATCTCCATGTTTTCTGGCAGTCGCAAGTGCTGGAAAATGAAGCTTTTCACCTCCACACAAATAAAGTATCTCCATGTTTTCTGGCGGTCGTAGGTGCTGGAAAATGAGGCTTTTCACCTCCATACAAATAAAGTATCTCCATGTTTTCTGGCAGTCGCAAGTTCAAAAAATGAAGCTTTTCACCTCCATACAAATAAACCCCGGGTTCTGCCAGCTAGATATCCACTAATAAAAGCTAAGGGGTAAAGGGCGGTATGATTTAGTTGAGAAGGCGGTAGCAGAAGGGTGTTAACTCTTTTGCGGAGTCACTGTATGATTACTAAGGCATCTGTAATAGAAATTCAAGTATTTTAATTTTTCTGCTGTTCTAAAGTCAGGCAGTAAGGCAGCAAACCATCTATAATGGTTGATTTGAACCCTGGCCTCTATAAGTTTTGGTAGGCAGTGCAAATTATGCAGACCAATACATAGTAAGGTGCAGTCAAAATTACCGCTAAATTGTACCAGACAAGGGGATAACATGAGTGTAATGAGTCTAAACTAAAGTAGTGACTTGGCTTGAGTGTAAGATGGAATAAGTGTGCTCTTCTCACACTTCATGTCCATTTGTCTTCATATAGATAAGCAAGTTCCGGAGATGCCGTTCAGCACGCCATTGGACCTGGCTTGGGGGAGGGAATCCATCCATCTCCACCCTCGCAGTGGAAACAAACAGACACATGAGAGATAAGGTGATTGAATGTGCATAGATGTAACACAACCCATGAGCTCACTGCTTTAGTGTTGAAGGGGGCGAAGGAAAGAGGGGCACTTTAACTTGAAGTACGGGAGAGGGGTAATGGTAATTAAATTGAAGGAAAAAGAGGGCCTTAAAAGCAGGTAGCTAAAGCATTACACCGGTTCATCATACTATCATTCACCACCTCCAATTTACGCATAGTATTGATTCTTTACATCTCGTACTCCCTGAGTCTAAAACAGAGCAATTTCTTCTCCTTTCTATTTACAATTGATTCATCATGAAGATCTCTACTCTCGCTGTTACCCTCGTTCAGGCCTTGGCTGTCTCAGCCGCCGCCATTGGTAATAATACTTCCTACAACGTCTCTAATGTAGAGATTCAATAGAGGTACTGATCTCTTTACCATATATAGGTGACCTTGCATCTGTCAAGCGGGCCGCTGACAAATGGAACGCTGAAGCTTGGAGCAACTTCGTCGAAGTGTATGCTGTTGACGATACCGCGAAGAGAGATGTTGAAAATTGGAATGCGGCTGCTTGGAGCAACTTCGTCAAAGTGTATGCTGTTGACGATACCGTGAAGAGAGATGTTGAAAATTGGAATGCGGCTGCTTGGAGCAACTTCGTCAAAGTGTATGCTGTTGACGATACCGTGAAGAGAGATGTTGAAAATTGGAATGCGGCTGCTTGGAGCAACTTCATCAAGTCGTATGTCCAGGATTTCACCGTGGAGGACTCTGAATAGAGTGTTAGGTCAGTCAATAAGTTCACCAGTTCGGCGGTTCGCAAGGGTATGGATGGATGATATGTATTGGTCGGTATAAATTGAATTGGGATGGAACGAGAGCTTCTGTAGATAGATTAGGAGCGAATTTATGCACTTGATATATTAATCTCAGGATACACGACATGGTGTCTCTAAGCAATGGCTTGTTCTTATTCAGATTTACTGCTCATCTAGATTGCGGGCTTTCATTAACTGCATCCATCTCAACCGGCGAAGGACGGGCATCCAACTGGGGACCTCTGCGCCCTTTTTCTTTAGAGTTGCTTTCTATGGGCGCACTATCATGTACATAATACCATAGCTTAGCACGTCCCGATACCCCAAGGGAGGTAGTCGGCGAACGGGCTACACCCGTCACCACATGGACGTTAAACAATACAACAACAACAAAATAGATTGCGGGCTGATCCGTGCGTATCCCGAATGACTGGTGCGACCTCCAGCAACCTAATCCTTTTCTCAAGAGGCTTTCTCTTGACGTGGCGTCCACATCCAGTGTGCTCCAGTGGATTCGGGCTTATGATAGCCGAGTACAGTCAAATCCGCTTACAGTAATTCGAAGCTGCTGGAATTCGAATTCTCGTTTATTCAAGCAATTTCAGGCCGCTGAATTATAGTGAGGCTGCCAAAGAGCTCTGTTTTACTTGCAATCTGAATTATTTGAGCAAATTCATGCCGCTAGATTAGTTCAAATTAACCAGATTTGACTGTATTGCCAAACGTGACCTTGGAAAAATTGCAAAGGCTCAAAAATGATTTCAATTCTCGTTTCGTTCGTGGTTTCGGCCACTTCCTTATCGTCTGGTCCTGTCTAATCAGTCGCATGGAACCATTCTTCGTACAGTACGCAAACTCGTAATATTCTATTCGCTGGCTTTCTCGTATTGACTGCCGCCCATTTTTCTTCAATCCAGCATTTTTCAAACGATTTTCAAGTACTGGATATGTAACGGAGTGGAAGGGTCAGATCTGTGTAAGATTATGAAGGAAGACATGATGGGGCTTCCGGCAGAGGCTGGTTGTAGGAAACCTGATAATCCAGATTAACAAACATAGTTACAGAGTGACTTATTGAAAGTGGAATCTATCTGGGAAGATCTTTGCTGCCTATTTCTACACCTGGGATAGTAGGAACTGATGGGAAGTTATAACATAGTAAGTGAACATAGAGATAGATGCTAAGTGCTTGGTCATTGGTATTCAGAGTCCAGACTGCTATCAACAGAAAATCCAGGATCAGGATATAGTGGATTCTTGTAGGCTGACAGGATCATCGAACCCATTACGTCCATCACACTAAAGGTACATCCTCAGACATCTCTGCATCTATATTATCTTCCTATTTCACATTCCAATTCAGCTGATACACCCAGGCATCACCAGCAGCCACTGTTAATCATACAATCTCCCAGAGTGGACCTTGAATTTTCCAGAAAGGGTAATCGCAGGAAATGCCAACGGTGCAACCGTGTCACTCCATAATCCAGTCTCAGGAGAAGGAGTTATTTCATTATGGCAATGGCGACCAGCCATCCACCGCGTGATGTAGACTGTCAAACTGTGCTCAAGTAGAGAGTTGTGATGAAGAGTGCGCGAATGAACATGTATGTGATTGATTTCTCTGGCGTCAATGCATTACATCAATGAGGCACAGCTGGATATTTGAAAAAGGTTCGCTGAGCTGCCTACGTATACGGAGTACAGTAGGTGCTCATAAGTTTCCGTCTAACCCGATTCTGCTGGCAATAAGCGTTTAGGATTGTCAGTAACCACCCGCCGATTTTCCAGTATACTAAAAGTTATTCTTGCTTTCAATCCTATTCAAATATCATATTGTCTTTAATAGACCTTATTATACTCTCTTATTCCGATTTATTTCAATCTGTAATCGGGCGATTTAGGCGGTGTATATTTGGCGGTGTAGGAGTTGGACGGAAACTTATGAGCACCCACTGTAGACGTACAAGATTCCAGGCCTTACAGACCAAGGCAATTCATTACTGGGTGGGGCTTGCTGTCTGCAAGGGAGTGGGGTACCATTTCACTCGCAGCAGCTTGAGCAGCCAGTACGGAAGTACATTCCACATCCGTTGAACCTTGAGACTTGGAAGCTTTCTTCATGTTGAGACTAGTGCCCTTCGCCTTGCTGTTTCGGCCTAGCGCAGCGCACATCTGCGGATCTACCGGAAGCACAGTTCTTCTTGACGCTGAGGCCTCCGACGGAGACCCACGGCGAAGGTTTACAGGCGAATGTGCCGAGATTACTCCATACATCGTACCTACCTAGGTAGGTAGTTTTCCATACGTCTGTGGGTCGTATTCAAATGTGGAGGTAGTAAGCTTCCTCTATGGCGTAGTCCATACTCCACCCCTAATGTAATATTCGCTGCGAGTGTGTAACACATTTCTTTGCTTTCTCATTCAACGCTTGGTAATCAATGCATGATCTCAACTTATCGGTATCTTTCTGCATGACAAACCATATCCTCCACGATATCTTTGCCGTCCTTGGGATACCACAACCCCGGCGGAGGTTTTCTTCAACGAACACAATGAGTGACTTCTCTTCTTTCAGGGTTAGACGCGTACTCAAGCGTCATGACGGGTCTCGCGTACATTATCAATCTCACAAATCATAGTACCGAGGCGGAGGGTCAAGATAGAAGAAGAAGGATACGTATATCTATCTGGTCCTCTATTTAGTTATTTTCCTAGTAAAAGCCTTAGGATGCTACATATGAATTCAAATAATCTATAGACATGTATTTGTGCTCCCTACTAGGCTAATTGATTATATCTTCAGGAATGTTAGGCATCCAAGTGGGAAAAGCGCGCTCAAGCATCTGCAAGTCTGCTTCTGGCTCGAATCCTCGGCCCATAGAAAACAAGAACCCACGGCACAATAGAAAGAGCAACACCAACACCCCCCAGCAGGCTGGACGCACCTTGGAAAGTCAATGCATTGAACATCTGATCGGTGCAGAGCGGAAGCACCGCTGCGAAAACATTGCGACAAAACGATTGAGCGGCAATCGCCGAACTAGCATACACATGGTACGTATCGGCCAGGTAATTAAAAACAGCCAGGTAGACAGAAAAGATGCCGATCGTAATACACCCCACAGCCAGCACCGGAACGATCCAGTGGACGGACGAAAAGAGGGTCCATCCCAACCAGAAAAGTCCGATGGGGAGCAACATGCTCTGAAGACAAGCAGGATAGAGTCGCCCTTCAGGTGTTTGGGAGACGGTCCTTTTTCGCCGCGAGACATGATCAAGAAACACCGAGATGCCGGCGGCAATAAGGGAGGCAACAGAGATGGAAATAAACACCAGTCCAGTCTGTTCTGTATCAAAATCATGATTCACACTGAAAACCAGTGGTATTGCTTCGAAGGTCATATAGAGGATAGACCATGCAAAGGACATCCAGAGGGAAAACCAGAATACCACGCTTTCCGTCCATAGTAGCCGGAGGGGGCGAAGCAGGGATATCTTGATCAAGACCAGAACAGTAGCACGTTCTTCGTCGGCCTTGACTTTCCAACGAAGACGAAGCTTCTGACCATTGTCAAAGGACTCGACGAGCCCCTCCAGCCCGACTCTCTCACGGGTGTCGTAGTATGTATTCAGGATCTTGGCTTTGCGGCTGAGAAGTACACTGCCTCGTGTCTCATTAAAGAAAACAATGAGAGACATGACAACGACTCCACAGCTGATTGCTTGGACGTAGAAGATCCAGCGCCAGGAAGTGTGCTGCGCGATAATTGATGATACCAGGGGTCCAAGTCCTGTACCGCATAAGGCGGCACCGGTGAAGATGCTCATAGCGGTATTCCTCTCCGCTGCCTCATAGAGGTCGCTTACGACGCCTCCAACCATCGTCGAGAAGACGGAGCATGACACCCCTGCTAGAGCCCGCGTCACCAGCATACCGGCATAACTGGCAGTAACACCCGAGCCAATTTGCGAGATCACATAGACAATACCGGCCGTGACAAACACCGGTCGCCGGCCTTGTATTTCCGAGAACGGCGCAAGGACCATGGGAGCAATGGCGAAGCAGAGGGTGAACGTGGTGATTCCCGTATAGACCATCGTGGTATCCACGTGCCATTCAGCCTTGTACTGGTCCAGACCTGCGGTGTATGCGCCGGGAGTGTAGGTTGTGACTAAAGTGCTGAGGCAGGAGAGCCAAGTAATGAATATCTTCCGGGCTCGCGACCATGCGAGGGGAGACGTACATCGGCCGAGATCAGGCAGCTCCGGGCCGATAACCCCATTCTCATTCTGTTGTAAAGGTGGGAGGGGTGTATCGAAGGTAAGGTACCGGAATTCAATCTCAAGCTCTTCATGGTGCTCATCCTCCATTCGTTCTTCACGGGGCGAGGGCAAATTTTCGTTGGATTGTGCAGCCGGAGCCATTGATGGAATGACGGTAACTTTCTCTCCAGTCACCGCTGTTCTTATCTCCAGGTGTTACGGAGATCAAGAGCAAATCCATGAAGGTTGCTGCATCAGCGTGAACCGTTCTCCACGGGTTTCAAACGCCCCGACATTCTTAGAATTGAATGAGCAGTTAACGCCAAATCCCACGGTCATCACCAGCCCCGAAGAAACTCCGCCGCTTGATACTGTATCGGATTAAGATTGTAATCCAATGACCGCAAGGCTGAAACGCTACCCCGCTGTCCATCCAAATGGGTGATGATCATCCCGTCTCCCGCTCGGAACCCCGTCGGCGAGCGAAGACAACTCCTAGGGAGTATCATCTAGTCTCACCCGTCGGCCACGAGCTGTCTTCCGTAGTAGAATATTACAAGCGTCCTCTTTTATCTGTTCCCAGTAGGATATAGGCGGTCGAGTCAGGTCCTGTGTTTTGTATCCTTGACCACAACTCGATTGTTCAATATAGGAAAATAACCATTTTCTAAATTTAATTTATATTAGGATATTTTTAATATAAGGGAATTATGATATACTAAAAATCAAGCGAGAATATCTTCTCGTCGATATATTCGCACCTGAAAAATCGCATTTAGTATGGTGTTTTGGGGACGGGCGGGAATTACGTTATCATATTGAGATAAGGTTATTAATGAACAATCTACCTAATCAGCTTAACGAAGGCGGTGGCGATTGGCGGGCAAAATAGATTAACCTACAGCAGTAGGGGAAGTGAGATTTGACCAACGCAGGAGAATCCAAGATAAGGTTGTATTTACCTCGTATGGACATATGTGTGAAGACACCCGACGTGGCTAGAGGTTAGTGTTGTTTGATCCCAAACCACGTTCCCGCTTCAACCACTTTCTACAGTACAAGATTTCAAAGTACTCTAGTCTATCTAGGTAATTTCGTTAGTACGGTGGAGCCGACAAGGGTCATCGAATTGCCAGGGGATATATACATAGTATCTATCACCTTCTAAAAATGGTTTAACTTCCTTAACAATAAAAAGCTCAGTGGTCAAAGCGCAGTATTTCTAGCAGAAATTCTTCCTTATCTAGTCCCCCCAATAAATTACATACAAAATCACCTCAGTCAACCAGAGTAGGAATGACTAGTAATCTTCAGTAACAGAGTATAACGGTAATACTGAGTAAAATAGACTAGTCCTATTACTCGCTACTGTACCTCTTGCCAAGATTCTGATCATATCTAGTCATTCACGCGCTTCCAGTGAACAATATCATAATATCAGTAAATAGTTCTGAGTGAGCCCAATAGAATTGCCATGTTCCTCATCAGCAGGCTAGGAGGGACTCGGAGTCTCGGAGTGTTAGCTGAGACCCAAGTAAATTACAGCTGAAAAAGTCTGGTAAACTTTAGAGAAATAAAAAACTGGATCCACTGAGTTACGGGGAGGATTACAATATTGACTTGATACTGGCCCAGGAGTTTCCTGGAGTCTCTTGATGGTGCTAAGGACTGAAACTTCCGATAGATAACTACATATATATATGTATAAAGTGGGCAGCAACCAAGGTGGGCACACACACACACGCACACAAGTCCGATCAATATACACCCATACACAAACAAAATGATTCTTACTCGGGTTCTGGAAGAATCGGCCTGCCCTTTCCCTCCAATTCCACATAATGTCGGTTTTGCTACCCCAATGCAACACCTCTTTCATGCAATCCCCTTCAAAATCAGCACCACGGGCTTTTCCTACATTCCAGCAGTGGTCCTAGCTAGTTGGTCCGTTGTCCTCGCCACTCATAGCTCCGCACAAGATGTGGTATATGGGGTTATTCTGGATGACCAGAGCAGCATTGTTCCTCTCAAGGCATCCATGAAAAACGGGTCATCGATAGTCGATTTCTGTCATGAGATGCAACGATTCTTATCTGGGATAACCGTGCATTCGCATTCAACAGTTGATGGAGTCAGCAAGAACTGTGAAGATGCATCTCAAGTACGAAAATTCCAGACTGTGATAGATGTTCGAAATCTATTCAAAGCGAGAACACCATCTCCCGGAGTTCATCGTTTCACAGAGAACGCGAAGGGAACTGTTCATATTACATGCCAGCTAATCGACAAGTACTTGGGTTTTACCGCCAACTTTGACGCCACCTTGGTCTCGTCGGCTCGAATGCAGAATATTCTTTATGAAATGGGACACGTGGCTACTCAGCTCGTGGCTGCCAGCCCTAACACCGCTCTGGATGACCTTGAGGTGATCAGTCCCCACGAGATGATGCAGATTCGATCGTGGAATTATGGGCTATCGCTAGATGCCGAGGGGACATGTGTCCATGATACGATCAGCGCCTGGGCTCAAGTGCAGCCTAGCGCAGAAGCCATATACGCTTGGGATAAGGCTTTGACTTATGCAGAACTAGATCGGTTCGCAACGAGTCTCTCGCTGCATCTGAATCAGTTAGGCGCTGGGGAGGGCGACATCATACCGATCTGCTTCGAGAGAAGCGCCCTGGCCATTGTGGTCATGCTCGCGGTTCTGAAGACCGGAAGCGCCTTCGTTCCATTGGAGCACTCCAACCCAGTTAGCCGAAATTTGGAAATCGTGCAGCAATCCGGGGCACATATGGTACTTGTTTCCAGCGAGCAATCTCAAGACTGGATTAATAAAGCAGCCACCTTTCCTATCGATTGGGACCTTCTCTACGCTCTGCCTCCTCAGAAGAAAACGGCTCTCCGACCAGTCGATCCGACATTATTGGCATATATCATTTTCACGTCTGGAAGTACGGGGAATCCGAAGGGAGTGATGATCGAGCACCGTTCATTAAGTCTGAGCCTAAAAATCCACGGACCAGGGTATATCTATAATCAGAACACCTCGTCACGGGTGTTGCAATTTGCATCGCTGGCCTTCGACGCCTCGATGACGGAGCATATAGCCCCACTCTCGCATGGTGGCTGTGTCTGCATTCCCGACCATGAGACGCGTATGGGGAATATTGCAGAGTTTATGAATGCTGCTCGGGTGAACTGGGCCTTTTTTACCCCTTCGTTTTTCAAATTGATTCAGCCACATGATGTTCCATTGCTGAAAACGGTGGTTCTCGGCGGAGAGGCCATTACCGATGATTGTATAGACCGCTGGGCTGCTCGGATCACGTTGATCAATGGTTATGGACCGTCTGAGACAACGATCGTCGCCACAGCTTGCAGGGTGTATCCAAATAGCACAAACCGTGCATCTATTGGTACTGGACTTGCATGTAGGGCCTGGGTAGTCGATGTGGATGATGTGCAGCGCCTCCTACCAGTTGGGCTCGTGGGGGAGCTTCTCATTCAAGGACCGACAGTCGGTCGAGGGTATCTAAATGATGAGGAGAAGACAGGAGCGGCATTTATATCAACGCCTAGGTGGCTGCCACAAATTTACCAAGATCACAGGCTTTACAAGACAGGGGATGTAGTTCGTCTTGAAACTGACGGCTCCATCACCTATGTCGGTCGCAAAGATACACAGGTCAAGATACGTGGCCAGCGGATTGAATTGTCTGAGATCGAAAGCCGTATTTCTTCACAACCCGAAGTCCAGCATGTTGCGGTATTTGCACCCAAAGACGGACTTTTTGCAAATCGGCTGGTTGCAGTGGTTGATCTCCGTTTTTTCTCGCTCTCGTCGACGAACTCGACAACCCGCGTTGAGCTTCTTCCCAAGGCCATAATACAACAAGCGAATGCCTATGTGGCAAGTATCAGAGACTCAATCTCTCAGCTGTTGCCATCCTATATGGTCCCCGACATCTGGATCCCTATCGACGCAATGCCAATCAGCAATTCTGGGAAAGCCGGACGGTCTGTTGTAAGAGCATGGCTTGCACGGATGGATGAGGAAACATACCACCAAATTATGAAGGATGGCACCGAAACAGGAGAGGTCATTGCGAAACTACCTACGAGCCGGGCAGAAAAAATATTGTGCAGCGCCTGGGCTTATGCTTTGAACCTTGATCCCGCTTCAGTCAGCATTGATATCCCATTTCAAGCTCTGCAAGGTGATTCAATTAGTGCCATTCAGGCGGTTACCAGATGTCGCAAGGATAATCTTCAGGTCAAAGTTGCAGATATTCTTCGAGGAGACACAATAGCTCAGCTGGCGGTCAACTCTGGCTCAATCAGGTCATCGACTACACAGGTCAAAACAGACTGTCAGCGCCGCTTTAAACTGTCCCCAATACAACAAATGTATGCGCAGCATGCACCGCAGGAAAGACATCACTTCAATCAGAGCATCCTTCTGCGGGTAACAAAGCCTGTTTCGGAACAATCTATTTGGCGCTCACTCTCGGCGGTGGTTCAGCGGCATCCCGTTCTTCGCGTCCGTTTCCACAGAGCCGAGCAAGAAGGATGGACACAGCGGATCACTGGTGAGGTAGAGAAGTCTTTTACATTTCAAACACATAATATCGCCGCATCGTCTGATGCCCGGTCCATCCTGAGCCAGAGCCAGAGTGCCGTGGATGCCATTGCTGGGCCGGTCTTCCACGCAGATCTCATCACGATGGATGGCAGCTCGCAGCTGTTGTTCCTCGTGGCGCATCATATTGTGATAGACTTGATCTCCTGGCGTATTATCATCGATGACCTCAACACCTATATCGACACAGGGTGCCTTGGTGTTGGAGAGTCGGTTTCGTTTCAGACATGGTGCGAGCTCCTCGAGGACCATGTCCGGCAATTCTGGCCACCTTCCAAGGCACTCCCATATACAATACCATCGGCTGGACTTAAATATTGGGGCATGCAAGGACTAGACAATGTGTATGGCGATGTTATGCATATCCAATTCACATTGGCTCTCGATACAAAATTAGCCATTCTGGATGCCTGCCACAAAATCGGATGCGAACTGTTGGACTTGTTCCTCGCCACCTTGTTCCAATCGTTTGCTAAGGTTTTTGATGATCGCGAACTGCCTCCGGTCTTCAATGAAGGGCATGGTCGTGAGCTTTGGGACGCGGAAATCGACATATCCGCAACGGTGGGTTGGTTCACCACACTGTGTCCAATTATTCCCTGTACCAGCCCGGAGCACAGCATTCTTGAGGCTGTCCGTCGGGTTCAACACACTCGGAAGAGCATTCCGCACAATGGACTTATTTATTTTGCTTCTAGGTTTCTGGATCTTCGTGAGTCCGGAGTAAACATGGCCGAGATTGTCTTTAATTATATGGGGTCATTCCAGAACCTTGACCGCGAGGACCCTGTGCTACAACTTGTTCCAGGCTCTCTTGGCATTTCCGGTGATTTTGCCAGCGCCAATATGCGTCGCTTCTCCTTGCTTGAGATCTCTGCCAGAATGACAGAGAAAAACCAAATCGAGTTCACCTTCTCGTACAATCAACATATGAAACATCGTGGCCGTATTGAGCTCTGGGCCGCACAATGCGCAAGGCTACTCGAGCGAGCTGCTGAAGAACTCGGCCGTGACTCCCCCAACAACCGTCTCTGCGAGATGTCTCTCATGTCTATAGATTACGAAGAAGCATCCACCTTTCTCAATAATGTGATTAGGGAGTTGGACATTACCTATCACAAGCTAGAGGCTGTATACCCCACGTCCGCTATCCAGAACGCCATGCTGGTAGCTCAGGATGGACCGCTTGGCTGCTACAGAACTCGTCTGGCCCTCAACGTGACAGGGGCCCATGGGCAACCCGTTGATCCCCAGACTCTCCACGAGGCCTGGAATAAAGTTGTTCAGTACCATTCCATCCTCCGAACGGTCTTCGTCAGGCGTGCACAAAATAAAAATACATTCGATCAGGTTGTCCTCCGGAAAACGACTGCTATGGTGGAGCATATCAGCTTATCCGAGTCAACGAGCTTCCACCACATCCTCAATGTTTCTTCTCCTGAATTATTATCATGGTCCCCACTCCAGCCCTGTCACCGACTCACAATCTGTAAAGTCGGAGAAGACCAACTCGCATGTCTCCTCGAAATTAGTCATGCCCTAATCGACCAAGCTTCCTTGGCCCCGATTTTGGACGATCTCGCTCGGTTTTATTCAAACAATCTCCCAACTCACCCAGCCACGCCATACAGCACGCTCGTCAAACACATCGCAGGCCAGGACCCCATCGAAGCAATCAAGTACTGGAATTCCATTCTGCCAAATGATACTGAACCATGCCATCTGACCTTCCCAATCTCTTCCTCTACCACTGATCCTCAGAGCATGAGAATCAGACATACCATCATCCCTCTATCATCATCGACGAAGTCTTTGCTCTCAAACGCTTCCCTCACAAAATACACACCTTCCACCGTTCTCCGAACGGCCTGGGCTCTCCTCCTCCAGCAGCACACTGGCTCCTCAAGTCCTATATTCGGATATGTGGTGTCAGGCCGGGACGTACCTATCGACAATATCGGGTCTATCGCTGGTCCGTTCCTGAACATCCTCGCGTGTCGCATCTCCCTAGCGGGCACCCCTAATCGCCCTGCAGTTACAACCTTGCTGGAGAACATGCAGACGCAATTCTTGGAAAGTTTGCCGTATCAGCATCACTTCCTCACTTTTGCTGCGCAGCAGCAGCACCTACGGACTAGGAACGGGAATTCGGATGATTTGGCAGGAGGGGCACCAACCAGATTGCTTTTTAATACATTATTCAATTTTCGAAGAAACATGTCTGCAGCCCGTACGGATGACGGGGAACTGGCGGCATTGGATTTTAAACCTGTGGGCGAGGAAGATCCTTTTGATGTGAGTCTTATCAGCCACTTTTCCCCCCCCCCTTTCTTCTTTTTTTGAACTACTTCCTTTTCTATCGTATTCCCGAAACACTTTCCTTCGTAATAGAGATACATGGACTTAAATGGCTAATGGTTTCCGGGTGCGATCTAGTATGATATTGTCGTTGAAATTGACCACACGGAATCAGGCGATTTCGTCGCCAAGTTGACATCCTGGACACATGTTGTGCCTGAAGCCGATGTGATCAAATTAGCGGAGGAGTATGCAGAGTCAGTTGCGGCTGTGGTGGGCGAACTGGTTAACACTGGAGATAGATAGATCTACCTTGATTTTGAACATAGACAAACTCACTAACAGTCTTAGTCCACTGTCTATCATCGGCAGAAGGATTAAGTGCCATGGGATTACTGAATTGTCCCTGCTTTTTGTGGACCATAAAAAGTTTGCTTGAAGATTATGCTAGCCAGACCTGAACACATTTCTTGATAATTAATACATTTCTAATACAGGTTTTTAACTATACCAATACTCCTCGAGGGGTGTGTTAAAGCTGTCGGGTCTCGAGAACGGAGTGCAACCGGCCATTTCCAATATATAGTAGCGTATTTATTGAAAATAATCACTGAATAATGGCATTCCTTAGTCTAGCTAATTACTATCGAAAAATTATTAATAAGTATACTGGAGTTATTGCTGAGCGTCGTCACATAATATACTTATTTTCTATAGAGTACCTTGGTAAGTACTGTGCCGGGCATGCTCTATCTGCGGAAACTAGTGGAAGTGAACCAGGGGTGAAGACAACCTTGGAAACCCTATGAGTATATCCGTAATTCCGTCACCTAATTATACGTCGGATTATCAATATTAGGAATCATCGGCAAGATTTTGGTATCTGCAGGCAACAGGAGACCGAAGGCACGAACGGCTTCTAAGCCAGTAATAGCCAAATATTACCAGATGCAAATGTCAGATGATTAGGGACACTGACCACTGACAGGACTAGATACTCAGCACGAATCATGCACTCTAAGGATGTGTTGCGTGCCGACAATCTTTCTCAGAACAAGTAGCCATTCAGTCTTTCCAGCGACCTCTTTTCTAATGCATGATGCCGGTTCTCCTCCCAGGTCTCCCCACCTTCCCCAAATTGATTAGACAAACGACCTAGGAAAAAGTGCAAATTCGCCTTGCATTGTGGGAATGCGTTTTGGAAGTACTCATACAGCTCCTGGACCTGTGACTGAGTGGGTGTGTAAGTCACCTTCTCGCCGAATAAACCAAGGTACTTTTTAGTATGAGCGAGATCGGCCTGCGCGTCTAACTCCCATCCCGAGTCCATGTGGCCAGGAATCAGCTTCGTCGGCTGGAGGGCCGAGATAAGATCCACCGTGCTGATCCACGCCTGGAGTAGAGCGGGATTTTCAACCTCTTCGACCCTGTAATTTTTCCTTCGGCATCAGTTTTGGATCTATATCGACTAGAGGGGGTTGGAAAGTATTTACCAGCAGTGGGTACTTCTCCCGTAAACTGTATCGCCACAGATAATCGTTCTCTCGACTGGCATCCAGAATATCGTATGGTCCACCGAATCACCTTGCAACGGACCCAGAAGCACCACCGGACTATCTTGATTGCCTTGTAACAAGAAGAAACTGAAGTTGTACTCTTTGGGCTTCCTGGGCGCTTCGGGCACATCATTTCCAAAGATAGTGGGCCAATATTTCACCTTGGCCGCATATTCACGATTGATGCCTTCGACCACATGCGGTGCTGCTTAGAATTTCGCTGAGGGAAAGGCCTCAAGGATAGCATTGGCCGAAAAGAAATGATCCGGGTGGTGGTGGGTGACAAACACCGCTTTGAGGGGTTTATCGGTCGTGGTTTTGACCCAGCTGACGACAGACACTGCGTCTGAGATCAGGAAAGGAGGGTCAATCAGGATGGACTCTTCAGCACCGACGATCAGTGTGGTGATACTGGAGAGGCCCTTGATCGAGGAAGAATGGTGATACGTCTGGAGAGGCATATTTCCTGGTGTAAATGAGGTTTCTTTGGACTTCGAATGGATCCAAAGGAAGTATGAAAATAAAAGGGGATCATTTCGTTCATACTTGTCGATTTAAGGGACGAAGAAAGCCGACAATACGATCATTACACTACAGTCCCGAGGTTATGCAGTTGACGGATCATCGTTAAACGTTGATGGTGTCAGGGAGGAGGTGTGTGGGGAAGCGTGGGAATTTTCCGTCCGACGGACTACAGTTACATGATGGCCGAATGGTCTAAACGAGGAGTCTTTCTTGACGTTATCACCGTTATCACCATTATCACACTAGCCAACTATATTAGGTAGTTGCTGTATATCACACGTTCCCCAAAAGTCTGAAGTTGTTCCCTGACCCGACATCGACCATCTGCGCCTAGACCTCTGCATAGCCCATAAAACCTTTGGAGCTCATCGGCCGGGTATAGGCGGCCCGTCTACCCCCCATTATTACCAAACAATATAAATATGCCAATTTATCGCAGCTGTATAATTAATGCATTTTTGCCTTTTTTTGGGGAGTATTGAAATTACCGTTGAAGCTGTATATGAATCATTATTAAAGCAGATATTAATAAAGAGAAAGGTAGGTTGGAAGATATAAACGAGGATCAAAATTGATTTTTATAAAAGCTTCACTTTTTTACGAAAGGTACTTATCTTTGTTAGGGGTTTGTATAGTTAACTAGTGGATTTGGAACTATGGACAAAGGTTCATAGTTCAGTTTGAATACATACGCAGTGCTAGTGGCAATTGTTTCGCAGTAGTAAATCTCGTATTATATATGCCATTAGCACTCTGATTCTACCCTCATAAGGACCCTTTATAGTGGGCCTTCACAATCTGACTGACTGGCGTCCATCTGTGTACCCGATCATCGATTGCGGGTAGTTCCGTAACAAAAAGTACCTAGTTAACTACATATGTTAGTGAGTTATAACCCGAAACTGACTAGCTAGATACAGCTGGCGGCTAGCCAGACACGACTTAAGACATCAAAAAAAGGGGGGTTAAATGTCATCCTTTTTCTCCATCCTTTTTCTCCACAAACATCATCATTGTCAATACCCCTCTGAAGAGGCACAGTCATCTTCACCATGGCGATGGCCTCCTCCGCCAGCCCTAATATAACAAGCTACTTCAACCGGGGACCACTGACAACCACCTTCACCCCGCCGACAACATGCCTCCAGACCTTGTCCGTTAATTCTTTTTATGTGGGGGGCACGCCTACGACCGCCACATTCTACGGGAACTGGTTTGGATTTGGTGCGGGTTACTCATGCTTACCCACAGGCACCATGCCTGGCACTCTACTGGCTTCCCCGACATACTGGGGTACATACTGGTGTAAGAAAAGTCATCTAAAAATTTCGGTATAGGTTTACTTAAATTATGCTTCGTAGACTCCCCAGGTCTTTACTGTCCGACTGGATGGGCTACTGCAGGCAAATTGGGTCCATCATGGAATGGGTTACATATGACCGGCAGCACAAGTGGTGCTATTTGCTGTCCGTCGTAGGTTTTTTTTTTTTTTTTTTTTTTCTCTCTCTTCTCTATGGGGGACCGAGCAATGATGCTGACACTTCATGTAGGAGCATGAGCTTTTACGCGACGGACCATCAATGTAGGGAAGTTCTATCGGAAAAAGCCACCATCACAATTGGGATGTCCGGGGTAGTGGTCACATCTACCCTGGCAACACCAATCACCGTTTATGCGGATGGAATCCCACTCATCTGGGAGAAGTCCGATCTTCCCAAAACAACAAGCTCATCAACAACACCCTCGTCAACACAAACATCAACCGCAACCGGTGCAACAGGAAATAATAATAGAAGTGGTGGCTTATCACAAGGAGCCAAGATCGGCATTGGAATTGGGATCCCGATGGCGGCCATTGCGATAGGAGTAGCGATCTTTTTCTATTTCCTCAAACGACACAAAACCGCCAAAGGGGAACCTCATGCAGAGACATATGATTCTCCACGAGGTCGCGGAGAACTATCGGAGCTCGCGACTAAAGAAAATTCCGAGCCATTTGAGCTTGGTAGTAGGGGAGATCGCTCGGAGCTTCCTTCGAACACTGCGACTCATGTGCATGAATTGGCATGAATTGTATACCGGTTTTGAGTTGCGTCTTTAAAACGAAAATCGAAGGCCTCTCGGACCCAGCCACGTCTAGGCTCTGTCTTGTGTTAGTAAAAGGGCACCCACCATATGGGATTTTTGCTTCCTGTGGATCACGGGTTAGCCTTCCGGGAGTGTAAAGTCTACCTCTAGAATCATGAACCACCTCTCGCATTAGAGTCGAAGATGGTTAAGGGCCATGGTGGGCTATAACACGATTGTTACGTTGCGTATTTTCGGTCACTTGAGGAATCGATGTTGTCGTAATAGAATAACCGCGGGTCTCACTGATGGCTAGAATCAGGTATCAGGAATCAGGAATCAGCACAGTTCACTGGCCAGTGAAGCAGCGGCCGCCAAGCTGAGAAAATTGAAAATATCGTCTTCCGAAGGAGTCGCATCTCATGACGACAAGAAATAAAGACTACCTGGATACCTTCCATGCAGAGAGTTCAGACTCAGGGGCCCTGATCGTAGACAGAACTAGTCTGACTTGAGAATAATGTTGACAGGCAAGGGTAGACGTATGAAGATATACTTTGATGAAATCGTTGTAGGAGCAAGTGGGATAGAACAGTAACAATGATGAAGATAAACGTCAGAAGATGAAGGCAGATAATGTATATAATGAGTTCTTGGACATCATTGAGGTCTGTTCTCCCGGATGGCCCCAGAGAACTATGTGGAAAGGGAGATTGCTAACTGCTTCTACATAGGCTGAGTACTCTCGAGCCTTTACGCATTTTAAAGGAGAAGACGTCGACTGCTGCCTCCCGCAGGAGACTGTTCGTGATGTAGGACTCGTCGATTTCACTCTTTCCAAATAGAACAGCCAAGGTCAATGTGGGAAAATGATGAAAATAGTATATATAGTATGTGATGAAGTTTACTGGATTTTAAGTCTCAGTGTGTCTTTATTACATATTCATTGAATGACTCTATGTAGTGCGGAGTGATCGCATGTGATGTATCATCAATCATTGTATCCAAAATGGGGATAATAAACATAATAGGGGCCCAAAAAATGGCAACGATGGTATAAGGCAGTTGAAATTGAATAGGCCGCTGAGTCGATGTATATCCTAACCCGAGAGGCTCCTGAGCCAAAGGGGGAAAAAAAGCAATTGGGGGATTTGTGCACGAAGAAGACAATATCCGCATCCAATGGGTATATAATGGACTTGACGTGGAAATCCAAAAAGAAAGTAACATCATGTCCAGCGATGGGGCTAGTGGTTATACTAGGATTTAGACAACGGGTTGCCAGTACTACCGCAAAATTCGACAATCAACCGTTCGAGGTCAGAGAGTTTGTAAGGTTTCGTCATGTAGCCTTTGATCCCCACTCTAGAGGCTCGATTCAATGCCTCGTCGCTAACATCGGCACTCACAGCAAGAACTGTGGGAGGTTGTGACATGCAGAAAGTGTTGGGGATTGGATCCATTTCCATGGAGTCAGGGCTGTTGGGGTTCGGTTGCTCAAAGGTAGCATATTGGTCCCGATGGTTGTCGACCATCTGGAGAATTCGTGAGGTGGCTTCATATCCGTCCATTTGAGGCATCCAAAGATCCATCAAGACGACATCGATCGGTTTTATTTTCGTATCCAGTGGCTCATTTATGACGCCTTGCATTGGATCGAGACTAACATCAAGGACAGTGGAGGGCTTTGACGCGGAGAGGATGCCTTGAACAATCTGGACGGCTTCTTTGCCATCAGCCGCTTCAAGGACATCGCGGTAGCCAAGCTTGCGTAGCATGTTCACCAGTACGCGCCGGTTGATTCGATTGTCTTCGGCCACGAGAAATCGCAGCGGATATTTCTCTCCAAGCCTCTTGTCATATGCATCACCGGAGATATTTGTTCGATGCAAACGGGTCTGTATTGACGGTCGCTGGGGCGTCGGGCTTTCAGACATATTTTCGTCGGTGGTACACGGTGTCGCCTGCTGCAGCTGACAGGGTTGGGGGAGCATGAAGGGGGAATTAAAGGAAGGGGGATCGGACAAAAGGCTACTGACACTGCCCTGTCGTGTTTGGTCGGTAGTGGATGGCGTCGAAACACTCTCACTGGGGGTTGCAGGGCGGAGTTCAGCTTCACGTTGGTTTACGGGGATTCGAATTCGAAATTCTGTACCACGCGTAGGACCAGAAGTCGATGAACGCACACAGGTCAAGTCGCCGCCCATTTTGCGTGAAAGGCCCTTGGCCACAAGGAGACCGAGGCCCAGGCCATCTTTGCTTCTTGTAGTCGATGCATCCTCACGAGCAAATGGCTTGAAAAGATTGGGTAGGAATGCAGCGGGAATTCCCGGGCCGGTATCGCGCACAAGAATAAGGACATCATTCTTATTGGGATCAATAGTTGCGCAAACAGTGATGGTGCCGTTGTTGGTAAATTTAATCGCGTTGAGAAAGACGCAGGAGATCAGCTTGGCCAGATCACGGTCATCGGCAAGTAGGGTGTCCGGCAATGATGGGTCTACAGACCAATCCACAACCTTGGTGAACAATTCACCATTCGAGGACCGCGACCGAATTTCAATCTTTTCACCAAACTCGGTTGCGTTGCTAACAGCAGAATCCGGTCGACCACCAACGTGAAGAGACTCGTTAATCACCAAACGAAGAAGATCTCGCAGTTTGGTAAAACGCAAAGCTGAACCTCGCAGGTTCACATTGATGCCCTCAATGAGTAAATGAGGTGCGGATCGTCGAAATGCGAGAGACGGGCGTGGATCGACCATGTTAGCCATTACAGCTTCGAACTGGCGAGCTGGTATAGCATGTACGATCTGGTCGCTTTCGTGGACGGCATTCTTGACTTCTTCGCTGCGAGGCGAAAGCTCTTGCCGCGACGAAGCCGCACGGAGTCTTTGCTTGCGGACTGGTCGGGCATTCATTTCTGGGGGTAGGCTCCGCCGCCGTTTGTACGGATTTACAGCGATATTCTTTCCTTCGATAAAGACGCTCGGGCGGGTTTCGGGTATGGTAGGTGGGACTGTGAGACCGCCTAGTATATCGGGCTCCTCCCGGAGGGGTGTTTTGGGAATTTGCATGTTGAGCTCGTATGCATGGACGACATTGTCGGCCGCTTCAACGGCACGTCTCGCGCTATCTTGAACCATCTCAATCCCCTCCTTGAGAGATTGAAAAATCCCGCCTGATTTGACAGGACTTTTACTCTCCATCGCCTCGCGCACTGTAGCGTGCATGACGTCAAGCATGCCCACCACACCCTGCATCGGGGTCCTCAGCTCGTGGGACAAACTGCGGGCGTATGGTTTGAGGGGGTGTGAGTTGAAATCAGGGGTTTGATGGGAGGCGGCAGTCTGGGTGTTGTGGGAATCGGAGGTATTTGTCGTCGGAGAATCTAACATTTCATCTATAATTTGCTCCCCTGGGTCTAGTCGTTGTACAATCAGGTCTTCAAGCGAGTGGAGAATCATCTCCAGGAAGGACCAGGACAGGTTTCTATGCCGAAGACCTTCTTTGGACCACATCAACCCGAGGTGCGCCAGGCACTTTCCGGCCGAAAAGAGGGGAACCGCCAAATAACCATCGGCGGCGAACGGTAAATGATCATCGCCAAACGATACAAGTGAGCTGAGATTCTCGGGGATCAAACAAGGTCGTTCGTGGTCCATATGCAGTAAGGGGTTCCCGCCCGCAAAATACCTGTTTCGCTGCAAACCAACAGTCTGGTAACCATCGTTGTAGTAGAAAGCTGCACCAAATAGGGACGGGCGCCGCCCGCCTAGTTCTGGCATGGGCTCACTCCCGTGCACTCTCCGGGCAACAAACCCATACTGCGCTTTGGTTATAGATGTCATGTCCTCCATGAGCCGTTTCCAGAACAGCTCGGTATCAGATGCCCTCAAACCCTGTTTGAGTGTGACCAAATGTTCAATGGCAGTGGTCTGGGCGCCATCATTCCATGTTCCCAAGTCGCGTTGCACATCTCCGTCGTCATGAACGGAGTTTAGTCCGTCACCGGTGATACACTCGGACTTGCAGGAAGGGAATGGCATGGTGGGACAAGGTTGGACAGCATGAGAGACATCTGGCTCGGGCGTGTCGGGCATAGTCCATGTGGCAAGTGAAGGAAGGAAAGGACGGTTCGAGGAAATCGGTTTTCGGGCTCTCTCGTAGGTTGTTTATCCAAGGGCAACGACCATAGCATTCAATTGTATAATTAATAGGTACGGTGGATGGATCGAGATGACTTCGACGTACATCCACCAGAATATGAAATATTGGAGAGAGAAGGCCCAGAAGGAGGGGAGAGGGGATTTTCCGTTAGTTCGATGGGGGCCGGGCGGCCTAGACACACGACCTGAAACAGGAGTTATCAAGAGCTCTCATAGATTCTGATGTAGAGCTAATAATATTTCTAAAAGAGTTTGAGGTTTCTCTAGAACTTGTATTTTCCCTTTGACCAACGTTCTTCTCTTTTGTGTGTGTGTTTTTTTTTTTTGCCTCGAATCCTGCGGTGCACGGAGGGTTGCGATGCCAGGATCAGCGGGATCTAGACCAAAATGAGGGCCACCTGGTACCTGGTACCTGGTACCTGCTGTACCCTGGTATTATCTATGGAGATATTAGGTACTCAGTACTTTTGGGACCATTCAATCTACTCCTATTTATATTTCATGTTATACGTTGTAAGCATTCTCTATGCGTCCTTTTTTGTTCTTTGCAAGGTTTTCAACTGATTTCTGAATGATTAGTATGTTTCTATATATACATAGCCATGGTGCTGTGTTTCTGAAGGTAGTCCGGTATAGAAGCCTATAGGTGCTCTATTTCTGTAACTCTAAGGACTAGAGGTTGTTTCTTGTTGAATATCTCATGAGGTCACATATGACCTAGATAGTCAATCGTAAGCCTGCTGAGACCGAAGGAGATCAAGCATAGCCTGCTTCTTAGGATGTTGTGACCTCTCAGCCATTTGCAACGGGGACTCGTCATGGTATCGCGTGCCCGCTGGTCGGTCTGCGCCCGTGTCTAGCAGCACTTTGATGATATTCGGCAGACCAAGATCGATAGCGCGATGTAGAGGAGTCCCCCATGTTTTATCTGTTACATTAGGATCGAGGCACTTAGCTAGAAGAAACTTGATCGTGAATTCCTTTTGCCTCACGCGCGGAGCTATGGCTCTAAAGAGTAGATGTGAATCTAGCTTGGCCCCGTATGCAAGAAGTAGCTCAATTCGAGATACATCTTCTCCACGGACGGTCGCAATAGCGCGGGCGAGGGGGGACCCTCCAATCGCGAGGGGGGATGGTGGCCTCGGGCTACAACGGTTTGGATCAGCGCCTCGTACGAGGAATTCGCGGGCGGAGGGCAGTGTTCGATAGAAGGCTGCTACTAGAAGTTAGCCAACGACCTTTAGCTCCTTAAGTGGACAATTTACCATAGAAAAGGCTGGCCATCAGAAGTGGACGCATTAGGATCAAGGCCATGATCGAAGAACTGGCGAATAATGCCTGGCATCTGCGGTTGCCTCCCGGCAAGGCGGTCCTTCGCAGAAGTCGCGCGTGCGCCGGCGTCGAATAGAGTGGCCACAACATCAGGGTGTGCCTCCTCCGTTGCGAGTTGAAGTCCCTCGTCGAGGTTCTCGGTAGTTAATCGCCGCATGCGTCGAGGAACGCGCTAATAAATGCTTCAGACTCCATGATATAGGAGACCAATAAATGGATGTAATAGCTTATCCGTGTGGACAGCCAGCGGGCTTTCGTAAGGCAAGAACTTGGTCGAGGTAATAGTAGCAGGCGCGGAATCGCTAGGCCACTATGAAACTTGCTCGATAGGGATCAAGTCCACACGGCCCAGAGGCTTATATTGGACACCTTGCTTGATGCGTCGACGTAGTTGATAAAAGCATCCCTCCAGTCACTATTTCTCCACGGGATTGGATCACGTTTCGTGGCGGCGATAGATGGATGATTGGACGTCCAACTCTTCGGCAGAGAGGATGCTCAGTAACCAATCGTTCACCAACTAACACCGGATCAGCGACAACTGACGTGTCAGACGTTATGTGACCATGACTCCAATATTTACTCCTTCGGGAGTATATAGGGAAGTACATATACGAACTATACGGGCGCTGTACGGTGTGATGTGCGGGTCTCCACCTACAAGGGGGTTTTGATGCCTGGTCCCTATACGGAATACATCTTCGTAGTACAGCATGTTAATTATGACGAATTAACTTGGATTTTCAATACTGACAGTTCATATATTTTTGGTTATTATGCGCATCCGTTCAAACTAACTAGGTACATACGTACTCTCAACTGTCAGAACTGTGAAACCGAGGTAACAATTCAAACAGCCCGAGCGTCACTGTGAACATATCTGCGTGTTTACAAATGTAGCAACGAATCTTACCATTCCAATAATTCTGATCAAACACAGATCTACAACCATGACCTCAGTCACCCCATACAACATCGCTGTTCCTGACGAGCAAATCCAGCAGCTGCGCCAGAAGCTGGAGCACACCACCTTCCCCGATGAGCTTGATGCTTCGGAGTGGGATATGGGCGTCCCTCTACTTGAGATTAAGAGACTCGTCGATGTGTGGCGCGAGAAGTTTGACTGGCGTACACAAGAACAGAAGTTAAATGAACAACTCAAGCAAGTCAATGTTCGAGTAGGAGTAGAGGGCTTCGGGGAACTGAATATACATACCGTGTATCACCGGAGCGGAAATTCGAAAGCAATTCCATTGCTTTTCATTCATGGGTGTATCTAGCCCCTAGGACTTCCTACATATGTATCTTTGTCGGGCTTGCTAATTTATTGTTCGTATACCAGGGCCTGGTAGCTTCCTCGAAGCCACTAAGCTTATCCCACTTCTCACTGAGAGCAACGGGGATGGCCCAGTATTCGACGTCGTAGCACCTTCGTTGCCCAATTTTGGATTCTCGCAGGGCGTCAAGAAGGTATGCTGAATAATACTATGTATCAGCACTGTCGAGTACATCCTAACAACCGAAGTAGAGAGGGTTTGGGCTGGCACAGTACGCCGAGGCTCTACACAAAGTGATGATCACGCTAGGCTATGAGGAATATGGTAAGCACCATCTGTCCCCACGAGAAGAGACCAACTAATTCCAGAGCAGTAATTCAAGGAGGCGATTGGGGAAGCATGATCGCCCGTACCATGTCTCAGTACTACCCTCAACACACCCAAGCCATCCACCTGAACTTTATACCCGTCATGCCACCCTACCCATGGCGAAGTCCCTACCTGTTCATCAAATCACTGCTGTGTGTGCCATTCTCGGCGAAAGACCGTGGCTACATCGCCCGGACATTTGGATATTTCACCCGCGGCAACGCATACATGAAACAGCAAGAGACCCGGCCACAGACTCTAGGTTACGGACTTCACGACAGTCCTGTCGGATTACTAGCTTGGATCTACGACAAGATGCACACTTGGTCCGACAAGTACCCCTGGACGGATGAGGAGATCTTGACCTGGGTGAGTATATACTACTTCTCCACGGCGGGCCCAGTGGCGTCAACGAGGATCTACTATGAGGCTTCAGCGCCGAAACGAGGTGGGAGTTCATATGTGTCGGATGATAGCTCTCAGGAGGATCTGCTGGAACAAGCAGACCTGAATTACATGTCGCTCGAACAAATCCTCGCGGCTCAGGCACCGCAGAGTGTACGCTTTGCAGTGGCGCAGTTCCGAGAGGAGATCATTATGTGGCCTATGGCGTGGTATCGGTCCATTGGAAATGTTGTGCAGGAAACGGAATATGATCATGGTGGTCATTTTGCGGCCTGGGAAGTGCCTGAGTTGCTGTCGTCTGATATCAAAAGGTTCCTAGGCAATAATGGGCCAGCCTACGGAGCGGTAGCCGACAGAGATGGGTATTGAAAATTTCACTTGATTGACCTTTGATCGAGGCCTTTGGGGGATAACTTGGTGTGTGGTTGCAAAGAATGTATAGCAACATGCTCCTTGCTTCGAGAGACAAAGGATGTCCGATTTTGTATTCGATCTTGCCTTGGACTCGTGTTGTTTGCCTCTCGAGTTCCATATACTTGGTTAATGTTGTTCTTGTTTTCATATCCATGCGTTGGCTTAGTGGCCTCTTCGGAAATTGGACTCATGGATAGCGAAATAGTGTGTAAGGAAACTACCCTTTGCCAGAGTAATCCAAAACATGGAAGACAGACATCTAGCACATCCCTGCATGCTAGTAGGTAAGACAAAGGTCAACAGATTTAGGATGGGCACTGATTGTCGAAAATCGGTTAATGACTATTTCCCTAGTTAATGCGTTGGATTGATGTTGGAAATTGGAACACTGCCGTGACGTGACAACGGGGGGCCTTTTATTATCGTGATAAGACTAAGAGAAACATGGAGCCAAAGAACAAAATTGCCCTTCGGCTCAGGTATCAACCGCTCTCACGTTGCTCTTGTGCTATCCCGTCATTGATTGACCGTACACGGCACATATCATCCAGTGAAGACCGTAGACGCCGGGATTTGCCCTCAAACCAACGGAAAGCCCAAAACAACCACTTCCCCAAATCTAATCCTGTCGTCCCTTCAATAACCGCTGGGTAACCTTGTCCTTCTCTATAATGTAAACCTGGGCGCCCCAACCGGAGAGAGCATCTCGGTCCACCGCGCTAAGCAGTGCTTGTGAGATCGTCTCGAAGAGGTCCTCAGGGGCCTGTAATGACAAAGTGTGTTAGACAGCGCATCTAGTAGGGGTATAATAGCCAAAATTATAGGATACATACCAGATCAGGCTCCCACAGACCCTCGCAAGTACCGAAGAGCTGGTCGCTTGCTGTTCCGCTGACAATGAAGTCCTTGGCGAAATCGATACAGCCAATGCTGTCAAAGCCGCAGATGAACGGCTTCCCCGTTGTTGGGTTGATACCAGCCAACACAGGGCTGACAAAGTAAGGACCGAAGCGCTTCTCATACAGCGATGAGCTCACTAGGTTGGCGAGGGTCTGCGGTGCGATGTCGCGCTCCTCGCGCAGTCGGTACATGTTGACCTTGTAACGGAAGAGATCGGAGACGGTGTTGACATCGGTGGCGAGGCCAGTCAGGCCGAGATAGGTGGATGGAGCGTAGTTGAAGATCTTGGGGAAGTTGTTGGAGATGGTCAGGGACTGCATGCCCAGGCGAAGGTCACAGGCGATGGCGACGCAGTCCTTGCCCACCATGGCGACACAGGCACCGCCATCTGCATAATGATTAGTATTTTGGTTGGATATTCACAAGGGACAAGGTTCCGGCATACTGATGTCGAAGGGGTTGGACTGTGATGGGAGAAGTCGGTCAGCTTTGAGGTCCAGAGATTCGTGGACGATAGGGACAAAGGGCGCATTTTTCTTACCATTATTGCAGTGTTTCAATGCAATTCAATATAACAGAGATATTCCAGAGCTAAAGCACAAGAAAAAAGAAGAGAAAATGTGGTTGAGAAGGGGGCGGGTTGGGGGAGGTGATGAAGATGAGTTGATGACGGGGAAGCTCTGAGGTACGCGAGAGCTCAGATGACGCCCGCACCGCTGCCTGTTTCGTATGCTTCGACTACCTTCTGCACCATATTTCTCCCCGCATTCGAGTTTCACCATTTTTTTCACCTCTTTACTTTCATTTATCCATTTGAGATCTATCTGTTGAAATATTGAACTTGCTCTACTTTATTGTCAGAGCTAAGATTCTCTATAACACAATGAGTGCCCACGTTGTGGTGATCGACGCGACAGCCAGGCGGGCAACAATCAAAACTACTCCCACCAAACACTTGACCGATATCCTACAGGAAGCATGTTCAAAGCTTGGATATAACGCTAGTCAGTATTCATTAAAGTGAGTTGGTCTTTCTTTTCCCTCATGATAACTCTAACCCAGTCTTGTCTATGTAATAGACACAATCGCAAGCAGTTGGACCTTTCTCTTTCCTATCGTTTGTCTGGTCTTAGCTCCGGCGCGAAGCTTGAACTTGTTCAACTCTCTCGGTCCCCGTCAGTCGTAACTGTCGGCTTACAACTGCCCGAATCTGAGGCTCGTGATGCCCCGAATGGCCGCATACTAGATAAATTTCCTAGTACGACTACACTATGGATGGTACTACGCAAGTTCGAGGCGGGCGTTGCAGGGAGTGGCCCAGTACGGAACCTCACTTCACGTGCAGTGCCCTCTGCCGATGGTGGAGATGTCGCCGGACGACTGTACTATGAGATCCCCGTCCTACAGATTTTAGAACGTGAAGTATCGAGCTTCACGGATCTACAGAAAACCCTAGCCCAGCTAGGTTTCAACAGCGGCAATGTTCTTATTCGACTAAGTTTCCGACGGACCGATGAGCCTATCGAGGAAGCCATGGTCAAGATTGGCGAGTTCTTCAAGTCCTCAGAGGATGAAGCTCCTTCGGCACAGGATAAGAAAACAGCGTCCGCACTACCGCCCGCAGCAGCTCCTGCTGACAGCACAAGCAAGGAGCCTGCTCAAGATCTCTCTAGTTCATTGCAGCCGGAGCCCTCCGCCGTCACCGCCGCATCGGACGAAGTTGCCCCTCCCCAAGATATCTCCGGACTGGCCACTTCCACGGTCGACTCTGGCCGAACGGTTACCGTCTTCT